TGAAAATGTCTCTGTTGAAATGACCGTCAAAAATATCTCGAAATCATGGAAGCTTATAAAGCTTGAAATAGTGTTGGAAAGACCGTAAAAAGAAAGGCTTCGTAGACGAATGATATTTGTACTCATTTTGAAAGACTGGAGACAACAAGTTCTAGAATTTTTTTCAAATAGTAGTCATTTTTTATCAATAATTACCGCTAGTTGTTAAGATCACACTCCTCTGCAGAATACATGGTAGAGCGGAACTCTGACTTAGCCTTTATCGTCGATCTACCCATGTATCAAATACCTACATATTTTGTACATAACACATACAAATTATGGACGCTCGTGAAAGATTCCTGCAGGGTTTAAAAATTGGCATCATTAAAAAGGAGCATGAGCCTCGTGAAGTCAGAGAGACAGAAAAGCGACCGCCGAGACGAGAAGCCAGAGGGTGAACATCGCATGGCTACCCCCTCCCGGCTGGAGTAGGGCCCCTTCTCTATTGGCTATTGGCTGGATCGGAGTCGTGTAGTTTAGGGGTAGCTTCCATGGGATACATGGGAGTATCCCATTCGGATACACCGGACTGCACTTCTCCGTGACAATGGACTCGGTAGACAACGCGCGTTTTCTGTTGGAAAAGGGCGCGAGCATCGATAGTACAAACAACCGCGGTCGAACGCCACTCGTGGAAGCTGTCATTCATTCGCGGCAGAGAATAGTCATGCTGCTTCTGCAGAACGGCGCTGACATTGGAGCCGTGCTCCATTCCGAAACTCCGCGTATTTATTCTTTCGGCTTCGACTTCTGTCTGGTTCTACAGGAACAAGTGATGGCCCAACTGATGTTGAGCGAGCTGCTGGGCGTTCCGATTGAACCAGCGGTACGCAAACGGATAGACATCAACGAAAGATGCCGCAAATTCTACCGCTGTTTCGGCATGCAAATGTCGGACATCAAGCGCGCGCGATTAGTAAATTCCTTGCCGCTATTCAAAGCTATTACGGGTAGCATTGAAGAGATCGCGCCTCACGTGGTGGACGCGGACTCAGAAGAATTGGTCCGACACATCGAGTCTCGCTATCGGTTCTATTATTTTTACATCTGTGCGCTGAAAGAGCAATTGCGCAAGGCAGACAAGTTGAATGATATCCGTCGCCGATAGTGGCCAATCAGCCCCGAATGATATCGCCGAGATTTTAGAATTTATTTATTATTATTTTTTTTTTTTTTTGGTAAGATTAGATTTTTAAGCGTATCGTGACTCGAGCTTCCGAGCTGTCGATTTTTATGTAACTTTTAGCTTAATGTTTTGTAAATGACAAGCGATTTAGTGCTCATTGACATGTCTCGATATCTTGTCCGGATCTGCGCAGATTTTTGTACATATAGACAATAAACTGTATTTTCATTTTTTATAATTAATATGAAATATACGTCTGTAATCCGACTTTCCTTGTTGTTATTTAAACTTCAAAAACACCCCTTCTGCGAATATCTCTGCCAAGGATGACGTCCAACGAATCTCAATATTCGTTTTTGTAAGTAAGCTAATGGCACCGGTCGAGCATTCGCTCGACGATGCCGCGCGAGTGCAACTGGGCGACCGACAGCTGCATTCTTCTTCCCGTTGCAGATCGAGGTGGCGGTGAGCCTCGCGCCGAGGGATTTCACTATCATCATACGAGCAGATCGAGGTAAGTGCGATGCAATGCGTCCCACTTCAATTGGTTAGAAATGTCATCACCGAAGTTAGAAATGTCTACGAGAACATTGAAATTTACATTGCGCCACCTTTGCGGATCGAACGGTCAAAGATATCACCACGAAGTAATCCTTTTTAGTCCTTTCGGCCGATTTCTAAACTATATTTTCAAATTAACATTCGCAAATCTTAGTTCAATATCCGGTCGTTCTATTTTTAATTATATTCGCCACATTGAAACATTCGAGGAGTCTTAATCAAAATTGTATTTTAATTTGAAAAAATTTAAATAACGAGTCCGCGGCAGACTTTAAATTTGTTTTAATGCTACAAATGTACATTTTGTAACCGTTTAAACAGTTCTTTTAACAAGCCACATGAGAAATTTGAAGTCATTGCCAAACGCTTTTTTATTTGAAATAATATAAAGTTCGCTGGCGAATGTCATGAACATTTAGATCTAGTCACTTTTCACAGGTACTTGTCATTAGTCGTATCTTTTTCATTTGTAAAGTTAGAGCTTTATGGGAAACGGAAACAAATTATTGGAATATGAAATTTGAAGAATGTTCTCGGGTGATTTCAAAAAGGAAACAAGAGAATATTCGACGTTGAAATGTATTACTAATATCATTATATATAATACCGAGGTCTTAGAAAACTACTGATATCGACTATTTTTTATTGTATTATAACGGAATATTACCATACTACCAATGGATAATATAGATAATAGAAAAAAAGCAGAGGAGTAATAGAAAGATTGGAAAGGAAAGATAGAACAAGAGAAAACATGTGAAAAAGAATGGTAGAGGAATTGAGGATAAAACAAAGAGAGAAGAGAGAAAATTGCATAGAAAAGATGAAAGAAATAATAGAAAATAGAAAAAATAGAGGCCAAAAACAAACAAAGGGAAAGAGAAGAGGGCTGGAAGAGGAAACTGGAAAAAGTGGAAGAAGAAATGAAAGAAATGAAAAAAGGAATGAGCAGAGAGGAGAATATCGGAAGAGGAGAGAATGCAGAAACGAGTGAAGAAGTAGAAATGTTGGCAGAAAAAATGGAAAGAGAAAGAAGAATATATTCGAATATCGGAAGAAGAATATTATTCGAAAATATAATAATGGACGTAGAAGGAATACTGAAATAGGGAAGAAAAGGGGATGCGGAGGAGTGGCTAAAAACACTATTTAGAAATGCGGGGAGAAATAGTGAGTTTCAGACAAATAGGAAAGAGTCAGTTAAGGGATAGGAAAAGTATCATAGATCGAGATTGGACGTGGAAGCAAAGGAGAATAAAGGAAGAAGTTCGCAAGATGGCGAAGAAAAGAAGAGGAAAAGAGGAAGAAATGAAAGTATGGCATGATGGACTAAGAGCGGGGGGGGGGGGGGGGGGGATAATATTGGAAGATAAAGAGAAAAGAAAAAAAGGAGGAAAAAAAAAGATAAGAGTAACAGGAGCCTAAGGAGATAAGTTAAGTTATGGCAAGAGGAGATAGAGGGCGAGAAACAAAAAATTCTATACAGTTGATAATCAAAGTGAGAGCAGTGCAAAGGTAAATAGATATGAGAAATGGAAGTGGAAAGAATAGAGAGAAAAGTTAAAAGGATGGTCATAGACTAGGAAGAGGAAATTGAGGAAGAGAAAAAGAAAAGAAAGGAACTCGGAAGAAAGATTGAAGCGCTAGAGTAGTAGAAGAAGATGAAAAAAATTGGAAGAACCAGGAAATCAAATTAAGGATGTTAAGGGAAAAAAAGAAAAGGGAGAAGAGAGATAAGATAGCAAGAAGGAAAAGACAAGAGACTTTTATAAAAAAAGAGGCCATTAGGTACGGAAGAGGACTTAAAAGAAGTAGACAGAAGGAATTGGAGAGAGGTAGCTTTACATTAAATTTTTATCAACGATAAATATCAGTAAACTTTTATAAAATTATTTTTCAAGATTGGAGTAATATACGTGTTTGGTTATAATGGGCCCTAATATTTTGTTTTTGATGTAAACATAAACAAAAATGACAGATCGTTAATAGTTTAATTTATTAGGGAAAAATGGCTGCTCGGAGCGCTCCGAGATTGATTCATAATATTCTAGATACAGCCTTTTATCTATAAAAAAAGTTTATATACCGTTTAGCCAAATCATGAGAAAAACATGGCGACAGAGTTTCCTTATTTACTATATATATTTTAGTGTGCTATGGATATTGGTGGGGGGACCTTAAGGAGAAAAGTTTTTGTAATACGTGTTTTGTTATAGTGCAAAACACTAATATTATAAATAGAATGAAATTGAATGGAATGAAATTAAGAAAATAAAGAATATTACTAAGAAAAATCTACATAAAAAGTGATATAAAATAAATTAATGAAAAAATTATATGAAATAAAATTCATAAATTGTGTATGAATATAGAAAAAAGATATCTATGAAAAAAAAAATTAGAAATTGAATTAGTTGACGAGGAAGCTAACTAGCCAATAAGTTGACAACGTTTTTAAATTGCATTAATTACTATTGCAAAAGTCTACCAAAGTATATTATTTAGATCGTAAAGGATCTGGATATAGAAATATATGTTTTTAGAACTTATATTATATTTTTTATTATTTTCCAAATTTTGGAATGATGATATATTATTTTCAACACACAATTTCAGATGATAAAAACTTGCAACTTCATTGATAATATTTTTAAATCATAAATATCAACGTAATTGCATATTTATTTACCAATAGAAAATATTGTCGGCTTTATTTTATAACAAATCAAAGGAATATTTAATGCAATATATTGCATTCGAATTTTTAATTTCGCCAATAAAAGTTTTGATCTATATTCGTGCATTAAAATGAATGCGAAAAAAGATGAAATAGAATGAACTAATAAGTAAAATTATTAATTATAATTAATTAATTATTAAATATACATTTGAACGCCGCTAGCTATTGTGGGGAGTGGGGAGACGAATAGCAATCGAGAGTCCATAGTTCCGGCATTTGCCATTCAACAGTCATTCATGTATTTTTACATCAATCAATTACTATCTCCATCTTGAAATTGAGTCGGTGTTTAATGTTTTTGTTTTGGTTACGAGGTAAATATAAACACATGTGAGTGCGATGCAAGTATGTTTGTACATACATACATGTAGAAAGAACGTTTACTCATTTTTAGTACTTTGGAGATGAATGTATGCACATAAGTATCTATGGATCTTAAAATTATATAGAAATACTAGAATTTTCTTTGTACTGAATAAGAAGACTGTTGTAATTTAATATCCATTTCAGGTTTAATCCATACATGGAGATATGAATAAGCGATTTAAGAAAACTGGAAATAATAAAAAAGAAGAAGATGCAGTTTTTACCGCTATTAAACAAAATAACTTACAAGTTTTGCAGAATATTATAAATAATATTAGTTTAGATTTTTCAAAAGTATGGTTAGGTGGGTATGCATTATTATGTGCTGCTATAAATTACAGGCAGTTTGAAATAGCAATGTGGCTTCTAACAAAAGATTGTAAAATTAATCGTATTTCTGATGATGATAAATCTGATACACCTCTTCACTTAGCTACTATACACAATAATAATTTTTTGGTTGATACCTTATTAAAGAAAGGAGCTTGTATTACGGTAAAAAATATTAATGGTGAAACTGCTTTACTTGTCAGTTGCCGAAGGCAAAATTTAACAATTACTCGTTTATTGTTGAAAGATACAACAGCTGATATTTCAGATAATAATTTAACTACACCATTGCATATTGCTGTTGAAAATCAATGTATAGAAACAATTACATTACTTTTGAGTCATAAAGTAAATATCAATGCTCACACACTAAATCCTAATTATAAAGGATTTACTGCATTGCATATAGCAATCATCAAGAAAAATGTTGAAATAGTAAATATTCTGTTGAAAAATGGAGCAGATATTGATGCAGTCATAGAAATTCCAGAGTCTTATACAGTATTAAATAATGATTTAAATGGATATGTAGATTATCAAGACTATAATCCATTACATTTGGCTATTAAAATAAAAGACTACAACATAGTTAAATTACTTTTAAATCATAATGCTGATGTTAATGCAACAGTAAAACACAATGGTTTCACACCACTATCAATTGCTGTTCAAAACAAAGATGAAGAAATTGTCATACTTCTTTATCAATATAAAGTTAATTTTTGTACAAAGACAAAAGATGGAAAAAATATTTTACATATTGCATTAGAAAATAATTGGTGTAAACTCGTGGAAGTTTTAATTTTAAATCAAGCTGACATAAATGATCAAACTAATGAAGGAGAAACGTTACTTTTCATGGCTGTTAAAATGGGAGATGAAATGTATGTTGAACTATTATTAAACTATAATGCCAATGTTAATGTGGCAAATTATAAGAATCAAACTCCACTGCATATTGCTGCTGAGTTTAGTGAAGCAATAGTGAAAATACTTCTTGTTCATGGTGCTAAAGTTGATGAAATTGATGATTATAATGAAACTCCCTTAAGTATTGCTGTTAAATACTGTAATATTAATATTATCAAAGAAATTTTACATTATAAACCATGTATCAATAATATTGGCAACAAGCTTGCATTAGCTTATGCTACTAAAAATATTAATCAGAATTATGTACAAATAATACATATATTATTAGATTATGGTTTTCTATTATCAGATGAAAATGTTATTGATACCTATTTATTAAATTATTTAATTTCACAAAACCAATTGCAAATTATTAAGCATTTATTGAAATATGGCGTAAATATTGTTGCTAGCTTAAACAATCTAAAAGAAAGTTCCTTTGTACAAAATGCTGTAAAAACTGAAAACATTGAACTGTTAAAACTATTGATATGGTATGGATTTGATTTGAATATTTTAGATACATATGGAAAATCAGCTATGGACTATGCAACAGAATTAGATAACAGTGATATAATAGATTTACTTTTAGAAAATGGAGCAAAAATTAATAATTTTACACTTTCTCTTCTAGTTTTAGTAAAAAATGGTAATATTCAGTTATGTCAAAAACTATTAGATTACAGAAATGATGTTTGTGTCAGTGATGAATTTGGAACAACACCAATACATTTAGCTGTATGGAACACAGACTATGAGTTTATACATTTTCTATTATGTAAACAAGCTCATCTAAATATTACTGACAATTGCTCTAATCAAATTACTACAAGTATTATGAATGGAAAAACTGATTTTTATACAAAAGAATTCAAAAGGCAAATTTTAACATCACCTCTACATATTGCTGTGGGTAAGAAAGATAAAGATATTTGTACTATGCTTTTGGAGTACCATGCAGATGTTAATTCCAAAGATGGATACGGTAGAACACCTTTACACATTGCAGCTGCTATCAAATCTTCTAATCAAAAACTTATAATTAAAACTTTGTTTCAATATTGTGCTGACATCAATATTTTAGATGATTTTAAACGACTTCCTATTTATTACTTATACAACCACTCTTGTGTCTGTAGTATAGCATTTCAAAATCAATATGGTTTATACAGTGAATGTGAGTGTGATTTATATGAAGAAAATGAAGTAAATGATGCTATAACTGTCTTTGTTAAACATATAGTAATTTTAGCAAGTATGAATAGGAAAGTTTGTACAGAAAATTATAATATAATACAGAGTAACAATTTTTCTAAAAATTTGCAAATGGAATGTTTGAATGAAATTTCCAAAATGAAAGAAAAAAAACTATATCATCTTATATCGTTTTATGATATAGTGAGTAAAGACTATAATTCGTTAGCTGCATTAGCTCGCAATGAAGATCTTATTCAAGCCTTCCAAATAACTAATTATGCATATGAATTCCCTTTGTACTATGATACAATAAAAGAACAATTTGAGAAAGCTCAAGAAAGAAACTGTTTATTAGAAAGAGCTGTATTGTTATTCACTAATCTTACTAATTTTACTTTGCCACAGTCTATCATCGAAAATATTTTTGACTTTTTACTTTTAAATGATTTAAGAATGATTATTGCTATTTATGATTAATATAATCTTGGGAATAAGATATTTATAAATTAAATCATTATCTTTTTTAGATAATAACTTTATTTGGGAAGTAATCAAAAAATAAAATTCTTCCATTGCAGATTGCTAAACTAATGAAGATATTATCAAAATTGTTCCTACAAATATTTTTTATAATATTTTTAATAATAACTTTTAAAAATAATAACTTTATTTGTAAAACAATCAAAAAATAAAATTCTTCTATTACAGATTGCTAAACTAATAGAGATATCAAAATTATTCCTACAAATATTTTTTTCTTTAAGGATAACATTGTATTTTTTCGATACTTTGTGCGTAGAAACTCAACTTTATGCACACACAAGAAATCGAGCATATTCAAAATCTCGTTTCAGACACGTCGTATCAAAAAATATAGTTATATATACCAGAAAGTGATTTCAGCATCGTATGGCCTCTTTCTCGTTGTGGCCCTCGCCTCGTTCGAGCGCAAACGTCCACACGAAACTATAATTATTTTCTCAAGATAGTATCGAAATTTACTAATTTTATAATTCTTGTATAATTTAGTTAAATTTAACTTTATAACATTATTATTGACAATAATTTTTTTATATATGTAGAAAAAGAAATTGTTACGAGCCTAAGAATTGTGTAATTAAGTCAGAAAAGTACCTTTTTTATTTTTAAACTTGGATACAGATACAGCTGCATTTAATTTTATAATCATACCTATTTGTGCAAAACTGAATACTTTAACATATTTACTTAATAAAGAAGTTTTATATGACAATTAATCCCTTACAATTATTTGTAATTCAATAATGTCTCTGGAGATACTTAATAAATCATATAAATGAACATTTTTTCTGCATTTTTTAATACCTTCCTAGTAACATCTATAGTATATCATACAAGAAACGTCTGACAAAATAAGTATTACAAGTAATCTATTTGAGTAATATATTTGGAAATGAATGATTTAGCCTTAATGATTAAGTAATCGCGATTTTTATCAGTTTCAAAGTTTTAATTTGTTATCTGTTATCTGTATCAAATAGGTAACGGAGAATAAATGATAAAATTGAATATTGCGGGTGTCACGTGCTGCCTCAACACGGTAGAACGGTGAATCAGTGATCGATAGTGGAAAAGAACTAGAGAAGAGAGAGAGAGAGAGAGGCGAAGGCGAAGGTTTGGGAGAAATAGGAGTGCGTGAAAAATTGCGACTGGAATTCGTGTTTCGTGTAAAATGGACTTCAACGTTAAGAAATTAGTTAAAGATGCTGGCGCGGCACTTAGTAGGGTGGTCCAGGTAAAACAAAAGAACTTTTTATTTTCATATTTTTTTTTTCTTAAACTTTGTTTTGTCAGTGTGGGTGTCAAGCACTGTCATTTTTGCCCTGATATTCAATGCCTTGAAATGAAAAGATATTTATTCATTCAGCTCTTCATACTGTGATTTTTGATAATACAAAGAATCAGTTTTTATTTTCTTAATTTAATTATTAATTCTTATTTGATTAGCTTGCAGAGGAGAACCTGGGCACATCTGAGAAAACCGAGCTTGATGCTCATTTTGAACATTTAGCTGAACGGGCAAATGCTACCAAAACCTGGACAGAAAAGATACTCAGGAACATGGAAGCCATGCTAACACCAAATCCAGGTAAAGTAAAATGGTTATTTCAATTACTTATAACAGTATTTCTATATCTATGTAGACTATTGATTAGTTAATACTTATCACATCAATATCAAGTCATAATACTGCTAATTTCATAATGCTTGAAAATAATTTATAATTAACTAATCTGATTGTATCGTATACAATGCATTGGTTTATTAATCTACATATAATATTGATATTTTGATATATAGGCAATAGGATCGAAGATTTCTTTTATGAAAAAATTGACAAGAAGAAACCTTGTAGGCTCAGCAACTCAGAATATGTTGGTATAGATATGATTGAAGCTGGTAATGATTTTGGACCTGGAACTGCTTATGGTAAAATAGTACTTTTTATTATACCTACATTTGTATAAATAAGTATTTTAATTGCCTTTTCATACATATATATATATACATATATATATTGATTTATATATGTAGGTAGTGCATTGATAAAAGTTGGTAACTGCCAACAAAAATTAGGACAAATTGAAAGAGATTTCATTGGGATGGCAGCTAATTGTTATATTCAACCATTGAGGAAGTTTTTGGATGGGGAAATGAAAACCATTAGTAAAGAAATGGCTATTTTAGAAACTAAAAGGTGTGCTAACTTTAAATTGTAAATGTTATAAATATTTAAGAATAATTTAGACAATACTATATTCCAACTGTTTCTCCAGACTAGATTTGGATGCATGCAAAAGGCGTGTTAGGAAAGCAAGAAGTATGTTGGGCCAACAAAATGTGAGTTTACTTAAAAATTTATTTTGTTTCTTACAATTACTTTAATTCCTTTTTGCTAAATTGAAATGAAATTTATAAACACTGCTGCATTAAATAGGAAAGTGGAATTTCTCCAGAAGTATTACTTGATCAGGTATTAATGAAACTGATCCTATGATATTATTTCACTATTATAAATTAGCTGTATCATTTAGGCATGTACAGATTGATTTGAACAATCAACAATTTTCTAATATTAGTTTTAATTTGATTATTTTATTATTAGATTTGTATCATAAATCAAATATCATCAAATTGTCAATGTTAGTTACTATATATTTCTAAATTGTTGTTTATTTGCTACATTATAATTATATTATTAGAAAACTTTTATTTTTTAGTTAATGACATCATTGTTGATAAAATATTTTTGAATTATTTTATTAAAACCTAGTGTTGAAAATAAATTATCAATTTGCAAAATAGTAAGAAAAATCTTTACCTGAATTTAGGCCGAGAGAGAGCTCAGGGTAGCGCAGTCGGAATTTGACAGACAAGCAGAAATCACGAAACTTCTGTTAGAAGGTGTTTCAAGTTCACAAGCTGGTCATCTTCGTTGTCTACATGAATTTGTTGAAGCGCAAACTCGCCATTATGCACAGTGTCACGCAACAATGCAAGAATTACAACGAGAATTAGCAGGGTAAATATTTTTCAGAAATCATTGATTCACTAATATTAAGTTTGATTCATAAAATTGTCCTGCACCTTACTTGTTTTACTTGCGAAATTTTTTTAATACAGCTTTCCTACTCTTGAGTGATTCGAGTGAGTAATGTGTATTAGTGGTCGTAAGTGGCGTAGTATGCGCCGTTGGGTATTTAGATGATGCTTGAATCATTACTCATTCGTGGAAATATTATGCTTGTCTTGATGTTTCAATTATCAGTATACAAAACTAAGTTTCTTATTACAGCATGATTGAAAAAATTTCTGAAAGTTTTTTAATGCTTTCTAATAAGGTTCTATTTTGAATTTTAATAGATAAATTTAAAATTATCATTGACTATAAAAGTATTTATATTTAAATCCTGTATACCAAATAAAATTTTATTGCATGAACAACAATATAAATAGAAAATAATATTGATTATCTTTGCTATCTCATGCATCATTTATTACATTTTGAATTTGAGCTGTATAAGTATAAAATTAAATACTGATTAATTTTCAATATTGCCCTGATAATATAATAGTTCAATTCAGAAATTTTTGCAATTTTAGCATGAATGCAATTAATAATAATGAAGGAATTGCACATAAAATACCCGAACTTTGATAATGGTGAACACTCGTGAAGCTTTACTAATAACAAACTGTACTCTTCTAATGAACTCTCATTTACGTTGAACGACATCTCTTCTTTACCTAATACTCTATCTTTGCTGGCATGCTTGGGGTTGCAGGGCGCGACAGCCAAGTCCTCTGCTGCGAGTCAACAGCGAGGAAGTGATCGAGCTAAATTCCTCGCCCACACAATCCCAAAATTCACCTAACCATCTTGCCGGATCTACCTATATCACTGCCACATTTGACTCAGACGTTTCAAAAATCTAATTATTTCTTTTCCACTGATATAATCTGTTCCTACTCTATATTATCTCCATGACACTTTAGCTTATTCGAACAGTTGTTCTCCATTTTTAGTTTGATCAAGCACGTATGTACTTAACTTGATTTCAGATAATTTAGCATATCAACATAATCGAATAGCCATTCCTCTTGATTAAAATAATATGTTAATAGCATTTATCATTTTTGTTGTTGCAATGATAATCGTTATCGAAATATCGACGTCGATTGAAAAATTTTTTCCATGACAGATTTTAAAGTACATCGTAATTTAGATAATTGTGTAGATATTTATTTTCTAGATTGTCCATAATTCTAATGGAATATACGTATTATTTATGTTATACCTGCAATGATCAAATATGGTACAATGCTACTAGTCAATTTAAAATTCAGGCATACACGTTCCTAATGAATTAGAATTAATATAATTATAGTTTTACGATGCTAACAAATACTTATATATCAAAACTCCATTAATAAGTGTAAAAATATATAATAATTGACGAAATAAATTATTTAGAATTAATAAACTATTTCTAATACTGACAAACTTTCCTAAATCGCACTAACATTTTTCCTTTCTTACACTTAATATATGTCATTTTAAGATACTTCAACTTTTCTAAATATGTTTTACTACTCATCGTAATCACCACATGTACATATATTATGAACTAATAATGTGCAATCCTTTGGCTTCAAATTTATTATGCATGTTTTCTCACCTTTCATGATATTTTATTCACGCGGTTCTGTTAATTTATTGTTTGAGTGTTCGTCTCTTAATCATAATAGGTTTAAATTTATCAAACATTCTCATTGTGTGTATGTTAAGCTTGTTACTTATCCTTATTTTTGTTGTTCATATGTCATAATTTTAGTAATTTGTTTAGTAATAATTTTATTTTATCAATGTAATTATTAATTATACATTTCACAAGTATAGGATAAATTAATGAAAAATTTAGTCTTTTGTGGAATATTAAATAAATTATGAAACGACATATTTTGAATATAATATTAATTAATCAAGATCATAACGTGCAGGCGAGTTTTAATAAACTTTAATTTTCTGGAAATCTTAATTGATATCGCTTCAAAGTTGAATTGCAATAATTTGATTGATAAATTGAAAGCAAACTTAAGATTAAGAAAATGTTTATTTTTTAATTGATCAATGCACAAATGTTACCATCAAATATTGCACTTCCTGAATTGACCCCATTAAAACTTTATCCCTCCCAGTTTGTCTGGGGGTTCATTTCATCCAACCACTTTGTCGAACACCACCGAGCCCGTGGAAAATGGCCAAGAACGAGCAAGAGTAATTTGCGATTACAAGGCAAGAGACAACGAAGAACTCAGTGTATCGCAAGATGAGGTAAACAAATTTGTTATTTGAATTGAAAACAAAACAGAGAAAAAGCATGACGTCAGTGTTGAGTTGAACTTTTTGTTGGAGTATAATGTTAATTACTTTTGTTACGCCAACGTGGATGAAGCTCATATAATTTAGCATTTATTTTATATTCTGTCAGGATAATTCAACTCTCAATTTTTGTATATTTTACATATTCAATGTTTTACTACTTAAACATTTTTGTCTAATGTGGTCCAATTTTTTAATATTAATCCTATATAATAAGTAGTGAAACATTAATTTAAGTTTTAGTATACGATAATATGCATGATCATATCATGATTTTTACATGTTTTAAAATTTTATTTTATATAGTCGTGTCTATTATTGTTATTTAAATTTATTTAGATATGTATAGCATAATATAGTTACGTCATGTACTTCTTATAAATATATGTACGCTTGTGTTGCAAAAAAGTTCAGTCATTTAAAATTTCGATATATATGATTAATCTACGTTTTTTACTGCATGAGTTGGAAATTTTAATTAAGCAGTAGGGGAGAGCGAAGTAAAGCTATCGAGAAGAAAAATTACAAATCTTGAATATTACTTATATCACTTTATTCGGGATATTAAACTGATGCTGTTAATCTGATCCTTTTCCGTGCAGATTTTGTCCGCAAATCCAGAAGATTAGCCAATGTTTGATAATGAGTATTCAATTTTATGTTGTAAATACGTAATACTGAGTAAAATTATAGTAAAAAAATTTATTATGCGTAAGCTTCACTTCGGACGATCAAAGATTAAATTATACTAAACAAAGTCTTCTAAGTATAGGAATGAATAGGCAGTAAGAACAATTTATGATAAAAACTTCAGGTAGATTTCTACTTATTCTATCATGTGCTCCTATTTTTTATTTGAAAATTATTGCTAAATCACCCGACGAGTGCAATAGTTTTATAATGTAAGTAATTGTTGAAGCATATAATAAGAAAAATCCGTCCAATGATTGATTGTATAGCATTGTTTTCAGAAACGTTGCTTCAAAAACGTAAATAGATTTATGCAGTTCTCCTCTATTTCAAATTAAGTAGTCTGTAAATTTTTTTTATAAATATTTAATAGTTACGTTGTAAATTCTCATGTCTTTAGTTGCTAATCATTTATTACTACCATCTACATTGTATTGTTTTTAAAAAGTATTTTTATGCCAGTATGTCAGTAATCATTATTTTTGCAAATATATTTTTTTGTAAATAACAGGGAAATTTTTTAATTAATATGTGCTTTTAAATAAATATATTAGTTCATTACATACTATAGTTTTGTTTTGTTTTCCTTTTCCATTATTGAGATTTGAATGAGCGATTTCTTCAAAAATTATGTTTGTAGGTCATAGGTGTAAAGGAAATACCTGGAGATGAAGATTATTTAATGGGTTTCCGTGGTAATCAAAAAGGAAGAATCCCCAAAGTTTATTTAGAAATGCTTGAGTTTTAAATAAAATGTGATTGAATGCTTATACCTCAATGTATGTACTAATTAGCAATCAATAAGCAGAGAAACTTTTGTAGTTTCCAAAAAAATAACTCCAATCAAATTCAATTATTAAAATCAATAACTTACTATAAGATATAAAAATATTTTTAAAAAGTTTCAAGTTTTAGTCGTTCCGCGCTACAATCCACTGTACAGTATTATATTATCTATAATAAAGTTATTATTAAGAATAAGATACATACTTATAGTATTAAAATCATGTATCAAATATAATAATACTGCCTGTTGCGTTTCACAAATATACAAGTTTAAATGTTTTTAAATTTGTAGAGTTTAACATTTGTTCAATGACCAAAAATTAGTAATGTAAATTTGTCAAAATAATAGTTGCTTGCGAAAATAAAACGAATATAATTAAAAATTCTTTTTATTTCTCTTAATACAATATTAAATTACTTCTTTTTGGATACACCAACAGTACGACCACGTCTTCCTGTAGTCTTTGTGTGTTGACCACGAACACGGAGACCCCAGTAGTGTCGAAGTCCTCTGTGTGCGCGAATTTTCTTCATACGCTCCAAATCTTCACGAAGCTTTGAGTCCAAATTGGAACTTGTAAGCTGAAATATATTAAAAGACAAATTAGATTTTAATTCAGACCATTTTTCAATACTTTTTTTTCCTGAGTTCTAGTCTTAAAAGTAAAATAAAAATTTTTTTGTTTCATTTTGCTATTTTTGAATTTTAATGCTCAGAAAAAGGAGGAATATTTTGAATAAAACTATAAAGGTCAAAACCAACGTATGAAATAATTTTATTGTCAAATAATTGATATACTGCTGAGTTATTATTATATACAAATATAATAATAAATTTTAATAAATAATTTTAGCTTATAGTTAAAGAAAAGAGTTTATATAAATAGTATATTTTCTAAGATAATTGTTTTGTTGATTAAAATTTACTGATCAATAAATATTGTTCTGAGTTGCACAAAAGTTATGCAACAACTACAAATGTTGCATTTTTTAAAATAAACTTGTCTTATAATATTCAAGGATTTTAAAAAATGCAGTTTCTTTAGCACAAGCTACCAGTCTAATTATATATTTAGATATAATTATCCGTGTTATTGTGCTCAATTGACTAACTATAAACAATAGGAAGATAAACTAAGAACTGACCAACTTCTACATTGTTTCTTTCCTTTTGCAATTTTATACAATAATAAGTTTATAAAGTACATAAGTTTATACCTGTGAGTATTTGCCATCAACAATATCTTTCTGCCTGTTGAGGAACCAGTCAGGGATTTTATATTGTCTGGGATTAGCCATGATGGTAACAATTTTCTCTACCTGAATTTCGAAGAGTAATAATTTAATATATAAAAATAGATTTTGTTTATCAATATGAATTGCAAATCTTACCTCTTCTTCAGAACATTCACCGGCACGTTTGTCCAGATCGATGTCGGCTTTTTTCAAGACAATATTGGCATATCGCCGCCCTACACCCTTGATGGCAGTCATAGCGAACATGACTTTTCTGTTACCATCAATGTTGGTGCCCATGACACGAAGAATATGTTGAAATTTCTCTGGTATGACGAGCGACTGAAAATTAAAACAAAATATTACGTATTAGTGGATAAAAATCTTACATGACATACACTTTCATAGAAATTGTTGTGAATTTGTATTCTTGCAAAAACATAGTAACATTGTATTAACAATCGATTACGATCACCAACGATAATAACAAACTATTCATTTTTTTATTTTATTTATTTCTTAGCACAAACAACACATCCACACTGCCCTTAACCTCACTTTGGGCAAAACAATGTTGGTTTACAATATAGAAATTTATCACGGTGAGTATGAAATATAAACAATAAATCCATTTTAAGATTATTTTTAACAAATTCCAATGCAAAATAAAGATTTATTACGCAGGATGCACTTGAATTTTGTAGATTTTTTTATTAAAAAATAAAGAATCTCACCATCTTGGCTGACTGTCAAGCTTCAAAAGACCACTGAAAATTAAAGAACATGAAGTTGCTACGAATAATATTATAAACCTAACCTAGCTTTCATTTTCGACTGATCGATTAGAGCTTAGGAGCGCGAACTTTTGTTTTTTTGTTGGTTGTTGATTTCGAAATTGTCACTAAAAAATTTACAAAACATTTTTTAATTGTTTGTTTGTTTTATTATCAATACGATTTGTTACTTTTTAAGTAAAATATGATTATTTTATTAGTAAGTGCGCGTAAACTTAAATTATAACATTATGTAGGTATATTTGCAGATATTAATCACGTATGTAATAATGAAAATTTATTACAATTATCATATATAATAATTGGCAATCAGTAGTTTCGAAAGAAAGTGATACCAAAATAGTTATCAGGCGAGTCACTTTAATTTATTACTATAGGTTTAGCTGCCTAGCGTTAAGGTAATATCTTTACATTACAATCGTGTGTACCAAGTGTGTGGTGTGCATTCAACACTGTACTTTGATGTATAACTATACTAAAATTTGTGGGCATTTTGTGAAAATTGTGTACAATGTAAAGTCTTCTTTGTTCATGTTGTTAAATTAATGGTGTGTAGGCGGGAAATAATAAAACTAGCATTTGTCTTTTGAATTCAGACGATGAAAAGAAAAGAATGTCAAAAAAAAAAGGTATGATAATTTAAATAAGTGTTTAAAGCGCGAGATATATTAAAGTGCAGCTTGATTGAAAGTGAGACATCGACACAGTACACACGTTCAAAGACTAGATGAACGTTTCTCAAGATAGCTGATAGAGATAGATAATCCCTGGCTGCAATCAATGTTTGTTGGTTAGAAAGAAAGGGCAAACATTGTCCCGGTGTCGTGGTCGCCTCTCATTTACCTCCCTCCCTCCATCTCTTTCTCTGTCTTTCTTATTCTGGTTCCCTGCTCTGTCTTGGGCTCGTATGTCGTGAGACCTAAGCGCGAGTGGCGAGAAATATCAACGGCTCGCGAATGTCCGTGCTTAAAGTGCAAGACGAGGAGGTGGCAGCAGAACACGAGAGCCGGCGGCAGCAGCACCTTACCACCCTCGAGCTGCTGTCGGCCTCGAGAACCCCAACTAGCAGCATCCTACTATAAGCTCAAGCCCTGAGAGCAGCACCAGCTTCAAGATGTCAGTGACAGATGACAGGATCAGGGAGCTCAACTGCAGTTTCCTTGAGTTCATGAACAAGCCTGAAAATGTAGAGACTGCCACCAAGGAGATCTATGATGACCTACTGGACGAAGTGCTCATGGGCTTTGTCTTTGATGTGCATCGTGTGGTCAAGATTGGCAGTTCTGAGGTCGAAGAGGGCATACCAGATGATGAGTCTTATGCGATTGTAGGTAAGGATGGCTGACATTTAACAAGATTAATAAGAGTTCTGTATGAGTGTGTATGCTGCTTTTGCTATCTGCTCTGAAGATCTCGGTCTGTTTTCATAGTTTTGAAGCTCTCAGAGCTCATCTTGTGTGACTTAAACTTTATCTATCTTTTCTGTGGTTCATTATCATTAACCGTTAACATTCCCATGATTTTTCTTGCATACTAAGTGGTATACCGATCATTACCTTGTACTGATATTATCTATAACATGGGAGCAATTGCATTTATCAGAAGCTTATATCGTTTGGCATTCAATTTTGCAACTATCGAAAGATAGTTTTTCAAAGCCTATGGTGGGACAAGTTGCAATTTGAGTCTATAGTACTCAAGAGAAAAGTGTAAGTAGTGCAATGCAGTAAATTTGAGATATTGGCCTAGCCAAAAAGTGCTTGCACTGGTGTTAGTGGACTGCCCATATCATTTGTACTGAATTCACTTCAGAGCATGATGAGCAACAGCAAATGAACGCTTGTTTGATGGCGCGTGCAATGACGTTGATGGTTTGGTTGGGCAGACTCGCCGGGCCTAGACGTGTTCGGTCAGCACCCGATTAAGAAGTCGCAGGAGTGCAACTGCCCGAACTGCGAGCGAGGTGTGGCGGCGAGCCGGTTCGCCACCCACCTGGAGAAGTGCATGGGCATGGGCCGCAACAGCTCGCGCATCGCCTCGCGGCGCATCGCCAACAACAGCAAGGACCTGACGACCTTCAGCGGGGTGATCAGCGACGACGACGACGACGTCGACTGGAGCGTGAACAACGACAAGCGCAAGCGGCGCAAGGAGCGCAACGGCCTGAAGAAGCTGAAGCAGCCGAGGCAGCAGCAGGCGGCGGGCGCCGGGGCCCTGCTGGCGGGCGCGCTGCTCGCCGGGCCCGCGAGCAGCAACAACAGCAGCGGCTCCTCGTCGAGCAGCTCGCTCGGCGGGCCCAAGAACAGCGGCAGCGACGGCGGCGAGCTGGTCTACACGAGCAGCGAGAGCTCGCCGTCCAACTACGAGGGCATGAGCCTCGAGGAGAAGCGCGTCCTGCTGCAGCAGGTCTGCGGGGTCATGTCCGAGCACACCAAGAAGATCTGCACGCGCTCGATGCGCTGCCCGCAGCACTCGGACGAGCAGCGCAAGGAGGTGCGCGCCGGCCTGGAGGAGCTGGTCGCCGCGCAGGGGCTGCCCGCGGGCCTACACGGGGTCGAGCTCGAGCCGACGGCCTACGACGAGGCCGCCGAGCTCGCGGCCAGGTGGGACCGCGACTCCGGCGCGGCGGCGGACGCGTTGGCCGGCGCCGCCTCCTCCTCCTCCTCCTCGGGCAGCCGCAAGCGCGAGGCCAAAGCCAAGGGCAAGGCCAAGGCGGCCGGCAAGCGCGAGCGCAACTCGCCCGTCTCCTCGCACTATATTTTCCTCAACACCTGATCCCGGGCCGGGGCCGCGGCCCGCGCCGTCGCTCCCTGCTCGGGCTAGGCCAGTCTCGCTCGCTGTCTCACTATCGATGTACATCCGCGACGCACCCCATTTTTATTTCGTTCTGCGTTCGGTCACGAGCAGCCACCTTACACTCGTCGTGTATTGACTGTAAGTTCTTGGTTCGCTGTTCGGCTGGAGTTTCTACTCGCGCGCTTGCTCTCGTGGCGGCCATGGGAGTCTTCCTAATCCTCGTTGTACAGACGCTCGCTTCGCCTGTCGCCTGCCTATCTCTAATCTAGCTTAACTTTTCTTTACCCCCTATCCGCATTGTCGACTCTCCTTTGTTCCTTATCCATTTATATTGTAGCCTGTTCCGATATTTATTACGATTTCTCTTTTCATAAGAAGCGTTATTTATATATTACTCAACGCACTGCATCTTTTAGATTATATATTAATTCAAATAATTGATGAACAGTGGCAGAATATTTTTACAAGACAGTTTACATGAGATTCAAATTTATATATGAGTCAATTCTGAATTCTAATGAATAAACAATTGAAGTTCTTTGTATTCGGTCTATCTTTATTTCCTTCCTCTCTTATAGTATATTAATATATATACAAATTTCATTCCAAATGTTCTTGTGTAATCTGTGTTTCAATTTTTTCATTCAAATTTTTGTTGTTGCAAATTAATATACAATTCATTTTTTTATGGTAATTAATTTATTCCAACATCTAGTGAAACTGCTTTCGTGCAATATTTAGCTAATTCAAGTAAATATGAATACATATGCAAAAGTATATAAATTTAGATATACACACACAAATACGAGGAATTCTCTCCACCACTCCTAGTCAGCAGAGCCTACGCATCAGCTGATCGGGGACGCTGCCTTCGTAGCAGACAACTCACGCACGCCAGTTGCCACGACGCCAGCGAATCTCAATCTCTGTCGCATATCTATGAAAAGTCGAATATATATATATATATATATATATATATATATATATATATATATGAAGTTTATGCAATGTGCTGGCTCGTGCCTTGTCTTGGCGTCGGTTTGGAAACGCCATATTATATCTATTCTTAATATAACATTATAATATGCAGTGCAAGCAACAATAATTTTAATCACAATACGTGATTATCTCATAGAATTGATTCTTACAAACTCTTTAGTATTGGATTATTAAAATTGTTAGAGGTATTGCCTAAACAGTCAATTACTTTCAGGTTAGAATCGGCGTTATTTACTTTTTCGAATTTTTCATAGAATTATTAATTATCGTGAAAGATGAAGATCGAAGAGTATCGTGAGATAATTAAAACAATAAAACAATATCAAGGTCTGCCAAAGGATTGTTCCAAAATGCTGATTACAAAGTACAACAGGTAGTAATCATTTTATGTTTTACTTAGGCGTTTAGTTTATTTAGTCTATAGTCTGTTTTTCTCACTTACTTTCCTACATTATAGTTTCATTTTCTTCGGTAAAATACTAAAATATTTAATGAAATCGTTAAAAAATGTTTAAATTATTTAACACTAACTTATAAGGTACTTTGTTTCCAGATTCCATCCATTTACGTTAAAGAGTATATTGAATCAAGAGATTCAGTGGAGAACAAAAATTAATCACAGACAAGTTTATAAGAATGAAAATAATAATTTTTATCAAAGGTAAGTTCAACACTGAATTTATATATTCATGTTACATAGTAGAAATATAATGATCAGCTCTCATATCTTTTTAGATATTTTCAAGCTTTTCAAAAAGGTGAACCCCCTGGAATTCTGCTCAGAATGGCCTGTAAGCTTAAGACTTGTCCTGCATTATTAGCCAACAAAGTATTGAAAGAATATTATTTATCTAGTGAGAATGGTACGTTATTTAATAAAAGAATCCAGATGCAAATTGAATTTTAGTAGCTAATTTATTATATTTGTATTTTTCAGATCTAAAAGTAACGAAAAATGACTTGCAAAAAATGATGAAAGATACTACTCTCATTTCTCATGCAAGTTTGGCTTACGAAGTTTATTTGGTAATTATAAAATTAAATTTTTTTATTAACATAGAAATCATGAAAATAGTTTGTTTAATTAGTACTCAGCTAAACTTAAAATTATTTTATCCATTTGAATTTTTCTTATCATAATATTAATATGTTAATCTTTGATGACTGATGTACGATGTACAGTTGGTAATAATTATTGTGTTATTTCACAGCAAATTGATTAACAGTAATTAAATTTTCATTTTCAGTGTGTGTTGTATGATAATCAGTATGGCGCTATAGCTAATTCAGTAAGCGAGTAAGCAAGACCTCTTTTAAATAACATTCTGCAAAGTATTTTATAGTTTTATCTATAAAAATTAATTGTTTTGTTACAGTTGTACTGGACAAGAGTATGAAATAAAATTAGAACACTACTTGATTGAGCACAAAATTCCATTTCTCAATGAAGAACTACTTCGAACTAAAGGCTATGATAAAACGCCTGATTGCAAATTAGAAATTCCAATAGCTATCAATGATTTTGTTATTAACTGGATAGAATCAAAAGCTCAATTTGGTACACCGGAAACTCATAAATCATATGTAAAGGGACAATTTCTCAGCTATTGGAATAGATTTGGTCCAGGTTTAGTAATCTACTGGTTTGGTTATGTTGATAATATTGTACAATCAAAAGAAAGCAGATTCATTGTTATGGATCATTTTCCTGAGAAGATCACATATATGGATCCATATTCAATTATATCTTCTGTGAAATAAGCTAATAGCCATAAAGTAACTTATAGTAACAAGAATTGTAATATACTTATGATCTAAGTAATTGTACAAATGAATTTTCATGGAATCATATTCGTTGTTTACTATAAATAATTATTAATTTATTAAAATGTGAATAGTCGCAAATATAAAAGAGGTATATATTGAATGAAAATTTTTATGATTTTTTACTGAAAATCGCTTTTATGTGACTAGAATTGAATTGAAAACTGTTTTTAATAAAATTATATAAAAAATAAATGCAACGAGAATTTATTGACCAATTCTTTAAAGGATAATAAAAGGGTACAGTGTGCCAGGTAAATATTAAGTTATTCAAGTGCGTAATCTTTTAGCGAAATTAGGTAAGAAATCGGAAACTCACTCCCAAAAAGGAGTAAAAACAGGCTTAGTGCGTACGTGATATAATACCGGTTGGTCGAGTTCATGGAAAAATCCGCAACAATTTCGCCGAAAAGGCCGGCGGCAGCTGCAGATGGGCAAGTATTCGAGGGTCTGAATAGTCGCGAGTGGATCTAGTTGCAGAGTAAGAGCAGTGGCGCACGTACATGGCCTTGCGCGCGTGTGCGTCCGCAATAATGCGCCTGTTTATTTATAAAAAGAGCGCGCTGGATATGTCGCATGCGCCGCATCTGCACATTCACACTCACTCTCACGCGCGGCTGTCCGCCGCCCCAGCTCACTCGGATTTTCCAGTCGCAATCCAGATATACGCCGGCTCGCAGTATCCGCGCACGTCTTTTACGCGCTTTTGCCGATAGTTTTAGAAGCTGCCCGCTTGCGAGATTCTGCCGTTTAGTTTTTCGCTTCGATGCTTTTGATCGTAGCAGCGTTTTCGCCTTTTCAATTTTATTATCGAGTTATTGATTTTATTTCAACTAAAAATAAAGACAACGAGTTTGGCTCCACGTGATTCCATATACATACCCGTGAAGCAGTTTTATCTTTCAACATTTTAAGAGGCAACAAGTTGAAAGATTCACTTGCCGCGTAAGTAGACATTACAAATGGTATTGTTTGAAGTAAGTGCTCGTTTCGCCACTCTTGTGAGATTGACAAACAATACATATATATCCTTTTAATTCCTACCACGAGTGCACAAGATACATTTATCGAACATACGTTCACGACAAAGATATCTGCAAAATTTCATTTATCACTGAATGGCCGATTAAATGAACATTATTAATCAACTTAAGCATAACTTTTTGCTCTGATGTTTATCGGTTTTTTTTATTGTGTATAGTACAAAATGAATTTCGAGATTACCGCGCCCGTCAGAAGTAAAGTGTTCTATTTCTATTTTTCAAGACATCGTACTCTTTTTTATACTTTTCTTCAAATAGTGTTTCTCATCATCGACAACATAAAATTGTTAGATTTGGATATTACACCTGTACCAAAAAATAACGTATTTTCTTTTATTCCCATTGATTAAATAAATTTGATGCGAGGATCTTACATTTACTATGTAAGTTTCGTACGTTTGTTTATCACTATTGTCTTTTCAATAGTATAACACGTGGTGAATATAAAAATACCAGATTGCTGCGCATGGAATGTATGGAACACTTCTTATGGAACATTTCCAGATCTCACTAAAATAAAATTTTCGGTACGTAAGAATTGAAGGGTATTGATTCAGCGGTTACATAAAAGGATAACGAAAAAAAATCAGTGTATTGATTATACCTAGTTATTATTATCATTACTGACGATATACTGATGCCTTACAAGAGTCAATTATTAGCTTGTAACGTATATAATGAAAAGAATGGGTTTGTACGTGAGCGATGGTAATTTGCTAGAAACCGGATATATTAAAGTACTGCTATATCGTGTTGTGCGTTACAAGTCCGTGATCTCAAAATTGTAGTATTAAATATTCTCATCAATAATGTAACAGACTCCGTGTAATTGTTGAAACATTTACACTCGGAGCTTTTATGCATTTCTCACATGTTCAATAAATTACTTTACTGACAGACATCTAATATTTAAATCTCGCATCTTTTTACATTAACGTTTTTAACTAACAAAAGTACGTACGAGTATTTTTACTTTTGAAATACATGTGTCATCTGTAATCTAATTAATCGATTTCCTGTTACTGACTCATTTCAACGATGTGCATTGAGCACAACAAAAGATTCACTATGAAATTTGTACCGCTACAAAAATGAATATTTATTTATCATATTAAAACGTGTGCTCGATGGCCTTTTCCCTATAGACCTTAATTTAATTCAAGAAAATTTAATTTTATTTACCAGGAAAAACCAGCCCTACCCGTTTTCACCATGGAAAGTGGTCTTTCGCAATTAAGTTTACGTAAACAATGAATAAAACGGAATCCTATTTTTTGATGTGCATGTTGTCCAATTAGTCACGTGGTCTGTAAAAACAAAACGAAGTAGATGCTGCGTATACAAGCTATGAGAACAATATGCGTAATGTGTGCAGGTCCACTTTGAAGCTGGCCAATGTCAAGAAAACAGAGCGGGACAAACTTCAATTGTTTACAAAGCACGCAATAGCAGGAGAACAACCGTTGCCGCGGTTGTGGTTGAAGCGGTCCGAAATCGCTCGATCCTGCAGATCTTTGAAGAGGCTGCAGTGATTCACCTATTATTCATCAACAACACAAGCGGGCATAACAACCAGCTGCCCACTCCTTGCCCCTTACCTATGAAGCGGCGAGATCTCGTCTTCGGAATCCTGTTTGAATGAACTGTCTTTCTCCTCGGTATCGCAGGCTTCGCCCTTGAACGAGAAATATGACATTTCTGCAACCACAATCTTAGAAAAAAATTGTGCGCTTCCTACACGACGTTCTCTAATCTTATGGTTGCAAGATTTTTCCTTCAACGCTATGTCTACGATTGGTAAAGAGTCTGTCGTCAAGAGCCTTCCCAACGTTTCTTCCATCAAGATTTTACCAGCCCAGATCGCTCGTTTGAAAAAAGAGGTGAGAGCATCAATACTTAATTAAGCGTTACAAAGATTTTTTTCTATGATACCGTTTACCGAGCTATTCTTTGGTGCGAGCTTGAAGCGTTAAAATACCCATTCCTTAGAATCTTTTATATAGCGCAAAGCAAATTTTTTTGAATAATTGCAGCCGAGTCTTTGTGAATGAGTATATTAAGTAGATCATATCAGGCATAAGTCAGACATGATCTTAATTTTTAATTTTTATTAATTGTTCTGAAAAACCGACTATCTAAATTCCCCGTTCATTAATAAAAGTAGACCCACTTATCCATCGAATAAATATCATACAAGAACCAATATTCATATTTAATCGTCTTCTATGTAAAAAAACTGTGCTTGTTTCAGGAAGAGGACGAACCGTGGATATCCGGTGAAGAGTTATACACGGAAGGCAGTAGCGACGAAGAGAGTTGTTACAAAAGTACGTTGTCCGATAAAACCTCGGGAGAATCGACATTGTCCATACCAAAAATCCATCGGCCTAGAAGCAAAGTCGATAAAAAGAAAAAAATCAGTAGCCCACTGAATATACACAATCACAATACTTTAAGTGTGCAATTCGAAGGATCGAGCTCGAAAGGACGAAATTCACCAATAAGCAGCGTTAGTGACGAGGACGAGGAGTCTCGCGCCGATGATGAAATATCGTGGAAGGCTAACCGAGGTAATGGTGCACTCGAAGCAACAAACCAACAACCTTCTTGATTTTCGTTTTCTTCAAAACTGTTAACTTTATAGTCATCATTGGATAATAAATCAATTATATATATTTTTTTTCTTCAAAATGTTCCATCACTCTTTCCTATTTAATTCATTAAATTGATTAATTCCATTTATTACAGAAAACTTGTTATTGCTAAATGAAATCGTAACGCTTGAAAAGCACCAACAAGAATATCCAAAAATATGTGATACAGTTGACCAATTATTCAAAAATTATTTTGAAAAATTTAACAATTTTGAAAGAATCAACAGTGAACATTTTGTAAGACAAAACAAAATATTACAAGAAGAAGTAAAGTCAAGCTTAACATTAGTTGATACAGTAATTAATGAAATACAAGAAAAAATTGAGGTGCAAAAGAAAATGTATATTTTTGCAAAAGTTAATTTTATTCTGTACATACTTAACATACATTCATTTACAATTTTCTAGAAGATCCAAAAAAAAACCAAACATATACAAATCCAAAATCGGTTGAGATTAAAAAAAATCATAGCAGAAGGTCCACCCGAGTCGCAGAAATTAGCTCTAAATTCAAAAAAATTCTTTGAACTTTGTACAAAATGAAGCTGATTTTGTATTATAAGTTCATAGAAAGGCTACAAATAAAAAACTGAGAATAACTGTTAAGTAATCTGAATTTAAATTCAAATAAAACATTACAATTTAATTGTAATTTGCAGGTTAAATCTAAAATATTATTTATTTACATTCTTAACTTCAAATAAATTCAACTATTACTGTTATGTATTATCAAACAATGCAAGTGATAAACATTTCAGGTTAAGTAATAAATTATTTTGCTACTTTCAAAAAGAAGTCTTTCAACAAACTTCCTTTCATCAGAGTGTATAAAAGATAAATTATTCTATAATAATAATTATCACTATTGAACTTTTAAAATTACAGTTATCGAAGATTAATTAAACTTTATCTTTTTTTTTCTTATCCGAAATAGTATATTTATCATAAGTTTTTGTAGGATCATATGGCTCCCACCTGCTTGCTGGGAATATATGTTTGTTTCTTTCATACCATGATCTGAAATACAAATAAAAAAACTTTGTAAGCAAAAATCTTTTTGATGAAATATCAAGAGTAACATTCATCATACCTTAACAAGACTTTGCCAGCATGTGATTCTTCAGTTTCCACAGATGCATCAGACATCATTCGAATATCATCATGTACATCAAATGTAAAAAGGGGCCCACTTTTTCCTCTTGCTTTTGTCACAATAAAGTCATAAAATGTATAGTGATGTGGAAGGATGAGATCTTCTTTGACATACATAAGCTGATCTGCCATAACAGTTTTCAATTCACTAAACTCTTTTCTCAAGACCTCTAAACACTTTTGAAGTAATTGATAGATTGAATGTCCTGTGATCACATGATTCAATTTTAATAAAAGTTACATCAGTATGAATTATATAAAATTTGTTCATATTTTTACCTTTCTTCATGAAAACACTGCGCCTATGTCCTGATCCATCCCAATAACTGAAAGTGATTTCAATTTCCTCAGCTTTAATTGCTTCTTGTTTTGTTGTCCATTCTTGTCTGAGCTCTTCACGTAAACGGTTTTCTTCTTCTTCTCGTTCCCTATCTGGTAAAAAACTTGTATCAACATCTGGATTCTTTTTAATTTTCTTTAGTGGTGGAAGTGTATCGTTTGATTTGATATCAGAGTCATGGTCTGAAACATCATCTTCTTCATCTTCTTCCAAGTTAAATGATAAAGCTTGTATTTGTTTCTTCTGTTTACTTTTTTCAGCTTGTTTAGCAGCAAGTGCTCTTTCTTTTTCTTGCTCCTTCTCTTTTTCCTTTTGCGCTAATTTTCTTTCTCTTTCTTTTATAATATCTTCTTGTTTAGCTTTCATTTCATCTAATGTTACTAGACCAATGGTTGAAGATTTGAGTTGTTGTTCAACTGCATTATAATGAGTAGCAAACTTATTTTCAATGTTGTGTATCTTCAAGTCATTTTCTATTTTCTTTTTACGAAGTTCAATTTCTTGTTGTGCTATTTCCCTTTTCTTCATAAGTTGCATTGCTCTGCCAGCTTCACTGGCTGCTCCTTTATAGTGAGCCATGATTTTCAGTATAAAAATTTACTGTTGAAAAAGAAAGATTAAGTTGAGTATTTTTAATTTTAAATAAAATAAAATTAACCTAGTAGTAGCTTTGTAATTTGATAACCTTAAATACTTACATTAGAGTAAAAGAAATGTATTACAATTTTATGGTATAATTGTAAGCTATTTCTAAGTTCTAATATATTTTTTTAAGATAATAGTTCTTTATTCTCAACAAAATAAATATGACAGCGACGAATCGAGTAAACACAAGAGAGTAATAGCCCTGCAGTAAACACTATGTATTTGTAGAAGGCTGCTTCGCAACGCTAGGGAAATGAATTAGACTATATAATGATTAACTGAACTTTATTGACTAGATTACAGTTGACTGTATGTAATCTTTATTTATACTGAATTTGTTCTCCCAGAGCTATGGGAATTCAAGTATAGTCTGAAATGAGTGATTCTCTTGGCGTTAGAGCAACTAAGTAGTTGCCACGAGGAGCTGGCAAAGGCGTCACCAATTACCTCGAGCGCCGGTGAGAGACTGTTCTGTTCTGTTCTGTTAGTATTCGTTGGCTCTGGTGTCGACTCGCATAGTGTATAGCGAGCTGTGTCCCATTCCCATATGGGTACGGCCATTAACTGACTTGATGCGTTTGCGCGCGTGATTCAAATTGGCATTTTATTTGGGTAGAGCAAAGCGAAAGAGAGACTGACTGCTGCTATGAGAACTCGCTGCGAGGAACCAGCGTTTGCTTGCGCCGTCGTGTTTGAATAGTGTTTTTATTGGCTCAACAAAGTTACATTGCCATGTTACATAGGAATATACCTTAAGGAAGGCGCGCAATACAAATTTTATATCTTAATATCTATATTTTCTAAAAATTTTGCGATTATAAAAATAACATTCTGGTTACCAGATGCTAACAAAGATAGAATATGAACCGTATTTGTATATTTTTCTAATTTCACTAAGTAGACTTTGTCTCGGAATATGAGAAAGTTTACATTCCCAAAAGATGTGTTCTACTGAGTCTTTAGAGGAGCTACATTCACAATTTTTGTTTAAGACAATGCCTTTACGGGATAGGCTATTGTTTAAACATGAATGGTTGCTTCTTAATCTGTTAATGGACACTATGGCCTTTCTAGATAAATTGAGATCAAAGAACCAAGGTTTGGTTTTGTCGCTATAAAAGTTTTCAAAATAAAAGGAGCCTTTCGTTCGGCCTAGGCAGACAGCCATGTCTTCGTTTTCTTTTTTACATTCTATTTTGTACTTGGCAAAGAAGTCTACGACTGGAATTGGTTCATTAAGCAGTGACCCATTTTTGACTATCAAACCTAACTATATTAAAATCTTTTATTTTGAAAGATTTGTTTTGATTTAACCAAGTTTCAATTAAGATAATTATGTCATAATTATGTGCTTCGTTGTGAAAATTAAGTTTATTGTTGACACTACGGCAATTCCACTGTAGAATTTTTAACTGAGAGTTTGTACGGTCCATAATGTTAATAATTAAATATAATGGTAAATCAAGAATTATCCTAATTAGTTTTCCTAGAAGACCTAGATTTAGCTGTTACAAGAGATTTAGTTGCTTTAGAATCGGCAACATTCTTATTACTATTTTTGTCTTCTTTGTTGTTACCAGTCTTAAATTTGTTGAACAGTTCATCCGTCACTTTTGTCGACGGCGGTTGTCGTTGTTTGAGCTGGTGTTGCTGACAGTGCTGCTGTTGCTGCTGGAGTTGCAGTTGCTGTTGCTGTTGATGCTGCGGTTGCTGTTGCAATTGTACTTGTACTTGAGGTTGTGGTTGATGATGCTGATAGGATTGTTGGCATTGTAGTTGTTGTTGGAGTTGTTGTTGGTAAGGTTGTTGTTGTTGCTGGAGTTATTGATAATGTTGAGTCTCTTTTTCGCTGTATGGAAGATCAATCTCCTGATGTTCAGAGTAGATGTTTTCATTATTTTTGGCTGAAAGGACTTTTTGGTTTTTATTTTGAGTTGTTATCGTTGGCATCGTTTGATGCAGTTCCCTTGGGTCCTTTACGGTAGAAGCATGGGTGCTAGAGTTTTTCAGAGTATGAGCAAAAGACCTGTCAGAAATTATTCTCGAATTGTTGGAGAGTCTCGGGAAAGATTCCTTTGTGTTTATAGGAGTTTCAGGTGTGCCAAAAACTAATTGTTTAACCTCATAGTACAAGTTTTCGTAAGCCATTTTTTCGTTGACAATGGCATTTAACTTGGAAATCCTGCATTCTCTGCTGATAGTCTTATGTGATTCTTTGCAGTTGGCACATCTAGGGTAAATACCCTGACAGGGTTCATCTGGGTGATCAAGTTCACCGCATATGGAGCAACGTTTCTTGCCGCGGCAATTTTTGGCTATGTGGCCAAACTTGAAGCAATTCAGATATTGCATGACTTTCCTCACGTAAGGAGTTACTTTTGTAACAACATGGTGATGGCAATTTCAACAGGTAACATGTCAGCCTCGAAGCTGACCAGAACCGATGTAGTAGGAATCTACTTATCGCTTTCAGACGTAGGGTGTCTGTTCCTTGTGTTCAAACGAGTAACTTCAATTACTTTGCTTCCACATTTTATTGCACTCTTGAGATCTTCAACGTCAATAGGAACTCCCTTGAGGACACCTTTGCGTATTTTTTTGAAACTGGGGATAGAAGCAGTGAGACCGTGGTTACTAAAATTACTATCTGTTAACGATTTATTGGCTTCATCTCTGTTACGAAAAATAATTAGGCCTTTGGATCTGCCATCTCTTTTTACTTCAATAATGGATTTATATCCATCATGGTCAACAACTTTTCTAACTTTATAAATGTCAAAAGGTTTATCTGAAGGTGCACTATACTTAACCCAAACATGAAATGGGCCTTTAAACGAGTCAGAGTAACTTGTCGTTGGAGACGCAGACAAAGGCAAAGGCGAAGGCGATTGCGCATGCGCACTGTTGTCGTTTGGCTTATTTCGCGAGGTGTCAAAAGAATTATTTCTGCTTCCACCAGGTATTTTTTTTAGTACTATTAGCGGAAGATTTATTTAAGTCGTCACCATCATCTAGTTGGCGCGATCTTTTCAACGAGAGGGATCTTTCCCAATCCATAGAGGCATTGGCCTCTTCTTGAATGGAATTTTCAACAGTTTCGTTGCCGTCCATCTTGAATTGCTATCCGCCCGGCGGAGCCGGGGGTATACAAAAGATTGAAACTAATAACTGATTTGCTTTTTCTTAATCACAATTAATACACAACGAGGTTGGAGCAAACGATCGATCAAAAGATTAAATTGAATACACTTGAACTTGTATAGGAAAACTCAGTCAGACAAACTTTTCGTTCCGTCGGAGAACTCTCAACAATGCTTTTCTAACTTAGACCCCGGTCCCATAGCTACGTATAAATGCGGACGGATTCGGACGCGAATCGCAACTCTAGTAACATCACTAAAAATATCTAGTTCGATTATTTAGTACCAACACTACCGGTAATGAGCAAAAGTAACTGTTGTTTAAAACTGTAGCGCCAAACGTACCACATTTAATGAACGCCTATCTAACCTTTACATTATTGCAGTCTATAAGATGGCAAATGATAGAGAATTGATAGACTTTCAACTACAATTAGTGGAATTAGGCCTTAATTTTATGGAAGTACTTGAATATATGAGAAGAAGAAGAAAATATATATAAATGATATGTATTAATTATCCCAAAAGCTTTTTTTACATTAGCATACTCATCAATAAGCAATATTCATGAGAATTTGAAAAGTAAATTGTAGACCTGACATTTGAACATTAAATGTGGTACGTTCGGCGCTACAGTTTTAAACAACAGTTACTTTTGCTCACTACCGGTAGTGTTGGTACTAAATAATCGAACTAGATCTTTTTAGTGATGTTACTAGAGTTGCGATTCGCGTCCGTACGTACCATGAAGACTGTATATGTTATACAGTCTCCATGGTACGTACCTATGGGACCGGAACCTATGAAAACTATTCATCTTAGGGTGCTCTTACATGCAGAAAGCGGACCGAGCGGCAGCGGACAGCCGATTCGAGCGGACAAAAAGAGAAAGTTTTGTCTGCTAGCGGATATTTATATAAAATTTGACGTGACTGAATTATTAATCTTATCATATTTTATAAAATATTTCAGAAAATTAAAAAAAATTGTCATTGATATTCTATCAAATCTGATAAAATGTATTAAATACTTGAATATATTTTGAAGAAAGTATTGGACTTATACGCATTGAAAATGTTACATAAAAATGGTACTTTATTTTTTTTTTCATAGCGATTTGGATATATACATAAGAAATTTTCTCATGTAAAAGTTTTCCTTAAATAGGTTCTCTGGATAATACATATCGTGAACTGGAATAATATTATTTAATTAATTCACTCTAAAATTGTTGTTAACAATTTTGTAAGATGCATCACTTGCTATAAATATTTCTTTCACTAAAGCATAAAATTGATACTGAGCTGTAAATTAACATATGTCGCATTCCAGACTATGACGATCAGCTTTTCAGGGGGAGGTTTCGGATTTTCTTGAAACTTGGTCTACATATTGCCTATATGGAAGTGTGTTTAAGTATAATCACATAATTATTATTATTTACCATTAATATCAATCATATTAATAAAACCAGGATGATGCAATTATAATCAGTAAAAATGTTATTTTTGTACTTAATTAGTTTTTTAATATGCGTAGTTTTCTCAAATTTACCACCGTTACACCTAACGATAAGTAAAATTATTATTTTGTATATGTAATGAATACATTTACTTCTATTTCATTAGTTATTTATAAAATGTAACGGGGGCGGTTATCTAAAAAAATGAGAAATTTATTTAAGAACAAGCTCCCACGATGCAGAGCAAACCGCCGCTCCGTTAAACACGTATGATTGTACGTGTATTCGCCTTTACGTCAAATGATTTTGCTTAATTGTCTTCTATTGAACGGAGTTAAACTCACCTTAAGTTACGTGCCTTGTGACACTCGATGAATTTTAAGTGTGAGCGACTTTACGCCTAATCCGCTTAATCCCCTAGATGTAATCGGATTAAAACCTAAGCCTTTTACAATTACTTAAGCTAATGGTTAAATTAAATGACGTAATCAACGAATAAATTCAACTAACTTTAATTAATAAAAAATCACTAGTCTTTGTTGGGCCGAAAGACTAACGCACGCGAATAAGATTTTACAATGAATAATGTTCGGAGAGAGAGAGAGAGGGAAAATTCGAATTTTACCGCGAACTAACGCTCGGCGCGAATACAAAAAAAATATCGCTATTATGATTGACAAAATACTAAATGTATTTTGTCACGCGATAATGAAGGAAGGTGCACCTACCCTGCGGTGCAATTACGGTGATCAGCCGTAATTGTTGAAGATACTAAATCAACTCCCGCTGCCTTCCAAATTATCAGCTGCGCTGCCTAGATCTGCCTTTATCCGCTGCAATCTGCTGCTTCCGTACCGCTGCTTGCTGCTGCAATACCGTCGTTGCACACACGCACGTAATTGTCCCAGTAAAACTTATAATCACTCGACGAAACCAGGTGCAAAACAAAATCGGCGGTATCAACACGTAAACAACTGAAGCGTAACTGCTTATTCAAAAGATCGCGCGCCCCTCTCTCTCTCTTAATAGTTCGAACTAACGCGTGAGAAGCAGAATCGCGAACGGATGATTAATTGAATCGAATACCGTTGCAAAAAATGCAACGTATATAAATGCACGGAATTTGTTTCATATTGTACACTGCGTAGCTTGGCTATATATTACAATATTTATAGGAATTTGACATTCATTAATGAAATTTTTTAATGATCAGGTAATAAACATTAAGTTTACAGATGCGATTACATTCTCTATTTCCGTGTTTGACAAGAATTGTAAAATATGTCGTGAACACTTTTCGGGTAATACATATTTCAATAGAATATCCAAGCCAACTGTTGCCGGCATAATCAAAGACAATCTTTTCAGTGCTTATTGTTTTAATGATCAGGTAATAAAAATTAAGTTTACGGATGCGATTACATTCTCTATTTCCGTGTTTGACAAGAATTGTAAAATATGTCGTGAACACTTTTCGGGTAATACACATTTCAATAGAATATCCAAGCCAACTGTTGCCGGCATAATCAAAGACAATCTTTTCAGTGCTTTTCTATGCCTTATCTTTAATAAATATCCGAGTTCAGTGAAATCACGTTTTTTCATGGATGTAACAAATGTGTTGATAGCTTGTTGCTCCGATGGAGACATAAATGGAAAAGCAGCTATCGCTCCCGTTTCTGAGAAAAAATCATAGGGGCAAACTGAGGTGGAATCAATTTTCACATGCTTCATTTTTGCCAGCTCGTCGTTTATACGCTCAATTTTTACTTCATCGTGTGAACACTTTTTAAGAAGCTTTTCAAGGACATTTAGATTGAGCTCGCTTATATAAAGTCCAGTAATTTTCATTTTAAATATATGCATCGCAATAGGTATGTACATTTCGCTGAAGCTGAATTCGTATTGATGCCACTCGAAATATTTTGATAATGAAAAGATTTGAGAAAATGGTGAGTCGCCTTCTGCATCGGTTACATTAATATCAGCGCCAGCTCCCAGCAAGTCAATCACTGCTTTATAATTCGAAAATTTGACAGCAAGATGCAGAGGTGTTCTGCCTGTTTTAAGTAAAAGAATTTAATGAAGAATTTCTGACATTCATTCATATTTATAAAAATATGAATTTCATTCATTCATATTTATAAAAATATCGCTAAAATCAAAAGAACTTGCTTACCTAATTTGTCTTGATGATCGATGTGGCAGCCTCGTTCCATTAGCATTGGAATTATTTGATAATAACTCTTGGTGAAAGACCATTTCCAAGATACTATATTGTGAATGGCATTTCTACCGAAATCATCTATCTTCGCGATACTCGGATGTTTTACAATTTTTCTTATCGGATGATTATTGCCGAACAAATATTTTAAATAACCCTCCTCTCTTATCGGATCGTATAAATTCGCATGACAGTTGTGTTTCAAAAAAAATTTTACCTCCGCGTATTCAAAATTTCTTGAACTGAGTAACATTCCAAATGGTTCTTCTCCGAAAATATTTTTAGCGTTAATACTAGTTCCAATGCTGTAAATTGTGGTAAATATTAATAACTATGAATATTTGTACATTCTCTCTAATTTTTATGTAAGATACTGATTCAACAATTATTTCTTGTAAGTTTAATCGAATTTTCCTATATAATTGCATTGGATTTCGATATTGTTTAAATTGTTGAATCTTCGGAAATATTAGAGTGCTATTTATTTTTTATCCGAACATATGCACCAATGTATAAAGATGAACCAAAGTTGAAATATGGGTTTTTTCAAATTTTGTTTTTTTCAACGTATTTACTCACAAATAACTTTAAATTTATACCTTCAAACATTAAATTTTATAAAATTTTGATATTTTAATCTAATCATGAAAGAATTCTCGCAAACCCATTATTAAATAGTGTCACATGCTAATAAAAATTATAACAATTTTATGAATTGAATTTAAAGGATAACATCTACTTTCACATACTCCTGTGATTTAATAATACATTATCATAAAAATTATGGAAATAACATTAATTTAATTTAACTTATATAAACTTATTTTTAATACCTCAAAATCTTTTCAAATAACTGAATACGTGGCGAAGCACATTTGGTCACAGCATGAAACAAAGAATTGCCATACAGATCAGTGGCATGGACATTTGCTCCATGTCTGAACAGAAGATCGATAGCTTCAACTCGTCTATCACTATGAACCCTAGAATTATGCTGGAGCACCAGGTGAAGTGGAGTCCAACCAGGAAATGTGGTGGAGTAGAAATTAAAAGGCTGATTCACATTAACATCACATTTCAAAAACTTTTTCATATCTGCTAAATTGCTTTCAATACATGCTGTGCGAAATCGTGATGTGTATTCGGTGTCAGTTGGATTTTGTTGAAATTGGTAGGCATCGAAATCTTTCATGTTACTTGGCAGCGGCTTAATGAAAGGCCATTCTGAAACAATAAATCAACCAGAAGTAGGATACTTGTTTCTGAAATTAAAAAGATTACTTTGCAACAAGAGGATTCCCCATAGTATAAAAAGATGATCCGCTTGGTACAAGCTCAAAACGATTCTTTTTCTAACGAGAGGATTCTCTTGTAATCTGAGAAATTATTGTTGTTGCAACGGAAGTAACTCTTGTTACGAAAGGAATAATTTCGAGCCAACAAAATTTTACTTGAAATAAAATAGTTTTTTGTAAAAGAGGCTAATTTTTTCCGTTTTTTATAAGCAATCGAACGTCAAAATGTGAATATTCTTCCATGTGGTTGGAAAAACAATCCAATGAGTTCCCATACCCACTTTGGCTATCGCGCGTGTTGCTCAACATTGCTTCGAGCCTCACCGCATCGCTATCCTACCTATATTTATCAATTCAACTTACGTGCACAAACGTTGTACGTGAATGTGTCGTTAAACGGCATGTTGTTCTTGGAATTGATTAGCGTAAGATCAGCTCCGCTGGCCAACAGTAGCTTCATTATAGACTGTAATACTTGTTTCTGGCTATTTCTTTCATAAGCTTGCAGTGCTAAGACATGCATAGCCGTGTATCCTGGCCAAATTGGCGAATCGAGCTTCACTTGTGCGTTAACGTTCGATTCGTTCTTCAAATAACATTTGACTTGGTCGATATCACTTTCCTTGCAAGCGATATGTAGCATCGTTATTCCCGTCTCTTGTTGTATGTGTTGTTGCAGAATAGCGTCGCGTTTAATCATGGATAAAATCAAATCGTCACATAAACAACCACGCAATGCTCTGTGAACTAGAGTCCAGCCATCGGGCCTCGCTGAGATAATATCGACGCCATATTTCAGTAGTACCTGAACGACTTCCCTGCGATTACGACGAATGGCGATATCTATGGGTCTCAATTTGTTGAAATTGGACATGAAAGTAAAAGGCTCGGTTAAATTATTTCCCTCGCGATTGACACTAACACAGTGCAAGTCATCTTCAGCTTCAGTTTCGATTGAAAAATCGATGATTGAGTCAACATCTGCTCCCAATCCGATGAACCTGTCGATGTCATTCTCACTGCTACCAAATTCCGCAGCAAAATGTAAGTAGTTCAATCCCTTGAAAGTATATTCTTCGATGTTCGGCGAAGATAATAGAATTTGGCCAATCTTTTCAGGCTCTTTAAAAGCGAGCGTTCGGTGCAGAGGAGTCACTCCATTCAAATCTTTTGCGTTGACGTTTGCTCCATGTTCCAACAAAATCCTAACCAACTCTGGCGATCCAGAAGCGGCAGCAGCGTGTAAAGGCGTCGATCCAACTGACACATGAAAATTGGGCATTTGGCTATTTCTATGCTCGAATGACGATTTAATTCTTATGTTGACATCTACTTCGTCATTTAATAATAATTTCTCGACTAACGGAAAATAATCGAATGCACATGCTATATACAGATGAGACAAATTGTCTTCATCGATGACATTGATAATTTGCGTATATTTTTCTAGGAGCAGCTGGACATTATTTACTCGTTGCAATCGATATGCAAGGTGCAAAGCCGTCCATCCGCGAGCATCCTGCACAGTTACATCGGCGCCGTATTTCAAGCAAACCTCTACTCTAGCCATGCATTTACGTTGAGCGCAGTCAGCTGTTGATTCGCTAATCGATAAATTCACCGCTAAATGTAATAATGTATACCCTGACCAGAGTGGTGAATCATTTGGCAAACGTAACAACTGGCACGATTCTACATCTTTTAAAAAATCATCCAACATAATTGAATCTTTCATTGCGCAAACAATATCTGACAGTCTTGTCTTATTGTCCGAAACTACAAGATCCCTCCACGTCGGGTTAGAAGATAAGATCAAATGTAGATCTTGTACTGTGTACCTCTCTAAGCAGATGTCGAGAGGAGTTAATCCATTTACATATTTAAATTTAATATCAGCTTCATGTTGCAATAAATATTTCGCTACTTTCGTGTCAAAGTGGGCGGCTAATGCTGACTTCATATCCTCAAAACGATCAACGTTTTCAATTTCTGTCAGAAATTCTTCTAAAACTTGTCTGTTTTGCAAAGCACAGTTTATGTAAAAAAGAGACAAATTATCAATATCAAGTTTCAAACGACTTTTCGAATTGACGATATTACGAAGCAGCATTTCCATAATTCTTTTACTGTCAATGCTTATTCTTTTGTCTAAGAGTAAATGTATTGGAGTCAATCCTTTGAAGTTTTTTTTATAAACCTTAGCTCCATGCCTTAACAATATCTCTACGGTTTCGGGTGCACAGCAAGCAACCGCAAAATGAAGCGGAGTATAACCAAGTAAAGACGAAAAATTACCGACGGCAACTTCATTCGCCGATACTCCCCTGCATAGGAAAAATTCAACAGCATTTACGTGGTTTACCATACAAGCAATGTGAAAATGAGAAATACCATTTTTATTGCAAGAATTGTCAAAAACATTATATTCAACATGCGCCGACAGTATCAAATCTATATGTTTGTTCATCACACTATAACTCGTATCCCAGCGACATTCGTATTGATAGTAATATACGTCAAAAGCCTCGTGTAAAGCAGTCAAGCCATTTTGAGTTTTGATAGTAAAATCGATTCCCGGACTCAACAATAAGACTTTGACGATCTCATTTTTACGTCCTACCGCTAGATGCAGGGCCGTGTAGCCGGTGAGTTCGGGATTGCACAATGTTATGCGATCATTCCTCGTAAACTGATAATTGATATTGTCCATTGTTCTGATGATTATTTCTAATTGTCTGTTTACCTTTAACGTGTCGAGAAATCGGTTGTATACATCATCGTTTTCAACTAGTTGTAAAACACCCCAAAATTGACATAATTTTTTATAACTTTGAAAATCTTTCCCTTCTTCGTTCTCAGCCATGGTCGACTTTTATTTGACTTTTCGTTAAATCTGATTATAATTATGTACATTTATAGGAACACTTCAATATTCTACACTATACAGGAGCACTTAATTTACCATTCAAAATTTATATAAACTGTGAAGGCGTGCGCGACTAGAGATGCGCGACACATCACATCAGCGCTTGCAACACACTGTATCAGCTATTTTACCAGCTCTGGTTTTACTATACTGTTTTACGACGAGCACTGTCATCGCTACATATATATATATATATATATACATACACACACACGCCCACACACATGCAAATGTTCTTCCCTCTCCAGCTCCACTTTTTTATCGGCATGTAGCAGATTTGCGCAAGACGCTGTAACTTTTAGGATGGGCGTGTTAACCATAGTAGGCCAAGCAACAGGGTTTGAAAAGAGTGATTTCGTGACAAAAATACTACCTGGAAACCGAGTGTGCAATCGTGTGCAGATAAGTTGAGACATCATTGGTGTTATGTTTTGGACACGCAACTCCTGTCACCCTATTTGTTATAAACATTTTAAACGAAAAAAAGGCATTTTTTTTAGTTTTTTGTTAATAACTCTGCGAATAATGTAGCGATGTTAATGATATAGGTACACAAAATGTAGGTAAAACAATTACGAACAAAACTAGACCTCGAGCGACAAAATCGGATAATTAGGAACCGAGGAAAACCCGGAAAAGTGGCGAAATTTAACATTTATTTAAAAATTCATATCTCCGTCACTTTTTATTTTGTAGGACTGAGTCTTTGCGAAAATGTAATGTTATTTATGTACTTCATGTGTGCCAAAAGCTAACGCTGTGAAGTAAATAGTTTTCATGTAATCGTAATTTCAGTTTTTCTAAGCGATATTTTTCATCATCTCTCCTTGCGACAGTGATTTTTTCATCTTAAATTTGAAAACGGTTTTAAAAAATGCAGATTCCACCCAACAAAACGTATATTCTAGTTTTTCACTTAAATTTTTGCAAGTGTGTGATAAATGCCGGGAAAGTCGACTAAAAACGGCTGAGCGCACGGAAACGTTCGAGTGGTGGGGGGAGCAGCAGCCGAGGAGAGGCACACATAGTAATAGAGGCGCGCTGCGCCCTCTTATAATTTTTCCATCTCAATATCTCTGCAACCATAAATGTTATCTTAACAATTTTTTTTTTATTTCGGATCTACTGAACTCCGGGAAATCAAATATTTATTTAGAATTCGTAAATAATAAAAGGCTAAGCATAAATTGTTGAAATTAAAAAAAAATTTAACTTAATTTTATTGGTAAAGAAATAAATGATTGTGAAAATATGCAGAGAGAAAGTATAAGAGAGAGGGAGAAATAGTATTCCATTGGAAGAGAGAAAGAGACAGAGAGAGAGAGAGAGAGACAGAGAAAGAGAGAAGGAGAGAGATAGATGAAAAGAAAAGGGAATGGGGGCTGGACCAAAATCCAGCTTCGTAAACATAATGACAACATTTATTTTGAAGAACATCGGAAAGTAATTAATTTATTGATTATTTATAAATTCTAAATAAATAATTGATTTCCCGGAGTTCAGTAGATCCGAAATAAAAAAAAATTGTTAAGATAACATTTATGGTTGCAGAGATATTGAGATGGAAAAATTATAAGAGGGCGTAGCGCGCCTCTATTACTTGTGCCTCTCTTCGGCTGCTGTTCCCCCCACCACTCGAACGTTTCCGTGCGCTCAGCCGTTTTTAGTCGACTTTCCCGGCATTTATCACACACTTGCAAAAATTTAAGTGAAAAACTAGAATATACGTTTTGTTGGGTGGAATCTGCATTTTTTAAAACCGTTTTCAAATTTAAGATGAAAAAATCACTGTCGCAAGGAGAGATGATGAAAAATATCGCTTAGAAAAACTGAAATTACGATTACATGAAAACTATTTACTTCACAGCGTTAGCTTTTGGCACACATGAAGTACATAAATAACATTACATTTTCGCAAAGACTCAGTCCTACAAAATAAAAAGTGACGGAGATATGAATTTTTAAATAAATGTTAAATTTCGCCACTTTTCCGGGTTTTCCTCGGTTCCTAATTATCCGATTTTGTCGCTCGAGGTCTAGTTTTGTTCGTAATTGTTTTACCTACATTTTGTGTACCTATATCATTAACATCGCTACATTATTCGCAGAGTTATTAACAAAAAACTAAAAAAAATGCCTTTTTTTCGTTTAAAATGTTTATAACAAATAGGGTGACAGGAGTTGCGTGTCCAAAACATAACACCAATGATGTCTCAACTTATCTGCACACGATTGCACACTCGGTTTCCAGGTAGTATTTTTGTCATGAAAAAATCCCTGTTGCTTGGCCTATAGAGGTAGTAAGGACAGACTGCTGATTCCACCACCCCCAGATCAGCCCAAGAAAATAAGCAAAAAAAAAAATAATTTTCAATAGAGTCAAATTTGCTCGGTTCAGCTGTTGGCCAAATAATTTTCTGGCATTACGTTTTCCAATAAAAAAATATCAAAGTGTTTTTTTTACGCAAATGTTAAACAATATATCTCGTCGAAATAACAATATTTGTTCAATCCTACGATCTTAAAAAATTGTTCACTATCACGAGAAATTTGCCCCGTTATATTACCTTTGAAAAGTACATTATTTTACATAAAGAAATTTGAATAATATTACCGTTTAAAGTTTGCGTAAAAAATAAACACTTTTATATTTTTTTGTGTGGAAAATGTAACGCAAGTAAATTATTTGGCTAAGATAGGTGAACCGAGCAAATTTGACCCTATTGAACATTAGGTTTTTTTTTATTTTGAGTATTTACCGGGACTGATCTAGGAGTCACGCTGATTCCAGGTTATGGAATCATCCGGGAGAGTGAGAGAGATAGCGACAAACAGTAGGAAGCTCCTGTCTCTTTCTAGTCGACGCTTATTGGACCGATGCGAAAACAGCCCGACACAAATAACATTTTATAAAAAAAAATGATCACATCTCACGTATGTCTGATTGTACTTCTCGAAAAAATAATTATTTGTTATTGTACCATTATCTTTCTCATAAAAAATAAAAAATATCGTTATCGATAATTCACCTCCTATTTATTCACATAAAAGACATAATTAAGCTAAAATAAATTCACAGAAAAATTGTACCTTCTGTAGTCTAAATTGTACCATCAGTACAATTCTATAAATTTGTTTCTAAAAGAAATAATAGGACAATTATAAAGCTCTACGCTTGCGCAAAGTGCATTTCCGGATGACATCCTTGTAAGTTGTAACAATTAGTGGTAATTTGTAATTGTCCTATTATTTCTTTTAGAAACAAATTTATAGAATTGTACTGATGGTATAACTTAGACTACAGAAGGTACAATTTTTCTGTGAATTTATTTTTGCTTAATTATGTCTTTTATGTGAATAAATAGGAGGTGAATTTTCGATAACGATATTTTTTATTTTTTATGAGAAAGATAATGGTACAATAACAAATAATTATTTTTTTGAGAAGTACAATTAGACATATGTGAAATGTGATCATTTTTTTTATAAAATGTTATTTGTGTCGGGCTGTTTTCGCATCGGTCTTATTGGTCTTATTAGGCCCCGGTCACATAGGTACATACGGATGCGGACGGATCCGGACGCGAATCGCAACTCTAGTAACATCACTAAAAATATCTAGTTCGATTATTTAATACCAACACTACCGGTAGTGAGCAAAAAAATTTCAAAGTACAGTATATTTAATTTAATTTACAGCACAATCATGAATTGGAAACGAACTAAACAGTATGATAAAAGCAAAAACTTTTTGAATCATATTGAAAAAGGAAAAAAATTGAAATTTCGAAAATTAGTCTGAAGATTATTTAACAATACTGAATTAAGACTGCGCTCGGTTATTCCGTCTTATAAATATTGTTTTCTATCTTGATAAGTCTGAATAGAACTAAGCTGTAAAAATTTAACATTTTTGAGTATCTTTAATTATCTTATATAAACTTAATAAAATTTTACGATCTCATTATGTCATAAGATTGAGAATGCATTTATCTCGTCATGCAATCTATATTTCAGTTCATTACACTATATCATTATTAGATCGCTTCGTTGCTTAAAAAAGCTATCTAAATTTACATAATATTGTTGTCCAAACTTTTCAAATGATTGTAATAATTATCTTGAACCATCCATAAAAACTTACATAGTTTAATTAAAAGCCATAACAAAAATGAAAATTTCAACGTTGTCGAATGAAATTGTATAGATAACGAATGGCATAGTAGTTTCGAGATGTAGCCACTGATAAGTTAATCAAGTATTTATATGACTTCGTGATTCTCTTTTTTTAAAAAGCATCTCCTGCGTTGAGTGATGGAAGTCACAAACGTTTTTCTTCAAAGAAAACCAAATAATATAAAATGTTAATTTATTGTTATAAAATGCATTTGTTTAATCATGAATTCATTTATAAGTTGACGGCAAAACCAGGTGTGTTGATTTAACACACTTAAGTAAGTGGAATTCCTGTCCCAAAAATTCACTTCGGAGTATACATTAACGTCCATGCACGTATAATGTGTTGGATTAATTTTGTGCGTGTAATACTTCCTTTTTACACACTTATTGATTTCTATTCGTTTAAAACGTGTTAAATCGGAACAAATTCGAAATAGTGATTTTTATTAGCGAATATGAATTTCATTCCGAAATTATTATTTCACAATATATTTGCCGTACTAAAAATAAATCCCGTGAAAATTTCACGTATAAATACACGGTTTTACACATTACGAGTACATACATTGAATAGACGAATTTGAATTTCACGGGACTTTTTTCAATAGCGTACAATTACTCACCAATGATGATTATGCTACTCCATCTCCATTTTTCCAATGAAAAATGAGCCGTCGGACAGCCATGTTATGTTGCCATGCATAATACGCTGATTCAAGATAGAAGAACTGATTCAGTCGTTTGGGTGAAGAATTTCTATTTTCATTGATTTATCTGCTTGAGTCACATTTAGTCTCTTTTGAAAAAAAATTTTCTTGTGAGGTGGAAAGTTCAGCGAATGATTCATTACCAGCTGTACTTCAAACTTGAAAAGGTAAAATATTATAATTAATGCATAAATAAACAGTTATATAAAAACATTTTAACAGTATTGAAAAATATGCCTCACGGATAAACCGCAGATTGGATCGAAACTGTTGCTTTTCATCCCCTTATAAAAGAAATCAGTATTATATTCATTGCTTCAACCTTGCTTTCAGTACAGCTATTTGAATCAAAACACATATACCTAGCGAGGCAATAAACCGCTTTCATTTAATACGTCTACGCTGTATTACCATAATGAAATAAACGTCAACGACTCTCAAGGATTGCAACTTTGCGAAGCATTAAGTGAATTTTTGCAGTATTTTACATTGCAATATTGATTTATAATTCTGTTACAATTTTTAAAATTGATAGTTTAAAAAATAATGAATTACTTGGCAGTTAATATATATAGGAATACGCGTTTTCTCATCCCTCAGACATGCCCCTTTTTGCCTGTAAGTTAAAGCCTATTAACATTGTAAGAATAATAAAACAGTAAATGGTATCCTTGGAAAAGTTAGACAAATGTAATGGCTTGATTATATTAAATATGGGATAAATGTGTGATACCAAAGAAAAATTATTCTGCAAATAATTATGAAGATTTTAAGAAATGAAAGAGTACTGTTCAAATTAATTTTATGTTAAAATTAATTGTTTTGGAAAGGATGAACTTATATACTTACTTGTGTTTATGCGGACACTAGCAAAAATAATTATTTCTATTATAGAAGAAATTTGGAATTATTACAACTGTTATTTATAAAATAAGTGTACGAATTATTATGATATGACAAACACAGGAAGAATAGGTTGATTATGTATTGATATGATATTGTATACTTTGAGAAGTTTGACATAATTTTTAATAGAACAGTTACAGGTAATTTGCATGTCAAAAATACTTTATGACGCGACTACTTAAAATTTTTGAAAATTTGCGATTCTAAAATTTTACAGGTTTTTAGTTCGCAGCTAATTAACACATATTTAAAAATTATTATTCATTAAAATTAATATTTCCGATACTTTAAATGTGTACGTGAATTAAGGTCATAGTCACTCTATGCAATGAACGGTATTTTTCTTATGATTTTGAAATGACAGATTTACTTTTACAAACAGTAGATATCTTTTTTTATGATGAATGTCTGTGAATATTTAACTCGTGGATATACTTCTTGTTTTTAGTTTATTATTATTGAATAAAAAATTATATTTTTGTCAAATATTACAGACTTATACTTTACATTGCACAATGCTGTATGGTCAGCTATATAGATTGCTGTGATACAACAATATTTTAGGTCCTTCGTTTATTATTAATTAATATATTTAAATAATTACCTTACATTTTATATTTAATTATGAAATACATGAACAAACTCAATTACAGTAATATTTTACCATTTGAAATATTAATGATGCTCAACAATTACTATATAAATATGTAATGTGTTGTTTCTTTTACACTACTTTTTCTTTTGGGAATCAATAACTTTATGAGGTTTCACTGTAAAAACAAGTTTTATTTATTTATTTACAAATATTTACAAACAACTTAGCCTAATGTATACGCTTACCTGTAAAAACAAGAAACGACATTAAAAGCTATTAATCCAAAATGTTATATATTGAAATTTTATTAACACGTGGCTTTTCTCTACTCTCTAGCTTAGTCTCTTCTTGTTTTTCGAACATGCCCGATACAGTCTACGAAAAGAGTTTTTGAGGGAATCGAAGTACAGTCTGTGAAAGGAATACACGTAATACTAGAATGTATTTCTTTTACAAATATTCAAAACTATTTATAGCCCAATAAATATTAAAAGGTTGAGTCACAATACGAATAATAATTTTTAAATAAATAAATAGCTACAGCTTTTTTATAACGAGGTCGAGAACAGTCATTTTACTAATATTATAGTTTCTATTCTATGAGTAAATTGAATCATACGTATACGTTGATAATATTAATTTGTTCATTGATGACAATAAACTTTTTCAAAATTATTTATAACTTTTCATTCTATAACTATTGTCGATTATGGAATTAGGTTTACATCAATCCTATTAATCCGAAGAAGTTGATCGTTACCATAATTCTTGATTCATTACCTATACAAGGGTATCCAATCTTGAAAGTGCAGATTAGAAAATCATAAAAAGCATCAATATTTTCTGAGCAGTAACTCTTGCTTTTAACAAGAAAATGGAATCGCACCGAAATAATTGCTGGCAGTGCAGTTTTAATCATTGGCGCTTTATGAAATATCATTTTCCTTTAGATTCTCGCTGATTTTTTCTACTTCTTTCGATTCATTAATAATCGTTAGAGCAAGAAACCGTGCTATCAATAATGAATTAGTAAAATGAGAACTTACCTTAGCATTGCTGCTATTTTGTCAGCTTTTGTAAGTAAACATTTTGGAATTGATTGACTCGTACTTTTCGTTATGAAGTATAATAATTTTTCAATTCGAAAGTACTCGTTCGATGTGAATTCAAGCCGAAATTCAAAAAACAAATAGACGAGTGTCTCAAAAAATTTAAATTGACCGAAGGTAGGATATGAAGTCTTGTTTCATAATATCTCAAAGAAAGCAGCATGTTTTCAAATTATTAAATGAATTCTGTATTGTTTAGAAACATTCAAGTTGGCTGCGTTTGAAGATCTTAAAGTGAAATACTCTATTGCGTATGTGATGAAGAAAGGTGATCGAGTGAGTCTTAACGAAGTTATGCGAATTCTAACATAGTTCTTTGATATTATCAAATAACTAACTCCAACTGATTTTTTTGCATCAAGATGACGGAGGGTAAATTGTCGGTTGATAATGAAATGAAATTCGTTTCAAAGTATATGTCGAGAAAAGTTAATGATTCCCTCCAAGAAAAATTTACTGATTGTGTAATCGTAGGTAAATGTTTGATTGCTAGGTATATATAATCAAAACTTTATTTTAGGTATGAAACAAATGCTGATTTTTATATAAAAAACGATATACTGCTGGTAGAACCTGTAAAGAATTGGTTGACAAAAGAACTTGACATAAAAACAGGAATTACGCGATAGAATTTTCGTCAAAAAAAACTTGTGTATGAAATAAGTAATTCGGATATTGCCGAGTGCGGAAATGCGGCTAATGAAGAAACCGGTGAATACGAAATAATTAATAGCATTTTACAAGTGTCTACAATAACGAACATCACGTTACAATTGTTAATATATTAAGTTAATGTATCATGTCACTATATTTTCTTCCATTTTAATGCATTACGGCTAAAAAATATTATAGAAGAAAATCGGCATTCATTGTGTCATCAAGAATAAATAAGCAAACAGAGAACTTTAGCAAAATTTGAATATGTCAAACGAATAATTAATTATGAAATTGAAGTACATTTTTATATGGGTTTACTTATGTATATAATTTGTAGTGCAGATGTAATTCAAAAATTCCTCAAAACAATAAACAAGATTTATTTATAGATTGCAATAAAAACTATACAGCCTTCAACAATCACTGAAGTTGTAACAAAGTAAATTACGCTAATTCTACTTAAATGTATTAATAAGTGATTGAACTGCATCATTGGAAAAATTAACAGTTATCTATTAAAACCAAGTAACATTAAAACTTAAATTATTAGCTTTATTCCATATAATTTATTTAGCTAGTTAACTACTGACCATCGATTAAAATTATATTTAATTATGAAAATTCCTCATCTTCGTAATATAAATTCAAGTGTTCTACATTCGTAACGTAATACACTAATTGGAATACGTTTTTATAACGCGACTCATTCAACACCTGATTTGAAAAATTAGATTACTTGGAAAGCATACAAATGATTAATACAAATATCGTCACTACTTTCACAGAAAACATCAATATGTAATTGCTAATTTTTATCGATGACCTAAACTTTTCTAGAAAATTATATAAAATTACGTATACATGAAAATATTACTGAGATAATGCCAACAATGCATAATTGCAATCATTTCCGCATTATTATGCACTTTAAGTTTCCTTTAAATTCGCTGTGATTTTGAGATTCCGCTCAGTAATGTAAAACCGTTGACACGACAAACTGTATTATAGGAAAGATATAGAAAAAAATGAAGATTTATTTTTGTGTTGATGTTATTTTATTCGCTTTCGTAAGGATAATTTGTTCATTAAAAATGAAACAATAGTATCGTGATAATTTTGACGTAATGATTCAAAGGTACTCGTTCAAAGTGAAACCGAGCCCGATTGGAGAACGCAACTGGAAGATTGTCGAAAAGAACTGGAAGTGGTCGAAGGTAACTGTGCAATAATTTCTTTCTGTAAAATCTTAAACAAAACAATAAATTTACAATTATCAAATAATTCGCATGTTTTATTATTTAGATCCATTCGCGACACCTGATTTCGACGATCCTAAAACGAAATGTTTGTTGGCGTGCTATTTGAAGAAAAGCGATCGCGTGAGTTGTTGCGTGAAATTAAGAATACCATTTTTCATTTAAAACACATATACCAACTAAAAATTTTTGAGTGTACAGTTAATAGAAGGTAAAGTATCAGCCGATACAGAAGTGGCATTAATTCTGAAATACATGCCGGATAAATTTGAATTGGATTATCTCAAAGGAATAGCGGATGAATGCGCGAATAAAGGTAAATACGGAGATGTAAACTATTGTACGAAAAGTAAAAAGTTACGTAGTTTTTGATGAAGTATTCCATTCTGAGTATTCCATTCATATTATATGTTTATTTTAGCCAACGAAGAAAAAGACGACTGTGCCGTAGCTGGTGCTTTATTCAAGTGCTTTTACAAAAAATTTAGACCTCCCAGCACCTAAGCTAGACAAATGATTGAACATTAAGAATAGTGATGTTGGCTGACAATATAAGGAGCTTCATAATTCTTCTATTTTATATTAATTTGTAGAACGCTGAATAAATTTGTTTGCAACACAAGCCATTCTTAGACATTATTGCTTGTAACTGTCAGCGTTCAACTTACACGGTGTAAAATGGCTGTTTCCTATTCAAGCATCTCAATTTTTCATTCAGTTCATTATCAAGGCAAGTTTACGCTGAAAAGTATGAACTTTTTGAATGCACCACTGAACCAATGGCGTCCCAATCATCCAAGGCTTCGATTCACGGCATTATCTGCGTAATGGTGTAACATTAATCATTCGAAATAATAATGAAGTGATAATCAATATCTACGTTTTTAATGCAGTATACCCAGCGAATATAATTAAAAACCTATCTCCGACTTTGACACGCTTATCGCAATTTTTTAATTACTGCAAGTACGATTTTACAAGCAAAGATTCGCAGCGATTAGACAAAATAGACTTTTGTTCGACTATGCATTACCAGTGTGGTGCTCTAAATTAAGTAATTCAAGTCTGATGGAAAATTGCTGGAATAATTTTAATCATATTTCTTTTATAATATCTTATAAGCTGCTACTGCTGACAAGTACCCTGTGACTGAATAAGCAAATAGAATAAAATTAGCTGCATCCTCTCGTGGCTGTGATAATATGCCACATGAACAAACCTTTAAGAATGCAAGTGAAAAGCTTTCGAAAGCTTAAAAATTTATTCGTATCTGACAATCAAATGACCAAATGCAAAATTAATGATCGCGTGTGATGAGCAATTCCGTTGATATCAAGATTTTTAATTTTAATTTGATTTCAGAACATACACAAACAATGATGAAAAATTGGTTGGTTCGTAGTAATTAGTTATTTCTAACTTTAAGATTGGATAATTGTTACATTTTATTGCTTGCAGAGATACCGGAAATCCATGATTATTTCATACAGAAAAAAATACAACAGAAAATAAATCTCTCCTGTTTTGCTATTCATAAAATAATTGTCATAATAACTTACTTTTATTCATTATTGTTTAGTCTAGAAGGATTGTTCTAGTTGATGAATAGAAGAGCGGTAGTCTTCAAAGACTCGAAATAAAAATAAATATTGATAGAATTATTTAATATTAAAAAAAATATAATATATAAAGTTATCAAATGAAATACTGAAGTCTCTGTTGAGCCTGGATAAAAAATATATGAACAATTATGATAATAATTAACTTTTCTTTCTTTAAATTTATTATGATTGTTGGTGGTAAAGTAGCCGAGGAAAAAGATCTATTACTTTATTTTAAAAATTTTTAAAGGAAAACAAACATATTATTACACAAAACAAAGCAGAGATTACGGATTATGCGAAAAAAGGTAAATACACTATAATTTTTTTCAATGACTAAAAATAAATTGTCAGTAAGTATAGTGACTTATTATTTTCTGTTTTTTATATACTTTAACATATGAATGTGCAGCTAACGAAGAAAAAAATGAATGTGAATTTATTTGTAGCTACTTATTGTGTGGATTGAATACCACTATTTAAATCAAAGAAACAGGAGTAACTTAGGATCGAAATTCATATAAATGTGTAGTTCTAAATTGATGTGCACTATTTCTTTGTAATATTCTTTACTCTTAATTAATTATAACAACTGTTATATAAATAAAAAGCAAGCTATTAATGTATTTGAGTATTTTAAATATAAAACTGAACGCTAGATGCATTAACTTCAAATGTAAAAATGTAATAATTGAAAGTATTGATCTACTTTATATTTTCATGTAAATAGCTTCGGACTCTTCTATACATACTTCTCTAGAGATACATATAATAGGTAATTATTGTTCTAAGATTCGGCCTCGCATAAGAATCATAAAAGCGAGAAAACAATGTATAGTACATTTGGACACTAGTACGAGAAAGTGATTTCAGCCTCGAGTAGCCGTGCGCGTCCGAGCGAAGCGAGGGTGAAAAGGTCACACGAGACTGAAATCACTTTATCTAACTTTATACGTGCTTGAGACGAGATTTTCAGCATGCTCGATTCCTCGAGTGTACGTAAATTCGAGTTCTTGCGTACCGAGTGCCGATAAAATATTCTGTTGCGGTCAACGTCGACTTTTCTTATAAGTAATAAATTTAAAAAGATTTTGACGAATAATTAAAAATTGTTTCGTGGTATTTTTGCCACAACAGTTTTCCAATTGATTAATTTCAATTCAAATAAAAACCAACATTTTCAGAAAATATTGATTTTTCCGTATAAAACTATTCTAGCTATACTAGGCGCCTGCCTGCTACATACAATACTAGCATGAATGTATAAGCGGACGTGCATTGGAAAAATACTGAACTAAAATCATCGGTCCCTTTTTGATCCACATTTAATAATTGAATATCTCGTTAGGTTCATTGTGAGTGTGAATCTCGAATATCTTTAAATTCTAGAAGACTCAAAATTTATATATAGCACTTCAAAAAACACGAAAGCACCAATTATAAACCATTCCAGGTTTTATTTTGAAATATTCAAGCACTATAAAAACAGAATGGTATCACAATATTACTTTTCACAACATAACAACGATATAAAAGTTGTTTTCAACCTTTTATAATTGTTGTTTATTATATATTGGCAACGTATAGCAGTTTTAAAAAAATGATTTAAATTTATGACTAACTACTCAGAATCTTGTTAATTAGTTTAAAAAGAAAAATATTTCCTAAAGATAAAAAAAACACGGAAGCACTAAGATGTGTTAATGATTCATACTGAAACGGAAACGGCACACTATGTAATTTTCTTTATAACTGCATTAACAAGAGGGGATAATTCTTTTGGTCGTAGTATTTATTAATTATTAAGCAGCATTTACAAATGTTTCAAATGTATTCTCATAGTAACATCGTCTTTGCTCAATATACACAAATTGTTCGAATTGATGAGTATTATTACAAAAAATGAAGTTCAATTTTATTTTTTTTTTTTAATTTGATTAGGATTGCATAGCGTTCAATTAAAACATCATTGTGTTATACGTAGAAACTGAAATGCCTCACTTGTATAAAAAGTACTATCCCAAGTATTTGAATAAGTTATTGACTTTTAGATGTGAAAAATACTTCAGTCATCTTTTAAAAAGGGAATTTTTAAGAATATTGATGATTTAATTACTGTTCTCGTGAAAACTATAATAAAAGATGATACCTTATTATTTGTTAACTATTGGATTATTAATATCGTTATTTAAGCACAAAAATTCATTAAAAGGACCGTTGAAATGCTATTTTCCAATATACAAATTTTCTAATGCTGCGTCTCGATACATAGATTTTAAGTGAGTTTCGCCTTAATTTTCATTAAATGACATTTTTCTACTATTTTTAATCAAAAACATAACACTATGAGCTACTTATAATTATCTTGCGTTCTTACATTGCTTAATAAAATATAATATGAGTTTGAAAGTTAAAGCGAGGTTATTTCAAAAGTTTATATATGGACAAGACTTGATATTACTATCTTGTGAAGAACATCGTAAAAAAGAAGCTAAAACAATTTACATCGACGAAAATGGATCCAATCTTGCATTCAAAAAGTAGCGCTAGGCGCTACAATCGTTATCCATTGAAGCTCGCGAGCATCATACGCATGCGTGTTCGTCATGGCGAGTTCGACAGTCGACTCGTGCGAGAATCGCGAGACTCGCGAGTCGTGCTGGAGAAAGTCTTTCGCGACTAGCTTCCTGTTTCTTACCGTCATCATCATCATCAGTTGTAAGCAGCAGCAAAGCAGCCAAGGATCGTTAGTCCGTGAGTCGTGGAATATACCTGTAGTGTTAGTGCGCAGTGTAATCTTGGTCAAATCATCATCGTGTACTTTGGAACAAAAATCAGCACGTTTTGATTTTTCTCGTTCAGCTGTATCAATCCAGACGCGTACGCGCGCCTCCGCGACGAGCAACGTAACAAAGGGTAAGAATTCCGTTTTGTCTATCGACTGGGGTGTCAGCAGAAATCCGCATGCTGCTTTAAGAGAGTTTGTAATTTCCTATTACATATTGTGGCGACCATCTTACTGATAGGTAGGCATAGTATATAGGCAACAGCGCGGAACGCTTTCCCTCTAACCTCAATATAAAATCGTGCATACGCAGGTATTTAGCCAGTACATCTCTCATCTCGATTTTTTTCGTTATCGCGCCACAGAAGTAGCAAAGTTATCGTCAGTCGTAAAGATTAGATATGCTAAACAATTTGTCGTTGTTGTAGATCAACGAGAGCAAGCGTGGCTACAGCTGTGATGATTCACTGAGGGTACATACCCGTTGCATGGACCGTTCGCAAAAGTGAGTATTGCAATATATGTGCAGAACTGATAATCTTTTTCACTTATAAGCGCGAACGCGCTGTGCAAGTGTGGACACGCCTTCCTTACGCAGGTGCAATCGGAGTATAGCACGTATATACCTGCCTACAGGCTCCGTCACCGTCCGCGTTTAGCTGACCATGACCACAGCCATGCACTGTGCAGGTGAAAGACGGCGATCCCTATTTCTTTTCTTTCGTTTTTTTTTTGCTCTCGACGGAAGCCTTTTCAACGTTTACGTGTCCAGTTCGATTTGTGGCCTGTGCTAACTGAAAGAAAATGCGAGAAGAGAGGTCGCGTCCTAACGCAGCAGTGTTTTGTTTACGCTAAAAAATAAGTGACTGCGAGCAGTGGAATAGCTTTTACGTTAGGGGAAGTTTTTGTCATTCGTCGTAGGTTTGTTTACAATCTGATTGAGATTCCGATAGTGTAGTAGTAGTTAAAAAGTTCAATTCGTAATTAATTTAATGGGTTACAATTATTGTTAAGAATGAATCTTTTATTGGTTGGACATTTCTATATATTAAAGTGTCAGTTTGTAAAAATTTTAAAGAAAAATTAAACATGCTTATAACAAAATAAAAAATCAATGTAGAAAAGTAATTTTATACATCAGTAAATTTCTCATTCGCGAGATTGCATAAAAAAAAGCCGAAATTCAATCAATTGCATAACCAACGTACAACCTGCTAATTCAAGCACAACGGTCGACTTCTCTTTTATGTAATTCGCCTACTCAATTAACTTATCTTCTACAATACACAAAAGTGCTCAGTATTTCGTCACTCGACAATAAAGCATTGTTTTTTGTGACTTTCAAAACCAGTTTCCTTATCATCCATTGACAAGTTATCATTCTCGGTAAAGGTCGAAAAATCGTTTGGTTGCCTTGCTCCATTTATTATTGCTATGTAACTGTGGTTTTTTAACTTCAGCGTGAATGGAATTACAACAAACTCATTGCCATTTCGAACGCGCATCGTAATCCATTGATTATCACTACTGCTTCGTTATGTGTTGTGTCTGTGTGATGTAATGTCGACCGATGAGTTTAGTATGAGCACCTCTTCGACGAACGGTTTAGGTTTTCAATGTCTTAATACCGTGATTTTATGTTGCTTTACGACTGCTTTTTCATTTTTTGTACCTGCCGTTAATTATTTATATACTAACTTTCGATTCGAAGGAGTTCTCATAAAAAAAATATATTGGCATTGAGGATTTCTTGATCCTTTGAATAATTCATCGGTCGAGAAAGTAGCACTTGCGAGAGACGAAAATGGCATGGTTGCACTGGGGTGGCGCTGGAATATTCAACTGGGTCTCATAAATATTTCATGAAAAACTCATTTGTCGCTGTTTGTTTCGCGTGCGGAAGGATTGAAAAATTGTTCGGATTAATGTCTGTGTCGATGTAATTTCGATCGAGGCCTCAAGGGCATGAGCGTTTTCTGCGTCGCGTTGTTCCGTAATGAGACTTTGATTTTGTCACGTGAACAGTGGTTTTATTTTACACTAACAATTTAATTAGCCTAATTGTTATTATTATCTGCAAGAATTAATCGACACCGGTAAAAACGTTTACTATGATCATCGTGAAAAGTAGATTGTTTTCACTCAACGTTGAAACTTTCACTACAAAGTATGAACCTGCATCAAACGTGAAATACCGTTGTACTTTCGTAAATCATAATTGAAATAACACATTTTTACGTATGCAACATAAAATCAATTTCTGTTAAGCTGCAACGGATAAAATATCAATTCCAAATAATCACAGGTTTCAAATTCATGACCGATACCTATTTTCTCAGTTCGAAAGTTCACGTTTACCGGCCCGAAGGAAGGGGAATTCCGCCGCGGAGAGTACCGCGCACAACGAAAAAGAAGAAGGTTAAAATTTCGCGAGTACGTTCGCCGTCCCTCCAGCGTATTTTTAGATAAATCGAGAACGGGGCTTTGCCTTGCATGGTGACAGTCAGGCAAAAATGGCATGCCACCGAGCGTTTGCCGCTCGCGTTCGCTTAAACGTCAGCTCTCGACATTCCGTTCTCCGCGCGCGCATAGGCAAGGATGCGATACAATATGCATAACGTGAAATTCGATAGTCCGCGGCTCGCGATGCACGTGTGTGTTTCTGCTCTTAATATCGCACTCGGCCGCCAGAGTGTCCAAATGGAAATTACGCCGCTATATAGCCTTTCATCGGGCGAGCCTCGATTATCTCTGCCAGAAATTGTACCGCGGGTTATCTCAACGTGAATATTTTTTCGATGCGCCGTGCCTTGCCTCGCTCGGGCGTAAAGCTCATCTACCTTCCCGCACTGGTTAGGTAATGTGCTGTGCACGCGGTCGCGACTGATTTTTGACGCAGTCTGAGGCGCGACTCGGTTCGCGCATACGTCAAAATCACGTTCTTCAAGCTGAAATACACGCGCGGCAGAACAACGATCCGTTAATCACTGTGAAGCTCGGCGGCGGAGACAACCGCGGCCGTACACATGACAAATGAAACGAACTCTCGTGACGTGTTGTAATACGCGCACTGACTCATCCAGCGAGTATAGGTGCCGAGACGCGCGACCTCGTCTTAAGCTCGACTCACCCATCAACGACGAAGACGCGCGAATCTCCCTCTCATCCACTTGTCTTTTTTTTCGGCTTTCGGTGGATTACAACGTTGCAGTTCCAACGCAACCATTTCTTTTATTTTTCCTTCCATCATGAATCCCAAACCCGACGCGTTGTCTTTGCACCGAAAAGTAGCTTCATCAATTTTAATTGCCGTGTCGTTGGAGCTACCATTCAAGCGTGGAAATTAGGTCAGTTAGCTCGCGAAGGAGGGTAGATTCTTTTGGGTTATCTCTGCGGAAGACGAGGAAAATACTTCCCTTGGTATAGAGAAGGGTTGAAAGACTTTTCGCAGAGCTTACGTTTAACCAGTGGCTGTGGCTTGATACTATTCGCTGGCTGTCGAATTTACGTCCACGCGAAGCGCTCAATTCACGCAGGTCGAGGTTCTGACGTTTCAACAGCGACCAAATCCTCAGCCGAGGTTGTCTATCGAGAATTACTTCGGACGACTCCCTCGACTCGCTGATTTGCCGTGTCAGACGCGAGACTTCAGAGCGTCGATTCAGAACGATAAGAACCCGAGCGTCGATTAGCGCTCTACGACGTTTACTCGCAGAGACTATTATCACACCCACGCACTCGCGCACGAGACGCGAGGATGCACGAACAAGCGATAAGTCCTACGTTCTCTCTCTCTCTCTCTCTCTCTCTCTCTCTCTCTCTCTCTCTCTCTCTCTCTCTCTCTCTCTCTCTCTCTCTCTCTCTCTCTCTCTCTCTCTCTCTCTCTCTCTCTCTCTCTCTCTCTCTCTGTCTCTTTACTTGACATTTGAGAGATATTTTACGCTCTTCTGCGTTCCATTTTGCGCAATTTCTTCTTTCGTATATGTTTGTACTTTTTGCGAGGGTTATTCGGACGGCAAACCGGCTCGTCGAATTCCCGAGGGAAATTCATTGATGATCCACGTGAAAAACTTTGTTTTGGCGAGCGTGACTGTGATTTTATGAAAACGTTGATAACGTCTCGTAAAATTTGTCCAAGGATTTTCGGGAGAGAGAGAGACTGACGACGGTCTTGGTTACGAAGCAACACTTTCCGATATCTAATCGGACAGCTTATATCGTTGATCTTTCCTTCCCTGCAAAAGTTCCTCCTTCAATCTTAGATGAGACTTTCGCTGGCGAATGCGCTTTCGTTGACGTTCATGTAGTCTTTCAAGAGCAACGTGTGCGACGTGCTGGCGACTCTCTCCCGAAACGAAGAAAAAGTAACGAAAAAAGCTTGTCCCCGCTAATTCGGACAGCAGTCAGTCTTTCGGATCGGAAAAGCTTCTCTTTGGTCGTCGAGTCGTTACGTCAGATCTTCGGCCGTGTCTGCGTTAGCGGCGCACGCATGCGCGGTTGACCGGCCGAGGGTGGAACGGACAAAGTCACAGGGGGTGCGAACTTGCGCAGCAGCGTTAGTACGCGCGACGGCGCAGCCACGGATGCTGCCGTTTTCTCCTCCGTCAAGACGAAAAACCTGTAGACACGTACGGGCGGACGGGCGGCAAAGTGATCGATAGACAGGAGAAAACGGCGCTCATTGGACGCGCGCGTCACTGAATTGTTGTTTATGTTTTTTTTCGTATCGTTCGTCGCACGGACAACGACAAGTTTCATCCATGGGGAGGACGGATATATCAAAGACGCTCAACGCCTACAGGATGTGAGTAAGAAATTACGGGCCATTTGAATTGCAAAGCTTTACATATATATGTTCTGTTCTCTTTCTTTTATCGGCTGGTTCCATCTGTTGATCGCTTCTACTAGCGCACATTCACAGACTTTTGCATTTGATTGTATGATCGCAATGTATGGTTTTGTCGCAATTTTTTTGATTGAGTTCACGTTTTCCGAATTTCATAACTCAAATTTCTTGAGAATACACACAGGTGTGGACTCTCACGATTGTTTTAAAGGCAGTTTTTCCTTACGCGTCTTCCCTAAGGTGCAACCGCTTTATTATTCTCCACTTCGTTGAAGCTGAAGTGTTAATCAAAAGGGTTCATCCGTGAAGGGCATGAAAAGGAAAGCAACCCTTCGCGGTCGCTCGTCAATGCGAGAAGTAAACAAAGCGAGCTTCCGCAAGCTCCTCTACTTCGTCGTCGAGTTGCTTTTCCGGAAGGATTTGGAAAAAGTCATGCTCGGGGTGTATGCGCACGTTTTTTCGCCGGGCCAAATTGTATATTATCGACCAGCTGTCGACTCGCGCTGTCTGGTCGCTCTTCTCTCAAAGCTCCTCTTGTAGTCTACGAGCGCGAGTCAGAGCGAGGATTTTTATTTCGGTGTTTTTTTTTTTTTTTTTTTCTCCAAGCGCCGACTTTTAATATTCATGAGAGGAAACCGGATCGCTAAAGCTTACGTAAAGCTTACGAAAAAAAAAAAGATGATGCCGACGATGAATCATCTGGCACAAAGTGACAGCGTACTCGAACGTTGTTACTAATTGTCGATCATCGAAGACTGAACACACCCGTCGTTCGATATGAAAACGGCACGCTTTATAATGCGAAATCGATGGGAAATTGAACGAGCAAACGAGCAAACGAGCAAACGGTTCATTTCCTAAGTGTGCATGTTTCGTTTAGTCCAACTGTAGAAATACGCCGTCGGCGGTGCATCAATCACGTTTATTTTTTCTTTTTTACATTCGGTAGTAAAGCTAAATAGCAACTGTCGCAAAGTTACGTAAAGCCTTTGTTTCCGTTATGGTCGAAAATATTTAATGCCTCCGTCATCGTGTCGTCCCGAGAGATAATCAGCTAAAGCCTAATTACGCGTCGTCCGGCGATTTGCGCGCAGCGACGTTCTCTTACAATGCAATTCAATCACCGAGAAAGGCTTCCTTGCGTAATTCGCCTTTGTGCCCCTTTCTCCGGCAGAAAAGCACGCGCGCGACCTTGCGTTCCTCCTTTCCGATCATTTTTCAGCGCGCGAACGCTCGTCGGCACTGTTGTTGCGCAGGCACACCCGCACGGATTTTGCGCGTGCACGCGACACGGCAACGTTGACGCGCGCGTAAACGGCTCGCGATGCGTACGCAATACATACGCGAAGCGCGAGAGAGAGCGCAAACCAGACGCGCTTCCCTTGGTCCTTTGAAGAGACGGGCAGGCGCCGTTCGCGCGACTTCCACGCGGACAAGCGAGCGAGAGAATGCGCTGCGCATGTCGTAGGGGTTTCGGGAGGGGGTAGGGGTCCACTTCGACTTTTCCGCGCGCGGATTCGATACGACTGCACACGGTAGCGCCAATCTTCGTTCGATGGAACGAAAAACGCGCGCGAGACGCAAGGCAGGCTTAGAGACTGTCGAATGCACGTGTCGATGTCTCCGTCGACGCGATACGCGCGCATACAACGGGCGAACGAACCCCTTTCGTGGATCGATCGCGCGGCGGCGCTGCTCCCCCTTGAGCGTTCACGTGTGTGTCAGACAGCCGCCGTGCTTCGCGATTCGCGCGGCGGGGGATCCTTAGAGCTCCGCGCATGCGCGGCATTATTGATATACAAAGCAGCCGGCGCGAGAGCGAAAGAGGCTCTTTTTTTCCCCGAAGTCTCCAGCGGCTTGTGGCGCGGAGCCGCGAGTGCGTGTCATTTCTACGAATCGGTATCTATACAACAGAGCCAATCTTCGTTGACGAGGCGAGCTCGTCGCATTCGTTGCATTCTAGGTGCTCGCGGAATAGCTCGGTGTCGCCGTTGCTGGTGCGTGAACGCGTGTGTTTTAGGCTTTTTATACCTTTTTAGGTTAACGATTCTGACTCATGTTGCACGATCGATAAATGACGACGTTTTATTGTAACAACGTTCTCCTTCATTGTTGATGTGTGGTCTAGTTTTGTTTAGCTCGGAAGTATGGACTCGTGTGATGAGTGACTGGCCTATTCTCGTGACGATTTAACCGATATGACCATTCTGCAGCTGTTGTAGCATTGTGTCTATGAATTCTTTTTCTAATTGTGGTTGGATGGTGTAGATTTTTGATAAGATTTGAAAATGTATGTGAGGTTGGAAGAAATTTCTGATAATAGGGATTGTCATTGAGATAAAGATTGTTTTTCTGTAAAAGTCAATGACTTTAGCAAGTCATCTAAATTTATATTTAGCTCATCCATGAGAAAAACTAAACTGTTTAGTTTACTGAGGTATCTCTCTCTCTCTCTCTCTCTCTCTCTCTCTCTCTCTCTCTCTCTCTCTCTCTCTCTCTCTCTCTCTCTCTCTCTCTCTCGCTCGCTCGCTCTCTCTCTCTCTCTCTCTCTCTCTCTCTCTCTCTCTCTCTCTCTCTCTCTCTCTCTCTCTCTCTCTCAGTTTTGGTCGAAAAATCCATTTTTTTATGTGATAGAATGATTGTTCCATATTATTATCTTTAAAACGCAAAATTAATCAAAAAACTAAACATATCGATTGTTTAAAAAAAGTTGCATTGTTAAAATAACATTTTAATTTTCTCAATTTGCACTGATAGAATGCCTGGAATCGTTCCAGACGGGTTATTATTGTCATTGGTTGTATAAGAACTATGCTTAATATAATTCTTTTTTGGAGAAAAAGATACACAAAATAAGTATTATAATTATTATGAGTCGATAATAAGACTGGCTTGAAAAAAAAAAACAATTTGTTAAAAATAATCGACATGGCGTGCTAATTGGATGCTACTATAATAACCTATAGCTCGATCGGTAGTGATCCCATGCGCGTGGAGGAAAATCACTTTGACAGAGGAGTTGATCGATGAAATGTTTACGTTTTGCAGCAAGAAAATCGAGCACATCGGAAGAATGACGGCCATGACGCAAGAGGAGATAATCGCGGGCGCGCGCACGGTGGCCCAAGGATTAGAAGCTTTGAGGGCCGAGCACGCCAGTATGCTGAGCGGCTCGCAGTCCCAAGACGCGCCGGTGGCGCGCGACAAAGCGAGCCTCATATCCAAGAACATCGAGATGATCGAGCTGGGCCTCGGTGAAGCACAAGTGATGTTGGCGCTGGCGAGCCACCTGCAGATGGTCGAGGCCGAGAAACAGAAGCTTCGCACACAGGTCCGTAGGCTCTGCCAGGAGAACGCCTGGCTCAGGGATGAATTAGCCGGCACGCAGCAGAAACTCCAGGCCAGCCAGCAAACGGTAAGCCCGCGCTGCGCTCATACGCCCAAGTGGCATTTCCATGAAAACAACTTATTGCACTTCACGACGCTCAACAGGTGGCACAATTGGAGGAGGAGAAGAAGCATTTAGAGTTTATGAATAGTATGAGACAGTATGATCCAGATCCGTCGGTTGAAGACGAGAATGCCAAGGACCGACCGAAAGACGATCCGGTTGTCGATCTTTTTCCCGATGACGATACCGAGGAGAGAAACAGTAAGTGTATGTAGTCGCTGCCATTTTCTTTCTCTCTTCTTCCACGTGTCCCTGGTGAATGCTGTCTTATACTCATGGGGGCGTTCTTTACATTCTCCTTAGAACGTTAATGTAAATTTTCTTTTTATTATTCATAGGCACATAAACTCTATCGGCACTCTTATTTTTCACTATACATATATTATGGGTTTTATGGTTACTGGAATATTTTGGATGGAATTATTGAGGGAAAACAATTTGGTTGTTCATTAAGCTTAATTCATTACAGTAGAAGTCAGCACGATAAGTGAATGTTAAGAAAACTATAAATAGTTAGCATGACAGGTGTCAACATGCTACAGTATAAACTTCAGCTTAAACAGCGGGTTTTTATTTTTAATTTATCTCATAGAGTATCAAAGTTTTTATACTAATAATTCTCTTAGAACTCTTTACTTATTTTTTCCTATATACATAGAGCTTCAGTAATATATCGAAAGGCTCACAGACTATGCTGATATAATTTATCTCTATATAGCTTCTTGTAAATCGATGTGTCCGCTATATTCTTACTGCTTTTGATGAAATATAGAACATATAGATTTTAATACACAACATTAATTCATAACAAACTTGATACGCGAGTATGTTTATGTATATATGTTAAACAACGAAGAATCTAAGGAAAAATGAAAAACGTTAAACTGCATTACCGCCGACACTAAGTCAATATTATGTACTCGCAGAGACAAATCTAAAATAAGCTTCATTACATTTTCTGCAGCGATGTCGCCCACCCCGCCGTCGCAGTTCGCCCAACAAGTAACAGCCGGATACGAGATTCCAGCTCGCTTGCGTACTCTGCACAACTTAGTCATTCAGTACGCAAGTCAAGGTCGATACGAAGTGGCAGTACCACTGTGCAAGCAAGCTCTCGAAGATTTGGAAAAGACTTCGGGTCACGATCATCCTGACGTTGCCACGATGCTCAACATCCTCGCACTCGTCTATCGTGATCAGAACAAGTATAAGGAGGCGGCTAATCTGCTGAACGATGCGTTGGCAATTAGGGAAAAAACACTTGGCGAAAATCATCCTGCGGTGGCTGCTACTTTGAATAACCTTGCTGTACTTTATGGTAAACGAGGTAAATCACGTGCTGTATTGACACATAATTTTTAAATAATACCTATATATCACGATTTGAAAAAGTTGAATCATATGTAATGTATAAGTAAAAATTATTATTTACAAATTTTTAACAAAGAAAATAAGAGTTGCTAAAATTAAGGAATTTCTATTCTATATAAATCAATTTATTACTTTTGGCACAAAATAAGTATAACTTTATACTGCGTTCCAGAAGATGCTATATAAGAAAAAGTATTCAATTTTTGTAAAATCAATTTTCTTGTTTAACATTGAAAAATTTTCTTTGTTTAATCCGGATTGCGTTTTAAAAATAATCTCACAATAACTTTTGCAATACAGGTAAATACAAGGAAGCCGAGCCACTCTGTAAAAGAGCGCTGGAAATTCGTGAGAAAGTCCTTGGCAGAGATCATCCAGACGTCGCGAAGCAGTTGAATAATTTGGCGTTACTATGTCAAAATCAGGGTAAATACGAAGAAGTCGAGCGGTACTATCAGCGTGCTCTCGAGATCTATGAAGCGAAACTAGGTCCAGACGATCCAAACGTTGCCAAGACGAAAAACAATCTAGCCTCTTGCTACCTCAAACAGGGCAAATATAAGGACGCCGAAGTGCTTTATAAACAAGTGCTGACCAGAGCCCACGAGAGGGAATTCGGTGCTATCGATGGTGATAACAAACCTATTTGGCAGGTATGTCATTCTGAATATTACAAAGTATTTTTTTAAATAGATCTGAGCTATTGTAAATGGTATCTAACACTTATTAATTAATTAATTAATTGAGATATGAACGATTTAATTATTGATTAATTAAGAATATAGAATGGGCTATTAATAAGTAAAGTCGTGAAATTTGAATTATAAAGTTATATAAATAATAGATTTCCATTCTATAAAATAAAAATAAAATTTATAATCCAGTGAGAGCGCACAGTATAAATGCGAAATGAGGTAAACACAAGTAATGAAAAATATCCGAATATATGAGAGATTAGATGGCTTGAAAATAGGCGATGATTAACTAATGTGTTAAAAATATTGATGATGATCAGGTGGCAGAAGAGCGTGAGGAGAACAAGCACCGAAATAAGGAGAACGCTCCTTACGGTGAATACGGCGGCTGGCACAAAGCGGCAAAAGTTGATTCGCCGACCTTCAACACGACCTTGAAAAACCTCGGGGCGCTGTACCGACGACAGGGCAAGTACGAGGCCGCCGAGACTTTGGAGGACTGTGCGATTCGGTCGCGACGAGAGGTAGAGTCTGTTTTATAAAAACAAAACACCACCAACATCATCTTCATCAATTTATTTCCTTAATTTACCAATAGTTACCATTATTATTTACTTATTCACTCTTCCATATACCCAATTTTGATCAACGACTTTAAAGGTTGTTGTTGTTTACAAGCAGCTTGTCCAGCAGGTGAGTGACAAGCCAAACGCCAAAGCGCAGAATGTGTGCTCCATGTAATCTGTGCGCTCTCACTCCTCTATTTCTCTGTCTATTCTCTATCGAGCCATCACGACAAAAATTCATCACAACATACTATCATCGCAATCTATTCGGATCATCAAAATTATTTTTTACACACTATACATATAACAACAATAGCAAACAACGATCAGTACAGATTCTTTATCATTCATCGTCCATTTAGAAAACGCTTTAAATTTTCTTTTATTTTTTTTTACGAACTTTAAATTTTCTTTTATTTTTTTTCAGCAGCAGCGAACGCATTGTGCTCGATAATTTTTTTCCTTTTTGTACATTTTATAATCTTTTTTCATACTTTATATTAGCAATATGCCGTATTTATATTGTAGATGTATAAGGCCTGCGTACCTTAATCATGAAAGATAATATTATATTTAGAATAAACATTTTGAATACAAGTGTCAATTTTTAATTATACATATAGAGTGTTTGTTACAATGAAAATATGAGAAAATAAAAAAGCAAAGCTATATTGATACTCTAATAAATAACGTAAAACAAATAACAATTAAAAATCCTTTCTTGCTACCACATTGCTCAGTTAATGATTTGTTTATTATTTTACTTTTACTTTTATTTCTGTTTTAAGTTATTTGTTTTATTATTACGGTATGCGTAATATTTTCATTTTGATTTTACTTTTATTTACAAAATTAATTTCAAAATGAAAGTTTAAGTCGAATTAGAAGATAGATGAACAAAAAATTGGAAATTAGAGAAAAAAAAGCTCGAATATTTTTCCAAATTTTTAAAGGTAATTGAAAACAATTTGATTCAATAAAAAGTGGGTAATTACGAAGGATAACAGACGCGTGAAATTCGTAACTTTGTCGCAAGTGTTTTTTAATGTGGTATCTGCATATAAAAATTAAAAAGAGTGCGAAGAAATATCGATATTGATAATAAAGCTTTTTTGTCAGTAATACATGAATGTGTCATTTGATTTATTTTTGTTGATCATGTGCTGTAGATATTTTCAAATAAGTAGACATATAAAGCATGTGAATTCATTGGGACAAAAATAGAACATTTCAAGATAAAGTTAATTTTTTTTAGATATGTTTTGTATAATTAATTTCTTTAACAATTTACATACTTTATATTTCATATGAAACGCATATTGAGAATTTTATTCAGGAAAAGGGGTTCTCAATATGTAACTACTGTTAATTAGGCATGCGTATGTAAAAAATGTTTCTTAGCATGAACTGTTAAAATTTCACTCGTCTGTTTATCCTTAACTCCTTATCTCATGAAACTTCATAATTAATACTCGTTATTCATATTTACAGGCCCTGGACTTGGTAAAGCAGCCGAAAGTAGCACAAATCCTTGGTGATGAGAGAGGTTCAAATCGGCGAGGCTCAAGGACGAGTTTGAACAACGCTGAACATGAAGCACACGATGATGTGAGTTGTCTTCTAAAACAGAACTAAATCTTCTATATTTTGAGGGATGTCGCATAATATCTCAACCCTCACCTCCTCGTATTATATGTATAGAGAGCATTTTTAACAGTCTATCTATTTTTTTTTTTTTTTTTTTTTTATTAAATTTTGTTAATTCGATGTCACTATCAGTAATACATATAGTTTATATATATATATATATATATATATATATATATATTCGCACCGCATGCACACGTAGATTTTTTATATTACACACTTTCCACACTGAATATTAGTTGAAGAGTTATTGAGTTGTGGACGAGATGGCAAAGAAGCGTGTCAACGCACTTGAACCAACACCAACGAACACAAAACTATCCTTTGTTCTTTTTGTTTGTCTTCTTTCATTTTGTCGTTTCGTTTGCGAACGAAAAAAAAATCAACCAAAAGGGCTCCATGCCGATGATGCAGCGGACGCTGATGCACGAGGGACAGTCTGCCAACCACGACGCTAGTCCTAACAAACCTGGTATTAAGAACAAGATCTTTCACGTTCTAGGCTTACGTGGGGATTCTACCTCCACGTAGAACTCGTCAATATTTCTTACTTATTTTGCTTTAAAATCTATTCTTTATTAAGAGACTATATAATATCTCGCATGTTGAAGCGAGAAAACTTTGTGCGCATAATATTCATTCATTTCAATTCTTTTTTTGATGCTCGAGTGCGAAATAATAGAAATTCATATATTTACATTTCTGATTGATCGTTCAACGTTCGGAGTTGCATGCAAATTATGAGCAAACAGAAGTGTCGTTCGATAATTGAGATAATTTTAAGTAAGTATGTACCTGACAAATTCACCTGATAACAAAAAGATTAAATAGTTTTCTCGCCTTGACGGAAATGATACACAAAGTGTATCATGTTTTTATGAATGTTGACGAAAAAACAAACTAAAATGAGGGCTTAATTGTTCCTTCAATCAAATGGTGTCTCAACATTATTATTAAGAAGTATATGGCAAGAATATTCTCATATTTGAGCTCGATCATTGTTCTATAATGGTCGATTTTATTTTATTTTAATTTTTTAATTTAGAAAAATTATTGTTTCATTTAGCCACAAAATGTGTGTGTATTAAATTACCATGAATAATTAAAAAAAATATGAGAGGATTCGTGCAATATAAACTGAATTTGTACATTGAGAAAGGCATTTAAATGATTTAAAATAAATTGAAGAGTTAAAAAAAAAATTCGTTTCTTAGTACTGGATAAAATATCAGATTTGCGCTGAAGTGTTTTTAAAAATTTTTTTAATACATAAGCAAATTGGGATCGATGTCTTCCGATTTGAATCCTTTCCTTGCCGGGGATGATAATATGTGATGATTGAGTATAAAAGCGTGTTAAGATTTGAAAGTATACGTTCGATTTTTATTAAACGAAATTTTCGTTGAGACGACTAGTTAAGTTATTTTGCAATAAACTTTTGCACCTTGCGTGGCTTTCAAGTGACTACCTGTTGAGTATCCGAGACTCTCATGTATAATCACACTTTTAAAATTTTACTTTGTTGACTCTACAGTTTTTATTACAGCATTTCTTATTGCTTGTATTCTCTATTTACGTTTGCATTTACTTTCCTTGTATAGAGTTTAAAGATTCTCCAAAGGTAGTTCTTTTTATATAGTAAAATGTTATTGGCTTGAAATTTTGTTTATTCTTTTTCATCTGCACTAAATAGTTAGACAATAAAAGACAACATTAACAAAAATTGAAGTCCAGCGAATCACTGTAATTGTTTTACTTGTTGAATTATACACAATGTGAATTGTAGGAATGAAGAAAAAGGTAGCGCCTTATAATTAAAACAAATTAAGTAAACAAAAATATTTTGTAACTTAATTTTGTTATATATATATATATATATATATATATATATATATATATATATATATATATATATAGTGCAAGCTTTTCTTCTCTCAAGCGAGCGTGTTTAGAATATACCTTATTACATTGTCCTTATAGCGGCATGATTGTAAATAAAAATAGTGGCGTGATGTACGTGAGAAAACGTGATATGAATCACATGCATAATTAAGAATATAGATAGCGAAGATAAATGTTTAAAGTCTATGTATTTGTTGATAAAAAATACATAAAAGTCTATGTTACAAAAATGTAGCGTTTACTGTCTATATTCTTAAGGATGAACTACACTGAGTTTTTATAAATCATTAAACAATGTTAATTTCTTATGATTAATAAAAAATCATTTTCTTTATAAAAATGCGTTAAATCACTTTCGTTACTCGATAAGACTTTAAAAAAAATTCTCGTAGGTTACTTAAAAACAAATGAAATGCAAATTTCTTTAATCGTATCTTGTAGTTTATATATTAAGTTTTATACCATCTATTAATGTCTCGCTATCCGTACGTATATATAATTATCAATTGTTTTCAAATTTTATCTTGACATTACTCTGCTTTTTTGTCTTGTTTTAATTTTTATACATTGTAAATGCATGTTAGTCGTAACAATTAATTAGTTTAAATAATAACTGTCTTATACAAGCAAAAATTATGAATATTTGATTTCAGGTTATCTAGAAATAATACTCTAGTACACAGGAGTTTTTTTCAGTGTAGTCTATCTTTACATACTGATTTTGTTGTTGTTTGTTAGCTAGTCAAAGTAAAATTGTCTTATCTTTTTTAGTACCTTTTGACAAACTTCAAAACCTTTACTATTATCTGCACGCATTTGTGTTTAACAAATCACAGAAAAAAACCTGACCTTAAAGTTTAATCACCCTGGATGTATATGCGTCGCCAAATATGTTGTAATGTCAATCCTCACAATTCGAACCCATGACGAAAGATAATCGGGAAGCAAAATTAATGTATATTAATAAAACAAAATTTTTACCAATGCGATTGGGTTCGACCGAAGAGCGAAGCTGTGAGTCTGGGCTGATTGAAAAAAGGTGCGTACATTAAGTAGATTGCATAATTTTCTCTCATTTACGAATATTATATATTCGTTCATTTTTTTCTTATCTACTTTTAATTAGGCTTTTTTTGTTTTTGATGCATAATTTATGCTACGTGCACTTCAAAATCCCCTTATTATTGACTATGAATCGACTACACTGAAATGTTCTCTCTTGTGCTAGATAAATCAAAATTTTAGCACTTTTCTTGCTTTTTTATAGCATGATTTTTTTTTATATCAATGGCACATGCTGTTGGTATTTTTCACGATGCATCGTCAATAATCAAAAATGCTTTTATTAGTGTAAAATTATGTTTTGTTGTATCTTAGAATGCGCAATATTTGTTTTCCAAAAACGAATCATTTCAGCTTTTGTAATTTGTGAATATTGTTATTTGTTACCGTCGTTGATTCGCTTCAAGCTTCATTGTATTTTTATTTTGGTACAAAAACAACAAAAATGTGTTTAATGTGTTCCCATGATTAACAAAGTTCTTTACGTTTGATCAGACCTTTTTTGTTCGTGAATTTTCATTGATAACATTCTACATAATAACAGAATAAAAATATTGCTTCGCAGACATTGTGTCTTTGAAAAAAAATATATATATATTCACCATTTTTTCAATTTTCTTGCTGAAAAATAGTTCCTTTGTAAACTATGTCAAAGACGCAAAAAAAAATTAAATAAACGCTAGCCAAACAAAAAAAAGTTTCATTCTCTTTCTGTTATAGGAAAACATGCCGTCGATTCGCTACTAGTAAGAGCCTGCAGCCAAATAATAAGGGACTCCGCGACGTTTCAACAACGAAGACGAAACGTCGACAGCGACGTTCACCGATATAAGAATAAAGAAGATTGTGTGAGACTTACGCACGAATACACACTATCTTAGACATATGCGCTGCACATTCCGGGGGCTTTTGTAAAACTGCAACGGAAGATAAAACTCGAAAGACGATTTTTTTCAAAGCTTGACATGTGGACTCCTTTTTTTTAATGCGATGCTTAATATATATTGATACGAGATTTAAATTTGCATAATGTTAAATGTGAAAGTGAGTGAAAGTCAGTATTTTAAAAAGAATCTGTCCTTTTTTTTTTAAATTGCGTACTCTATACACGCATAATTTTGATGAGAAGAGCATAATACATAGCGTGTCAATTCCGTTTCGCACTTGCACTGTAAACGTAAATTAAAGAACATTTTATCGTATATTATTATTTATATTAAGTTATTATCATACACGAGTCTTTATTTATTTAGATTGGTGCGGAGGTTGGTAAAAGTGTGATACAATGACGAACAAAATTATTAAGACGGTTATATGTACGTTTCAAGCCTAATGTGCATAAGAATTTAGCAATTAAAAATTATTTTCGACACTCCCAGCGTGAAAACTCAATGTACACACACTCGAACAGACAAGCGTGCTTTAAATCTTATCTCGCACACGTCGTATCGAAAAATAAAGTTAGATACATGTGCGAGAAAGTGGTTTCAGTTTCGTGTGGACTTTTCATCATCACTTCATTTGTGCATAAACGTCCTCACGAACTACAATTCACTTTGTCGCACTAGTATTACTTCTTAACAAAGTATGTGTAACGACTAATGACACGAAAATGCAAAGGAGAGAAATAGGGGAATTGAAAAGCTGATCGTTTTTCTTATTAAAATTTATTTTATAGAAACAATTTCTCATTTTATACTTACCAAAAGGCATGATTTGAAAATTTCATTGTTATGGTGCTCAGCATAATTTATTTTGAGCAAAGTTAAAAAACCAACTCGTGCATTTATAGTATAATTGAAAAAAACTTATACGTGCGCCTGAGAGCTTACAGGCTTATGAATCTTTATTTTATAGATTCACGAGATTACTCTTTTAGTTGTTTACTTCTATCGGACCATTGCGTAGTTTATTATTTATTTAAAATTAAAAAATATTAATAAAAATTCTATGCAACCTTGCTTTCGTTAATCGTTTGTAAGGTGATAACGCATTATTAAAAAATAAATTTAATGCGGAAAATTTATCACCGTTGCGATTTATTAATATTTTCTTAACAGTAAATTGTTACTAAGTATTTATCAGAACAAACATATTATTATACATTTTGTAATTAACCATTTTTAGATTTATAAACTTTTGTATATTTGATTTAACAGTGGTATCAAGGTGTATTGAAAAATAAAATGCATGTCTCAGTTCTATATAATTTGTAAAATTATAAACAATTAGAAAAGAAAACCAAGTGTGAAATTCCTATAAAATTTTCAAAAATGTTCAAATAATGCATAGTAATTGTGAAAAACAAGCTTCGTATTTCGTTCGTATTAATCAAAGATCAATAATTAATAATTGTGTTTTGTGAAATACGAAAATTAAAAAGTTTAAGTAGTGCTTAAAGTTACTAAAATTGATTTTAAAATAACGCGTACTTTTTATTTTTGTAATAATAATATCAAAATTTTGCTAATTCTACGAATTCAAAATTTATGCTTAAAAAGTTATAGATTGGAATAAATATTCCTATTAAAATTAAGCTTACACGTGTGTGCGTGTGTATAAATATATATGACAAAGGGACTATGTCGTTCGAGACTGGCAAAGTTTTTGACAATATTTTTCGCGGTAGCGAAAGTCAAAGTAATCGTTGATATAACAGACGGAATAAATAAAATAAAGAAAACCAAGAGATATGACAAAAAAGGTAAAGCTGTTTTTATTGTGATAAGCCATGAGAATTTTGTGCGTGTGAGATATTGAAAATTGATAAAACAAAAATGCGTTCATTAAATAATAGGTAGTATAAAAACTTTGAAAGGTAAAGGGACACTATTGCACTTTATTATGTGCGTGCGTGCATGCGTGCGTATGTGCATACGAGTGCGTGCGTGTGTGTGTGTGTGTGTACGGCAGAACTTTCCAGCTGTGTTCTAGCTCTCAGGTGCAACTTATTGTTATTCGATGAACGTACTATGTAAGCTTTGATTTATAATAAACATTTAACTTGTAATAAATTCATGTTTCTCTTATTATTTGTTTATCCTATACGTTCTACTCGTAATCTTGCAACTTTGATTTCACTTTAGATAACGATTTAATTAATTAAAAATATTTGTGGAATACTTAAAACTTAACCTTCACCGTCCATTTTTATAATGTTTTTATGTTTAATAAATTCTATCTGTTCGTGTTAATAAAAGCCATTCTTTCATTTTTAAATTTGAATATTTGGTTTCGGTAAATTTTCGACGAGACGACTTTAAATGTGAAACTAGTGAGAACGGAATGGGTAAAGTAAAAGCGGACGCACGTTCAAACTGAAATAACGAAATGAGTAGCCGAGGGGTAACGAGAGGACATTGATACCCGAATGGACACCATTTGGACTGCGAATATCGCAATCAGATATCGTGAAAATTATAGGTCAACGTAGTAAACCTACACAACTATCGCACGTGTACGTGGGAGTATCTGTTTGTTATAGGGATGCTGACAAGTCCGACGAGCAGACATGTAACGAAACGCTCGCGAATCACTTTGTTTTTAATTTACCCGATGGTGACGAATTCGTAGTTCAGTTCATACTTATAATTTTCCTATCACCAAAGTTCTTGTTATTATTATTGTTATTATTATTATTGTAATAACCTTCATGATGTTTCTTAATAAGATTGAAAAAGAGGATGATCAACTATTAGATCATCATTGGTAGTGTAATTTTTTAGAAGTTATCTTTATCATCTTTACTCATATTAAAAAATTTTCTTGCCACTCCACATCCATAACAGTTCGTCACATCTACAAATGTTGAACAGATAGAAACGGTAGCATGTTATGTACAAGAGTTTTGATACAAATGCATGTGAGAATAGTGTGAAATATCTGATACATCTGTAATAATCGCTCCAAATATACACTAGTATGGTTGGCGTATAAGCTTGCCAATTCTTCAAACTCGTAAGTGCAACAGTGGAACGTCTGCACGGACGTAAATAATAACAGATCAAGAGCGCTAGACGACAAAAAGACGATAAATTGTAGTGTAGTGATAATCATATGTGATAAATTGACACGATCACGAAATAAAATGAAAAATAAATAGTTCAATACATCTGTAAATCAAATGAAGGCTTGAAAGGGACGTCCGTGAGTTCGACACTTGGGGCAAGCTATTCCATGCTGACTTCGGTTCTCTCCCGTAACCGATTTGTCAAGAGTTTCCGCGCATTTGCCGCAAGCTGCCAAATGGTAACATCTACTCCATATCCTATTTGCAACTTCGGTCAAACAAATACTGCAGAATACTCCATGAGTTTCGATGGTCCGTTCAGCCTCAATTATTCTTTGAGTTTTTTCAGCTATCTCGGCTCTCAGTTCCGCAATTGTCCGCAGAGCATCATCTAGTTGTCGATCTTTCTCCGTCACATCAGTCATCACTCTCTCGTAGATCTCCCGAGCATCAACTAATAATCGAGATTTCTCGGCGATCTCAATCATCAGCACGTCAATATTGTTTTGAGCCTCGATCAGTTGCGAAGTTTTTACAACGTGCTCTGCTTCCAGTCTCATGTTGATCTGTTCAACCTCGGCTAGCCGCTGCGTTTTCTCCGTGATTTGAACTTCCAGTTGAGCGATGATCTGCCGATCTCTCGACGATCGTTGAGCTTCCTCGTGGAGCACAGCCTCCAATTCCGCTATGGTCCGCTGTGCCTCAGCCACTTGATCCTTTTGACGGGTCTCGGCTATCAAATCCGCGATAGTCCTTTCAAATTCAACTAGTTGCTGATTTTTTGTTGCGTTATTAGCCTTTAGTTGGGCGATGATACTTTTTGCCACTCCAAGAAATTTATCAGCGATATCCTCTAGCAACTCTACTAGTATACATGTTTCTAAAAATCAAATAAATGGTCTCCTGTGAGCGCATTATTGGTAAAAGTTAGGTTCACGGTTTTTAAACCAACCCGAAGGATGCGGTCGCGCTGGCAGCAATTTTGTCGGCGGCGGCGGTGGCGGCGATGGCGGCGGTGCTAAGTTTGGACGAGAGAAAGTCCCGCGAAATGACTCTCGTTCTGCTGTCTTTCTAACTGGGTGTTGTGATCGCGACGGTGGTGGTCGACGCTTGGCTTGCCTTTTTGGCGGTACTGGCGGCCGCGATTCGAAGCTGGATGCGCAATCACCAGCTGATGTCACGGAAGCTGCTAAACGACGCGCTTTCGCATCCGTACTTGCCTGCAGGATTTGAATTGCATTGCAATTTCAACGAATTTTATTACTCGATAGCTAGTATGTTTTTAATTATTTATAAAAAAAACTTTACGCCTGTCCGTTGCTGTTTTCCAAAGTCGCTGAACGTCGCAGCAGCTGCATTTTCATTCGGCTTGTTGTAGAAAACTTGCGCTTTGTTGAAACGAGCAGCGTCGATGGGACGCGAGTGCAAGCCAGCAGGCACGCGCGAGACCGAAATACCGTCTTTTCGTGGTACTTTCTTGTTGTTTCCGTTGGCGCTGAACAATTTTTTGATAGCAAGCATATTTTTTCATGAATTTCGAGTGCCAATCAGTGCTGTTCTACAATAAAATGTAATAAATGCAATTGTCAATCGGATTTAATATAAAGAGAAAAATGAATTAGACACTCGATTGGAATTAATAATTTTGGTTTGTAAAATGACGTGAAAATTTATAATTTAAAAAATTTTAGAATATAATTATATTATATACAATATATATAATAAATACATATATATAGGTAAGTTGTGTATACACTATATATACAATGTATAGCGATTGGAATATTGATATATTTATTTAAAAAGTATTTTTCATCAGTATAAGCACAAAAACTAGTTCGATATCGCTATATTTGCCCCGTTTATAAAAACATGATTCGTGAGAACCATTTCACAACCATCCACATCAAACTTAGTATAATTAGAATTTCGAAATGTAATTCTTAATTAATACCTTGTTTCTTTTTGTTTATCCCAGTAGCATACTGAAAACACATTTATACGCTATTCTCCTTGCACAAACCACTTTGCATGGTCTCAGCTCAGATTTGTACATTAAACTGAGAAAAGCTCGCCTCCTATCGCAACGTCATCACTGCGAAACTATGTAGACTGTTGACAGCTCATGCATGATTATTTTGTATTTCCTCTCTTAGAAAGATAAAATATGAAGCAGAAGTTGAGCTGCATATTCTATTTCTGCGCAAATGTTGGGAACAATCTTAAATATGAAGCTCATAGTATCGATTATCAACTTTTAAATTATTTTAAAAATTAAAATCTGTCTCTTCGATACTTCTTATTACTTCGAAGTATTGGAGTGAAAATTATGTTACTCAAAATCCGAATATCTAAACAGCGCTGTTGGACTGTTTACTGAAACTGGTCTGCTGAAAGTGATTCCGTGAAAAATGCATGCGTAAATATAGCTTCCCCTCACTTTTTTATACAAATTTACAGATTAAGAAGCAAATCTTATAATAGATAAGTTTTATCAAAATTACTTCCTTTATTCTCAGTTAAGTTTTTTATGATAAAATATAACATTTTATTTTAATTCAAAACGATTCCCACGTGATTTTTATGTTTATCAGTTTATATAATTAATTGATTCACACATACATTTGTATTAAGTCTTGTATAAATAACACATCTATGTCTATGTTGATTTTATATTTAAAGGTTCGTAAATGAACCGAACAGACAGAATTGAATGCATTGAGAATAAATATAAATAAGTATATCTGACTTTGCAGTTGTGTATATATCATTACCGCCTAATTTAGATTTATTTCCGTCCTTGCAGTATTCCTAACAATCCCATTCGCGCTGTACACGAGGATTGGTGCCTGTACGTTAGTGACGAAGATAAATACGTCCTGCAAGTCCGTTTGGGTATAGAAATTTACAACCTCGGGATCGACGATCCCCACAACTAGCTTGAAGTTCTCGATGTCGTGGATGACTCAATATAAGTTATTGAGGAGGAGCTGGATGGCCCAGAGGATGAAGCTCGAAGACGGAGTGGAAAATGAAGCGGACGATGAAGAGGGGAATGAAGAGATGGAAGGAGCCGTCGTTCACATTAAGCTGGGTCCGAAGAATGGAGAAGTGTTCGATCACAACGTGCAATCTCCAGCATCAACGTGAAACCATCAAACAATTACGTCGCAAGCTCGAGCATCCTCATGAATACTAACTACAATCAGGCCAGTATAAAAAGGAAGTATCACTTTAAATATGTAAGTAGAAAATGTTTTCTTAGATGCCCTCGAATACGATAGTACGTATCTGCAGACCTGTTAGCCAGCAAATATATATATATATATATATATATATATATATATATATATATATATATATATATATATATATGTATATATATATATTGTAATTTATAAAAATAAATATAATATGATGTACTTAATTTTTGTTATCATCACTCTCCTCATTCTTAGAATTACTCATTTGATTAGGTTATTGTAAATATTATATTGACTATCTTAGGTGTCTTCGAATTAGCATTTACTATTGCCTGCTAAATATAATCCATTTGATGTGGGCACACAAATAACTCAAGAGTAAAAGTTCGAACAATAAGTAATAATAATTATTATTATTATTTATTGTTTATTAAATTTATTATTTATTAAATTTGATTTTATTATTACACTTTTTTAATTAATCATATTTAATAAATTCATATAATATTATAACCTTAAAATAATATTAATTGCGGTACAATGAAATCTTGTTACATTTAGAGTGATCTATCTTTGATGTTGTAGAATTCTTGTCCATGCATTCAAAATGAATTCTATTAGTTTGTATAAAAGGTAGCTAAGAAATAAATAACGTAATTTAAATGATACATTTTTTATCACAAACTTGTCACTCATACTTTCACTAACCACACAATATAGTCGTACATTTTTATAACAAATACACTGCATAATAATTATGCTTGACACGAATCCCTCTACAGTCTATGAACAAATTCAATTATTTCTTCTGAAGCACTGCTGTTGTTTAGAAAGTCTTGAAGCACAGCATTCTCCAATGATTCACTGTCTTCTTCATTATCTTCTGCATTATTTGTTTCTCTCTCTGCTACTACCACTGACAGTTTCTTGATATATGGCTAGGCTTTCTTGAATGACTCTGATTAGTCTTAATCAGAGAATCGATCTGTTGCCAGGAATTGCTGGTACCAAGTGCTCTATATTTTCTAAATACTCTCTCCGTTCGAGACCTGCAAAGTTACACAAAGTAAATTTATCTTATTTGGAAACTTTGTAATAATGTGAAGTAATGATACTTATCTGACTGTTGAATCCTTCTTTGGTCCTTTGCTGCCCTGCACTGTCTGCTGCTTCTCTTTTAATCTATGCGCCAAATTTGTCTTAATTCTTGCCAACCAAAACTCGTGAATAGCCATTTATACTTGAAGCATAAACCTTGCATCTTCATAGGTAAAAACTGTGATCTAACCTCGGTCGGGTACAGTGGTGCTCAAACGACGTAGCTTATTTCCAATTTTAAATTTCCCGCGTCGCGAATTAAGTAACGTCCACTGTACAATACGTATGGATACGGACGGATACGAACGCGAATCGCAACACTAGTAACATCACTAAAAATATCTAGTTCGATTATTTAGTACCAACACTACCGGTAGTGAGCAAAAGTAACTGTTGTTTAAAACTGTAGCGCCGAACGTACCATATTTAAGGGTGTTGTCTAGTCGGGCACTTTGAAAAAATCGATTTTTTTTTACATTTTTCGAATGTATATGTATGTAAGAATATTGTGTTAAATTTTTATAAAAATCGGAGCAGTATAAGTGTATTTTTTTGAAGCTCTGTGAATTACATCGCTGATCACGATTCCACGCGTGTTCAAGAAGCAAATCGCCACAGCTTGAATACTTCCAAAGAGTCTAGAACAGCGAGAAAAAAGGCTAGATTGGAAGAAAATCAAGATTTCGATCAATCAAAAGGTACTTCATGTGGTGCAGGCATTGCAGATTAAATTTTGGTAAGATATTTTTTATATTTTTTGTTTAAAAAAAACTTTAAAAACCGCGTTTTTCTCAACGTTTTTTTCGGACCTGCAACACGATTTCTCCGGAACCAGTGGACCGATCCTTTTGAAATTTAGACCACATATTTTATACATAATTATCCACAAAGTGGACCACTTACAAGTTATAATTTTGATTTTTACTATTTTGTTTCCAAAAAATGCCAAAAAAAGCCGTTTTTTTTCAACTTTTCACATTTTATTAAGTAAAATCCATAAAATTAGCCCAAACTTAATAATTATGGTCCATTCTGTAGCTATTATCATACCAAATCTAAAACACTTTGATTTTTTTGTTTCAGATAAGCCGTTGCTGAGAAATCATGTTGCGACAGCTAAGCTGTCTTGAAATTACCGCTCAATATTCAACTACGTATTTCGTACAATAAACTTGAAAAAAATGAATAAAAAAAAATTTTTTTTTGGAATTTAAGATCTAATTTATTATACCTATGTATTTTTATATCCATATCTTTCATAATCTACTCAAAAAAAAATTCCAAAAAATAGCAATTTTTTTACCCCGCCGACTAGGCAACACCCTTAATGAACGCTTATCTAACCTTTACATTATCACAGTCTGTAAGATGGCAAATGATAAAGAATTGATAGACTTTCAACTACAATTAGTGGAATTAGGCCTTAATTGTATGGAAGTACTTGAATATATAAGAAGAAGAAGAAAATATATATAAATGATATGTATTAATCATCCCAAAAGCTTTTTTACATTAACATACTCATCAATAAGCAATATTCATGAGAATTTGAAAAGTAAATTGTAGACCTGACATTTGAACATAAAATGTGGTACATACGTTCGGCGCTACAGTTTTAAACAACAGTTACTTTTGCTCACTACCGGTAGTGTTGGTACTAAATAATCGAACTAGATATTTTTAGTGATGTTACTAGAGTTGCGATTCGCATCCGTATCCGTCCGTATTCATACGTAGCTATAGGACCGGGGACTGATCGGGGCTTAAGTAAACCTGATATATTAGCCAAACGTTATAGTTTGTCTGGTTTGATTACAATTTTCCGATGATTTCACATCGGACGCATAATACTTTTTAACTGGCTCACATTATATCGAATCAAATAAAGCTTAAAAAATTGAAATAATATGAATGTTAAAGTGATCTATTGATATTACAAATTACTGTGAATTTTTCGGATAACATAGTTCAACAGTTCGAATAACGATTATTTGCTAGTATCTTGAAAAACCTGCTCTTCGACATTGAGATTAGGTTTGATTGTTTTATATATATAGGCAATATTTTTAAATGTTCATGTAGAATTATCTACACAAATGAAACAAATTTTTAATCAAAACAGTTTATTTTCATACTGTTTTAAATTATTTATTTAGTATAGGTATAAAAAGTTAAAAAATTAAATGAACGAGACTGTTTATTATTTTCGTGATTGTAAATGTAAATTCAAGTTTGTTTTCAAAATTTTCTTTGATACTTGTAAAAAACAATTCAATTTTCAAGAAATATCCTATGATTGTTTGTATTTTAGAACACTTGAACTAGCTTTTTCAATAAAGTCAAGGCAATTTCCATCACGAACTATTAATATTAATAATTAAATATTTACAATAAATGTACTAATGTAAACTATTATGTAAATGAGATCTCTATATGAATTAACAATACAATTAAAATCACTATTTGTACTTTTGTAGGACACTGTTCTAAGTAAAAAAATTATTCACATTTACAATGGATTATAAATTACAAATGGCTCAATTTCAAAACAACTACACTTATGCAAAAGAGCAGACAGAGAACATTTTAAATAATGTGGCTAGTCATTATTCGATACCAGACAATCGTCCTAATGAACTAGAGATATCGGAATGGACAGGCTACACAAAATTACATTTTGGTGTAAAAACAACAGCCTCACATCTTATTGAGCATTTAATATCGCATGATGGTAATAATTTAGTAGTACAAGGTAAGAAAAATGGATGTACTCCTCTTCATATAGCTGCAAGAATAGCTTTTAATACAGTTCGATATGATGGTGACTTATATTCTGAAGAATACAAGTCTTACAAAGATAAAAAAATGCAAGAATATCTTATGATAAATACTTTATTGTCCAAACAAGTTGATTTTAACATCCCTTTCAATCCAATGGATAAACATGGAGTGAGCCACTTCCACATTGCTTGCATAGTAGACCATGCAATAGCTGTAGAATTTTTCATTAAAGCTAAAGAACCTCTTGAACAGCGCATCCAATATAAATCTAATCATAATTATGATGACTACGTGAACATAAAGCAGTTACAAGGATATACACCTCTGCATTGTGCAATAGCATATTCATCTGTTCAAGCTGCACATATTCTAATTAGATATGGTGCAAATTTACGTGTCAAAAATGCAAAAAACTTAAGCTGTTTTGATCTACTAATTGAACGATTAATGAGAATGACAAATGTTATTACAATGGGCAAACGTAGACTATCCAAGAAATATGTAGAGCAAAAAGAAAAGATTGAGCACATTATCAAAATAGTGCTGTTCACAAAAACTACTAATGAACTGTTTATATCTGATAGAAAATTTTCAGGACTTCATTTAGCCAGCACATTGAAAGATAAATCAACAATAGAATATTATCTGAGTCAAAATATGGATATAAACATGTCAATAAGGGATAAATTTGAATTTTGGCAAGGTTGGACACCACTCCACTTTGCTTCCATCTTTAATGTAGAAACCATGGTTTTTCTTATGGAAAATGGAGCTGATATCACGATTAAAAATGTGAGGGGAGATACTCCATTGGACTTATGTGCAAAACGATTCAGACCAGTAGAAATAGAAACAGTTTTATCAGTGAGGAATGAATTGAAAGACATTGTACTCTCGGATGATCAAACAAAACTATCAGATTTGTTATTAGCTATGAATGATTATGACAGTTTTACGAGCTTTATATATAAGCTCAAAGACATTAATCTAATAATACCATGGACTTCACCAATTTGGGCTGGCTACAACATGCTGCACTTGTCAATATCTTTAAACGAAAAGAAGTTATTTTGTGAAGATGTAATCCAATTTGAATTACCACAAACCGAGAGTGTTGATGATGACTTTTACAATTGCACAGAAGAGGAAGAGGCATTGTATTGGAAAAGAATCGAACTGTGCTTGAAATGTGGCTGCAGTGTCAATAAGAAAAATGCCAAGGGACAAACTCCAATTCACTTGGCATTTTGCCTGTTCAAAAGAAAAGCAGTAACAGAAATGTTGAAACTGTCAGAAGACAATATATTTGATCAGAATAGCTTATCCAGTTTACACATAGCTTGTACATCAGGAGATTTAGATCCAATTAAAAGATATATAGAAGGAGGAGCCGACGTGAATAGTCGAGTAAAGTGCAGTTTTTATTGGCCAGATATATATCAGTGCGAAATCGAACCTATGTCATTTATAAGAGTAAATTCGACGCCTCTACACATAGCCGTAGCATTTGGCCATAAAAAGATCTCAGAGTATTTGATAATGAACAAGGCTGACGTTTACGCTAGAGACACGCTGGATCTCACCCCGGTTCACTTGATAATGTCTAGATATAGCGTTTGGATACAAAAGAACTTCGCTCAATCATTTTTCAAAATGATTCCAAACTTGCGAAATGCCGTGAGCCAAGCCGGCCTGACTCACCTGCACGTAGCTGTCAAAGCTGATGACCAAAGTGCTATAAACCGGATGAAGCAGGAAGGTGCAAATATCGACTCCGTCGTTGATGCTAAAGTGACGAAACCAAATTTCCTCGCTCGCTTAGCTGGGAAGACGCCATTGCTCATAGCGAAGGACCATTCTATCAAAGCTATAAAGAGTTTGCTGAAGCATGGTGCAAACGTGCACATCAAAGATCTCACAGGAGTTTCCTTCTTGCAATACTCGATATACGATCTGGACAATGCCTGGACCGAGCCGCTGGTTCGAGTGCTAAAGAAAGGATTTTATAACGTTGAAGATAGTGGCATAACGCTGCTGCACTTCGCTTGTGGAACGTGTGATGTCGTATGGGTTTCATGGCTATTGGATAACGGAGCTGACGCAAATGCGCGGATTAGTATAGACGGGGACTTGCAGGGCGCAACGCCCCTCTATATGATTTTTACGTCCTCCACCACTTTTGATATGCCTTCTTCCACCATTATTGATCTCGTTAATATGCTTTTAGATCATAATGCCGACGTCACCATTGACTGTGGCGGATGTACGCCGCTCCACCGATTATATCAAGATATGCTTGAATGCGAGGACTTTTACTTGAATGATAAACACGAAAGTAAGACGTGAATTTCTGTTAATTTTGATTTTTCAGTTAATTGCCATTCACACAATCTGATTTTCATTTTTTTGTCAGTAGAATTCATGCCAGACGTTGTCGATTTATTGTTAGAAAGCCAGCGATCATACAATGTCAATCCCACTAATTCCCAAGGGTTTTCACATTTTCACTTCGCCTGCGCAAGAAACAACTTGAAAGTAATAAACAAGTTTTTGGATAATGGAGTCGATATTAATCTAAAAGTCGACCCTTTTGTAACATATATCGGCGGTTTCACGCCTCTCCATTTCGCGATGGCTGATCGTCGCACGGAAGCAGCTTACCTTCTTTTAGAGAAAGGCGCTGACGTTAGAGCTCAAGATGCATACGGTAATGAGCCGCTTCAAGTTGGCATCAAAAGTAAATTCATAAATTTGCCACTTATCGCGCGTATGCTCAAGTAAGCGAATGTAGAATGAGTATAAAATTCGAAATACTTGATAATTAATGAATTATACATACAGACTGGGAGCTGATATCCATACTACAAATTTGAAAGGAGAATCGGTTTTCGACTGTCTTTTAGACTATGGTGGTCTAAGTATCGAATCACTGGAATTCTTTTTAACTCACAACTGCTATTTAAAAGTCTCAGATGTTGAGCAAGGAATTATCGGATCATCAATGCTCAGTATAGCACCAAAAGAGTTCCAACCGATTTTGGAAAGATTCATGGAAATTGATGCGGTGAAGATGGCAATGCAAAACGGAATTAATATTATTGACAGCATTGTCGCAATTAAACATGACGGTGAAGTGACCGTTGATAATTATTTAAAGTGTATTGGATATTTAATCGATAAGGACTGTGATATTAATCAGCAGGATACAAAAGGTATTCCATTTTAATGGTCATCAACGATTTATTTCATTCATTTTATACAATCAACTAATCATTATCCAAATCCCTTTTATGCGTTATCGATATCCAAGATTATGTAGTTTTAGTAATATCATTTTTATATTTTGGTATTTATTTTTAGGACAAACCTCTTTACATAAAGCTACGAATTTTTCTAATGTAGAGGCAGTAAAAGCTTTACTCCGGCTTGGAGCTGATGTGAACATAGTAGATAACGAAAACGAATCTCCATTTTCGCAAATTCTTTCGAACGTCAATTATCGTGCATGTGAATTTCGCAAAAAGGCAGTTATCAGAACGCTTGAATGTCACATATGGAAATTGAAACTCATTGCACTTGAACTTAATGATTTAAATTCAACCTATATCGAAAGAAGGGAATTTGAAGTACATCACGATGACATAATGTGTCAAAATTGTCAAGATGAGTTGAAAAAAGCCCAAATAACTGTTATTGTTCAGTTTATAACTGTAAAAGATTTTCTATCGGAATTTGAAGCAATATATAGGTATCCAAGGCTATCCTCTGAATTAAGAGATGTGATTGACAATTTTTTCAAATGCCCTTATAAATTGCGCCGAGAGTTTCCTGAGTTTCATGAATTACTAGCTAAGCAGTACAGAAAGGCTTGTATTAGACAGCGACTAGTACAACCAACAAGGGACGCGATCACTGCTATTTGTGGAGTTCGTTTTCCGGATCTTTGTTTAGAACTTATACTGGATTATTTTCCGAATACTGACATGAAAATTACTATTAAGAATGCGAAAGAACTATTCGGTTAGTTTTAATATCCAAAGATTGCAATGTTTGTTTTATCGAGGAGTAGATACCGAGAATTAATGTCGATACTACTATTTGTATGATTTTTGTATAACGAGTCTAATATTTTTTAATTATACATCATCATGGGTATGTTGTTAAAATAATAAAAAACAAGCTTTCATTTTTAATTTAAAAGACTGGTTTTTTAATCGAAATAAGTTTATTCACATAATTGTATACAACGAAAAATGTACAAGTCGAAAAAATTAACTCTATGTAAATTTCATACTCTGATGTGTTCTATTGAATTGTACGAAAATACAGAAGTAAAAATGATGGGGATGATCCAGTTACGCTATACTAGGTAAATCCAATAATTGCTATGTTAACGGAACGAATCTTAAGGTAAAATTAAAATTATATTATAAATCATTGTCATTATTATTTGTAAGTATTGATTTTTAAGTGTTATTTTCTCTCAACTATCATGCTCTGCAGCTCAAAAGATATAGTATAAAAATAAATAGAAGAATTTTCCTGTGAATTATGTTTTATCCTGTCAAATATATCATAATTTATTACAAATTTATGTGCCAAAAAAAAAACGATTGCTAAAATTTTATAATGTTATAAAGTGCCTGAAAATAATTACTGTAAAATAATAATAATAAGAATGAATTCCAAAATATAAAAACTATCGACTCAAATGTGTACTATTAAAAAATATTAACATAAATCCATTTATTTTATCTTATCAATTTTAAGAGCTGTAAACAATCACCCTTACCATATCACTTTTACGCAGGTTTTACAGCCTAATCGGCATTAAATATGTATTGTTTTTTGCCAAAGGGCCTTACAAATGATACATGATGATCCTAATTTTTTTAGGTATGTACTTTGATTGGACTTTATTTTTTTTAAAGAACGTTGACAGACACAGTTACTTATCACTGCTAAGAGATCATTTACCAGGCTTATTAAAAGATGTCGACTTAGCAACAAGAACAAAAATGTGGATTCAAGAAACTGGTGTTGTTCCGCATTATGCACTCATTGCACATACCTTTTTAAATGCCAATTACAATAACAGATGTATTGGACGAAGGGGACCAATTGAATGGCCTCCTTGCTCACCAGATCTAACGTCGCCTGATTTTTTATGGGGATACTTGAAAAATGTTTTTGCTGAACGACCAAATAGCTGTAACAAATTTTTGACTGCAGCGAATTATTATGATAATTACTAAATTAACTTATTAATGATGTTTTGCATTGAAATTATACGATTTTAAGTTTAATATAAAATTTTTATCGAAGTTTTTTATACGGTATTTACTGTTGATTAATAACTATTTTGACAAAAGGAAATTGCATTTTCTTCTGTCTACTGAAAAGGTTTGATTCGCTTTCTTCTTCCGCCTCTTTCTTCATTGTGAAGTAACCATGTATAAAATGGTTTTTAAGATATAATCACGAAGCGGGATATAGAATTTTATGATGCATAAAAATAATAAGAGAAATGTATATGTTTCTGCTGCAATTAAAGTTTATTTGCAATAAGACATAGCTGTAAGAAATTATGAAGCATAGTGAGATATCGACACTATAACTATCTTTTATCCTTAGGTTATTATTCTATTTACAGCTCTGGGATTTTGTATTTTTCTACTATGCACTTGAACAAAGAACCGGCAACAGCACAATCGTCTTTTTCTTCATTTGCTGAAACGCAACGTTAATGTAATTATCAAATTTGTGACCACTTTACTCTGCAATAAATAGTTTACCTTCATTCACGCATCCGGTAAAATTTTCTTCGAGAGAATCATCGATTTGGTCCGACATGTACATCTTGGCCAACTCAACTTCTTTATCTACCGAAGCTTTTCCTTCTGTTAACTTGATATAAAAAGAAAGAGAATTAAAATTAATTTTATTCCGCAGAAAACAAGAAAAAAGAAAATGTTTGTTTTCGAATAACCATAACTCACACGATCGCCTTTCTTCATCACGCATGCAGCGAAACATTTTATCTTAGGATCTTCGAAATCGGGCGATTTCAGCATCTCTAGAAAAAATAAAATTCACATATTGTTTAATATTTGCGAATATACTAACTTAATTAAAATATTACTGCGAGAAATCGTCGTGTCTTACCTTTTGTTAATTCGAATTCCGTGAGACATTCATCTATCTGACTCCTTATTTCTGGTGCAATTTCGCATTGTACAAGTACCTTCAAGTCGAAATATTATGCTTTAGAACCGTGTCTTAAATGAGACAACTAGTTTAAAATTATATACTCACAAAAGCAGATAAAATACCGACAATGCGAAGATAAGATGTCATTTTGCTGATATCTTTTCTGATAGTACAGATTCTACGAACAATGCGAAACTGAGCAGAATCAGAAAACCAGTGAGAATTTAAAGGAAATCGTCCGTGTCTTATAAAACAGAAGTCATTACGACAGCACCTTTAGCAATTATCTCGGTACAATCCAATTTTTACGTTATGAACAAGAATTATTGCTCAGAAAACACAAATGCTATTTATGAATTTATGATCTATTTTGTTTTTAAGATTGGGAGTATAACGCTTAGGTCATCAATATCACACTGCACATTAATGATTAACTTGTCTGGAATAGCTGAATTAACGTAAGTCGAACTTCATAATTGAAAATAATTATAACATATAAAGTATCTAATCATCGCGAGCAAAGTTATTGTCAATAAAATAACTTATACATAACATTATATTAATGAATGAGCAGACTGTTACAACCAACGAATGTTCCTAACCTTGTCATAAAAGCTATTGTTATACTTATTATAAAATTCTTAGTCTGACTAAGAATTCTATCTTTTTACACCCAAACGAATAATGGAAATAGGTTTGCATAAATATTTTTTCGTATACGTATTTACTGTTGCTCGTCAATTATATTTTTACTATTGTTTCGACGTAACATTTTCGAAATGAGCGATAAAATGTTTATTTAAGCATAATTTTGCAAAGTAATACCGGTGAACAGTATCAGTTAGCAAGATATTTAAGATGCGCGTAATCAGCGACGATTTAGCATTCTTTTGGAAAGATTATAGAAAATCTATTGCACTCAATGTTTCGGGAGTGTTTTATTTATTTTTCATTTCATACTAGTTATACTACTTATTCTACTTGATGTAGATATGAGTAAAAGTGTTTTCGAAATTCTCGTTAGGAAGGAAGAAAGAAAAGAGAGAACTGAACATGATTAAAAAAATTTTTTTAATATGTAAAACAATTATTATATAATTATTATATAATATATTATGATATAATTATTACTATTATATTATTATTATATGTATTATTAATTTAAAAATAAATTAAAAAAAATTTTTTTCTTAATCGTGTTAGACAAAATTTTACGATTATTCCAGAAAGAACCGGTGAATACGTGACAAGAGGGCAAGCGCCTGGCGTCGAGAACCTTCTGTTCTATATATATATGTCGCTTGCAACACATGATATTCTGGTACTTCTATCGGCATAAGAATTCTTTTTATTTCTGCCTTATTTCTATGGGAATAACAATAATTAGAATTGCTGTTCACGTTTATACTACACCACTAGTATAAAAAATCTTTAATGGGATAAGAAAATCATTACTAAAATAGCATCAACAGTGTTTGTCACTATATTGCTAAGCAAGAAGCTCTTTTGATTTTGAAATTCGTATTTGTTTTTACAATTAAGTCGTAGGTACCATCATGATATAAAAGATTTTTTAACGAACTGTTACACTTACAGAGGTTCAACTACTACTAGACGGAATACATTTACAGATTCATCAGACTTCAAAAAATATCATGGAAACCACTAATCCCTACATTCTTACTCTTAATTAAAATACTGGAAATACACAAAATACGAAATCATTTTTAATGCCGAATGTTCCAACTCATATTCGACATAAATATAATATTAAATTAAATAAAATTTTATAAACTTGGTATGAACTTAGAATTTCTATTTGCAATGTCCATTGATAAAATCAATTATTACCAGTATCCATTTTCATAATGTACTTATTTCATACTGATCATATACAATTTATATGTAAACTGTGCTAATTCAATCCACATTGAGACATCTTATTTAATATATTAACGATTGCAATGATATTTTATTTTGTCATTTCTATGCCAAAATACTCATCATAGTGCTGTGAATAACGTTCTAAAGATTTACTTAATTTTTTTATATAAAAGGTTATATAAAATATATAAAGGTTATACCAATTATAGGTTGTCAAGTAATAATGTATATATACTTTTTACAATATATATGAAGGACGTAAAAACTTCGTTCTCTTAAAAATTGATTCAGATAAAACTATTATTCTCGCTTACGTCATGCTTCCATTCTCTCATTTCACTGAAATAGCATTAGAATTGATAAAAAAATGTTATAATAGGCAATTAAAACGTAATTAATGCAGTAATAAGAAACATTTTGATAGGAGCAGATCGAAACAGTGTAGCCGTGTTTGCTAAATTGTTGAACAGTATACCGCGTTGTCACCAAAGTTATCTAACTTTATTAAATTATTACAGCTAAATGAAAAAGGTTACAAAGTTTGATTTTCTCTAAAATATTATATGTCTTTTTCATTGCTCACAGATACGTTACAAGTTTCACCACGACACTATAACAGTATTAAAGGTACTAGTGACATCATATGAGCTTCTGGTGCTCTTATATTTTTTCTTTTCTTATCATGTTAATTAACATATTTAACATGAATTCTTTTTTTCAAAGGTGGATTTTTTAATTTTTTTTATAAAACACATATCACAGCAGAAAAATGCGTATGGATAAAACAGTTCTACGTATTCCAAATTATCTATGATTTATCGTATTGAGAGTTGCTATAAATAGTATTGTAGATTTTTTTCAACTACACAGGTTAAATTACTAAGAAATGTTTATTCTATTCTTTGAATTAAAGATTAAAACATTCTAATATTTACTTCAATCTTACACATTCAAAAATTTGATTATCGATTAGTAATAAAAAATAATTAGAACAATTCCAAAGCATGACCTCTTGTTTTTACGAAATAAGTGTTAAAACAATAACACTGCAGTCATTTTTTTCACTTCCATTATGTTCAAAGTGACCGGTATTGGCTATGATAAATTATGTACTAATCTCGATTTTCTCAAAGTTTCACGATTTTCTAAAAAAGCTTTCTATGTGAATCTTCAATTAAAACACAAAATTAATTTTCTAAATATTGTTCTATAAGATGTAGAAGGCTGCTTAGAAAATCGCAAAACTTCATTATTTTCAATTCCAGCACAATTACACGAATGTTTTGCGTAGAATCTGAAATAAAATTAACCTAAGCAACCGTCGCAACGGTTAAACTGCCCTGCCACATTTTTGTTATTAGTTTTGCAAGGTAGTACTGGTATGTATCCGTTATTTTGTGAAGCATCAAAATTTTTCATTGGAAGACGAATCCAAGTAATTTCCTTGCTATTACTTTTGATTAAATTAATTAGCTTCTCATTTTCATTATTTTATATTAAGTGACGTTACCATGTAATATCTTTATATACTCTTATCGAAATGAAATAGAAATTGGTATTTTTGTTTCGAGGGTCGGCGAGCAAAGCGAACAGGAGTACCACTTAGTATGTGTTGTTTTTTGCGTTGCTTTCGATTAGACGAAAGACCATGCAATCATTAAGAATATCCTGTCTGGTTAAATTTGGGATAAAATTAGATAAGATTGACAGGCGGATATACGACCTAATTACTCTTGATTCAAGCTATCTATTATAATAATTTCGTTTGGTTTTTTTTCTTTTTTATCGCTGAGTCACTCAACAACTTGTCAATACTGCGTACATTTTGTTCACTTTCAGAACATATTTTATGTGCTACATATGAATCGTTAGTCATTATGGTTGTATTGTTTTTTCATTATTTTGTACTTTTGTTTCGTCCTTTGTAATTTTTTCAATTGCAACGACAAACGCTTAAAGTTAAATAAATTGAAATTTGTCAGAAAATATTCTATGTGACGTTCTATGATAATGTGAAAATGTACGTGCATGCTAGCTGTAAATTATAGTAATGAGATCAAACAGGCATAAGATGGTTCTATCACATGTATTTTTTGTGAATAAATTTGATAATGAATTGTTCGTAAAGTGCGCCAGAGTTTTCGACTCTCCTACAATATTGAAGTTGCAATCACATCAATATTCTTGTGTTTACATGAAAACATATAACAGTTTGAACTCTGTAAAAATACTGCTAACATTTTTATTCGTATTTAATACATTATTTTCGCGATTATAAATTCATCAATCATTTATCTTTATCGACATATTTACAATGTTAGTTATCCAGAAACTCTTACTTGAATGTCAAAGGTAAGCTCTATAAAACTTGTTGCAGCCGTAACGACGTCGAAATCAAGCCCTACACCGATGGAGCAACAATCAGCAGCCGGACTCGAAGAGCCAACGGAGTTCCATAATTTAAATTACACGGCAATTCGATACGCTAGTCAGGGTTGTCACGAAGTGGCGATGACATTGTGCAAACAAGCTCTTAAGAAACTAAAGATAAATAAGGGTGAAGATAATCCCGATGTCATGATGATGCTCAAAACCCTTTCTATAGTCTATCATTACCAGAGCAGATACGAGAATGCTATGGAGCTGCTGCACGATACTTTGGCACTTGGAGAAAAGACACTTGGCGAGACGCATCCCGCGGTTATCGACATCTTGAACAATCTCTCTGTGATCTACGGTAGACGAGGTGAGCTTCGTGATACGAACTTTCAAGTTGGATTATCGAATTTCATACTCCAACCGATTGCTCAAGGGACAGTCCTTTGCTATTGAATTCAGGTAAAAATGAGGAAGCTGAGTCATTGTGCAGACGAGCGTTGAAAGCTCGCGAGAAGATACGCGGCAAAAATCATCCTACCGTGGCAAAGCAGCTCAATAACTTGGCCTTGCTCTGTCAGAGCCAGAATAAATACGAAGAGGCTATTGAGAACTTTCAGCGTGCTTTTGAGATTTATGAAACAGCTTTTGGTCCAGACGATTCGAACGTCGCCAAGACCAAAAGCTTCCTTGAGTTGTGCCATTCGAAACTGAAAGTCAACGAAGACATCGATCCTGACGCCAAACAGCTGTTTCATCAAGTGTCGATAAAGCATGATTTATTGAAAACAAATTCCGAGACGATGGTTAGAGAACGCAAGCAGGAACTCGATGCAATAGATAGTTGTGATGAAAAAGGTGATTTGAAGGTATGTTCTTCTAAATCTTATGCAAATTGAAGTATAAATCATTTGATTATTTAAGGGCGATTTGTACATATGTCGTAAGTAATAAGCATTATCTGGCTTTCTGCTTATTCCCTTCAGCATTAAGCAAATTGTCTAACTAGAGCTTGACAAATAGTAAAATCCCTGGATTGCAAACATTTCTCCATATCGTACGTTTAAAATATCAAGCGCAAGCAAGCCTACTTCTAACTTACTAAATAAATAAGCGACATCGAAACATCTTTCTTCACAAATAACTTTCTCAAAACTGCATCGATAGGTCTGAAACTTTTTTCGACTTGTAGACTTTCAATTTAACTTGTGGAAATTTATATTTCAAAAGAGCAGATGTGAAAAAGATTAATGTATTTTGATAGAGCTCGTAATAACTATCTTATTGTACGTATAAATAAATAAAAATAATGCTTTGAATTCTCACATACGCATATTCATCTATTTGCCAGCGTTTAAGCAAAATATCGGGTAATGCTCTTTTCCTACAATATACACAAAAGTTATGACTTGTGACTTAGATTAATGATGATCATCCAGTTCATTTACAATCTGAATAAATGATCTATTGTGAGTACAAAATGAATATTCAAGTAATAACAATATAACGTGAAAATTCATCAACGTTTGCAGCGATGTCAATACACAAATACATCAACCAGTGTTATATTAATTTTATTGAACGTATTAGCCAACAGACCGTAAGTTCGGATCGTTATTAACCCTTTAGCCTATAGCCACGAGTCTGACTCGTGGTAAAGAATTTGTGCCATAAGCGAAAACAACGAGTCTGACTCGTGGTAAAGACTTTGTGCCATAAGTGAAAACCACGAGTCTGACTCGTGGTAAAGAATTTGTGTCATAAACAAAAGCCACGAGTCAGACAGTTGAATGGCACGGCGCGCGAACGAATTTCTTGCGTATTATAGCTCGCGCAATTGGTAGATATCGTGTAGGCTAAGGGGTTAATTAAATAAATATTCATCGTTTCAGATATCGAGGAATTGTCCTGATAACGAAGAGATGAATAGTGAAGAAAAAGTAAATTCTTCAACATCTAACGAAAAAGACTCCGTGCTGACTGTGCAACCAGTGCCAATGCATAAGGAACAATCCGCTAACAACGGAACTGGTCTTCCTGGTTTAAAAAAAAAGATCTTTCGCATTCTAGGAATACGTAGAAATTATGATGTTCCGTAGAACCAGTTGAGATTTTTTCAATACACTACAATTTTCTAATTTTCTTCCATCAAAAGCAAATGTTTCAATTTACGAAAACTGTAATGTAGAAGTTGAAAATTCAGAAACCTTCTAGTTTTTATTTTTAATCAATTGTTCCCCGATAAGCATAATATATAAACTTCAATAGACATTATATAAAATACTGTATGCTTCTGATTCTGTTAAGGATAAGATAAAATTTGTTAGTCATTTTAACAATGAATTGTCCTATCAATAAAACAAATTTGATAAACAAGTTGAAGGTTAATCTCGACTGCCCATGTCTGCTATTACTCAATATTAATAATTTTTAAATATATATGATTCACGTGAGTAATATATTTTTTTAGATAAATACATTAGCATTACCGGAAGATGATTTGGAAAAAATGTGTATGCATGTGTCACATATAATGAAACAAAATAAAATAGTCATGAATGCAATGTCAAGAGCTAAAATAATTTCAATGCTCGTAGAATTGCCAATCCAAAAAAGAGTGTTACGTTTAATCAATATTATTAAAATTTTTCGAAATATAAGTTTTAAGAAACTGTGAATAAAAAGTGAAAAATAGTGCCAATATTAAAAAAGTATATATTTCTGTGAAATCGTTAGCTAACTTATAAATAAAAGCTGTTGAAATTATTAGAAAAGAGTTGCAATTTTTTGACATTTATTTATGACATGTGGATTTTATCAAAAATACATTAAGAGTTGCGAATAGCGTACTTGAAACCAGCTCATGCACTTTTATTTGAAACAACCAATATTAAGTTAAGATAATGGTGAACAAAGCCTCTATTAAAAAAAATCAGATATATATATAGCATATAAAATGATATTTTTGTATTTAAAAAGAAATGACCATGAAAAATTTCACAACTTTGGTGGAATGATTATCTTTCAATTCAATTATTTACACCAACTCGTGAAGCAAAATTATAAAAATTTAACAGAAGCAGTTTGAAACCATAGTGTAAATTATCAGTTGTATTAAAGTAAGTTATATTTTTCGATAATCTTTTTTTAATTTAATATATGCTTATTTAATGATACTATAAATTATTTTTAGTTTTTTATGACATGGAGCAAAAAATTTCAGAGGTGTGCGAGGTAATATGTACCGCCTTCGTTGACTACAAATCACTACCAGACACTGATGAATTCAAAAAAATTGTAAGTGATTTCAAAAATTTATACGATGTCCCTCATTGTATTGATGTAGTTAATAGCAATCATATGCCTATTGAAGCTGCACTAAAATCTGAATCTTACTTTAGAAATTATAAAAAAAATTATAGTATCAACATGATGACAGTGTGTAATGCTCAGATAAAAATTATATGGATATCTGTGGGTGATTTTGGTATATACTGTGGATACTGTATGCACGATAGAATTTCATTCTGTAATTGCTAAAATTGTATAGCTAATGTAATATAAAACAATGTCCAATTCAACTCTACTGCAAACGAAACTAATAATTAAATCAAACTAAGTTTAAAAATTGACTGTTAGTAAATGATTAATACAATGAAACCTTTTGTAATCAAAATAGACTGACTTAGTGACTTGATTCACTCGATACAGGTTTTGCATAGCGAGTAGAGAGGAATGTGAAACCAGGTGGAACTGGAAACAGAACTGCTTAAAAGAGCCGACAAAGACCGATTGCGGACTCATATGTATATGTAACTGATCGTTTCGTCAAAAATTCTTCGCATTAGTTAGAAACCGTGTTTCTCCACACAAGAACTCTAAACAATAGCCGAAGGTACAATTTGAAGGTTAGAATGTAGAGAATATTATTTTGTGATATTTAAACAAAAATTCACCGAATGGTTGTTTTATATTTTAATTGATTGAAATTACAAATCTATTATCTTCAAAAATTCAAACATCCAACGAAATTCTTTATTCTCTTTAATAAAGAAAGAAACATTTATCATCTTTGTAATTATGTTATGTCAATTTGATCTGTTTTATCGCTATGGTTACTTAATTAATAATATTGAGAATCGAAAAGTGCATAGAAGTTTTTACTACTAAACGCTGTCAGGATGATCAATAATCATTGCGGATCTGTGCTCTATCGTTACGTGAGTCGTCTTTCTTCCGGCTAAGAAAGCATTAAAAATCGAGTTTAATTGTTTGAATAATCTGAGTAGTAATGTATGTTTTATTTTTCTATAAAAGCCATAAATAAATGAATGGCCTTGCCAAATTTTAAAATATTTCTGTTTATTCTTGTCTTTTAACGGTACCTTATGTGCCTTCTGAATACCAGATAACTTGAAACTTATTATAAATGTCAATCAGCTTGGAAATTAGAATCTAATTAGAAATTTTAATTAGAAATAATAATCTAATTAGACATTTTATGTATGCAATTTATTTTTTAAATTCATAGGATATTACTTGTAACAAAATATTGAAATATTTTTCAAGTTTTAGAAGTGCAGAAACATTGATGTAAACAGAACAATTGCATGTAAACAATATTGATTATCGTAAAGTTAGTTGATAACAAGCCTACTATGCATTTGTTGAATTTATAACTGTAAGTTAACTTTTTGTGATAACAAATGTAGTTTTAGGCTTAAAGTTTAAAAATATAAAATTGAAATAACTTTTAGTTCATACATTTAAAAATTTTTACTATTAAAAATGTATTATTAATATTAAATGAATTTTTTCATAGTATATGATACAAAAATATATCTGTTACTTAATAAAGACTATGTCTATCTTTAATATTTATAACTTTTAAAAAGACTATTTCATTTTTCAATGAATTAATGTGAGATATATTTAATTTTTTTCGTAATGATCAACAATCATTCTTTTGTTTAAAATTTTGCAAAATCAAAGATTAAAGAAACATATGCAGTACGACAATCAAAATTGTTATGAAATCATTTATCAAAATATAATAATTTCCATGTTAACCACCACTCCTTCCAAATAAATTAACAAGAGTATTGAGAGATTTGCAGTTAAATGAACACATTTTGTTTATTTAGAACTTTAAACGAATTTGTGATGACACGAACCAGGCAAACAGCAATAAAATCTACTGTAAAAAATGGAAATTTAAATCACCAGCTGGCATTGAAAATTGCTGCAGCTGCGGCCCATAAAAGGCTCACCCCAGTGGCACACGTAAAAGTTCCCAAACGTCATAAGCCAGGAGTTATTGCTCTGAGGGAGATTAGACAGTATCAAAAGAGCACAGAGCTTCTTATCCGCAAGCTGCCTTTTCAACGACTGTGTAGAGAAATTATGCAAGAATATGAATCAGAATATCGTATTCAAACTTTAGCTTTGGAAGCTCTTCAAGAAGCTTGTGAGGCATATATTATTGGTCTCTTTGAAGACACCAATTTATGTGCAATCCATGGCCGTAGAGTTACAATAATGCCGCATGACATCAAACTTGCCAAACGTATTCGTGGAGAATAAACATGAATAACCAAAATTGCTTGATGTACTTTTTGGTATGATTGTTTTATAATTCTTTTATTATTTCGTCTTATTTATTTTGTATTAGTTTAATGCTAAACATGAATTTTTTTCTTTTTAGGTTGTAACAATTGATGTGGCCAATGCATTTGCAAATGTAAAGCTACTTTACCAGTATGAAAAAGTCCCTAAAAGAATGTATCACTAATTTTATTTTATTTACTTTTTAAGTAATAAGTTATTTAGTTTAGCCTAGTATCAGTGTTCAAAAAAATTACATTTTCTTTTGTTTATAATAATATGTAAGAATTATATGTATAACATGAAATTTATAGATCATAAAAAAGTCATTTTGTTATAAAAATAATGATTTGGATTTATTTGTTAATTTATTGATTAATAAGCTGGAATAATATATTTAATAAAATATAGTCCTAACAAAAATTAAAAACTAAAAGCAATAATGTGAATGTGACAATTATTATTATCTTAATTCTTATTAATCTTCTATCCGTTGCTTCATAAGATTATATTTTTTCAAAATAAATTTAAACAGAGCCAGCTACTGCATAATCATCTTCATAATTAGCTTAAACAAAAAATTGTTTTTAATATGGTTTTCAAATGTAAAAATTCACATTTTTTTTAATTAAAAATAACCTTTGTTAAAACTCAGTAAATTTTACTTCAAGTGAATAATCTATTTTTTTGTCATGAACATTCGAACTATATTCATTTCCTTACTAATGAATGCTTTGCCTTGTCAACTATGTTATACTTTTAAATATTATATATATTATTTAGTTTGTAGTCAATTATTAATATTAAATGTATTTTATATACAAAGTAGGGCATTTATACTTTAGTAGTATATGTAAGAATTGTTTTTTAAAGACTTGTATTTTGAATGAGCATAGAACAAACAATAGCATCAACAAACTGCTAAGATAGGAATGTCGGTCGGAATGGAGCAAATTAACTTTTTATAGTAAACATTACTTAACTAGTGCCGGAAAGTAGATTTTTTTCTTGTGTGAGTTTACACCCGAGCGAAGCGAGACTGTAGATTCTTGTCTCGTGTGGCGTTTACGCCCTCGCGTCGTAATGTACTAAAATTCTTTTTTTAATGGCTGTAAGTGCTTACAAAGACACCGACAAAAATTATAGTAGTGGAAAATATACAAATTATAGTACACCGGAAAATGAAAATTATAATTTTCCTAGTTTCAGTTGATACATATAGATTTTTCGATCTATAGATCTTTTCTTTCTTAGTACTTGGTAATGGACCACTGGTAATAGATATCAGCTGTTCGGACGAAAATCAAAGTCTTTTAAAATTTGGTCTTGCAATTTTGGCATGCAATGAATAATTGTGACCACAGAGAAGTTTATCATTTGTAACTTTCAGTGAAATTAATTATCGAGAAAGCATTTTTCTTTCCTCTGTATGATAATAGTATTTAGATACAAACTGGTAAGATATTATCACTAGGCAAATGATAGCTCGATAATAGCTACATTTTCATATATCATAACCTTAAATTATAAAATATTTATTTCTTGAAAAACACTCTACCACTAAATACAGCTAATAAATTAAAAAATCAAAATAACTTTTATTGGACTTCTTTGCCAAAAAAATTTCAGATCCTACATTTAAATTTACCACATAATGGTTTCGAATTTATTTTATATATGAAAATCATTTATTTATACTTATGTATTTATTTTTAACTAATATATTAATTTAAAATAATAAATTATTTTAATTACTAATCATCTCTTGAGTTACATACCTTATTTACCTTACTTCAGCATTTGCTTATAGGTGAAATAAAACTCTTGGTTTGGTATCATCAATACATTCATAATGGACTTAATAAGATTGGCTCAGTTTTATAAGACACCTAGTGAGGAGAGAAAATTAGCACTTCTTAGGAAAGTAGATGTTTCTTATTGTGTTCCAGATGACTTTTCTAAATCTATACAAAACAAATACCATGCAGGCAGCAATTGTTTACATTTTGCAGTTAAAACTACTAATTCAAATTTAATAAATATGCTATTGGATCGTGGAGTTGACTTTTTAAAGCAAAGAACTTGTGATGGAAAAACCCCACTTCACATAGCTTTTTATAATAATAACTATGGTGCAAGACTTAGTGGCAAATTAAGAAAAAATAACATAATAAGCATCTTGTTGTCAATTCAAGTAAAAAGAAACCAACCCATCAATCCAAAATGTAAAACAGGAGTAACTCATCTACACATAGCATGTGCTGTAAACCATACAGAAGCAGTGAAATTGTTTGTAAAAGCTAAAGATTATCTTCATGAAACAACTAACACAGATAAATATCTTGTAACACCTGGATACACAGCTTTACATTTTGCAGTCAAACATTCTTCTATTGAATCAACTGAAATATTATTAAAGAATGGTGCAGACATACATTTCAAAGATGCTAAAGGTTTCAGTGCATTAGACTTATTGATTGATCGTTTAATGGATACGAAAGATTTTATGTGCATGGGTAAAAGAGCACTTTGTTCATCGTACGAAAGAGAGATAGGAAAGCTTGAATCTATTGCCGAATTGTTTTTGGAAATTAAACCAGATCATGCTAATTTTATTAGTGATTCAGGACTATCAACTTTTCATTTGGCTTGTACATTAACAGATTCTTGTATTGGTGCAGAATTTTTAAGACAAAATCTTGATATAAATTTAACTGTTAAGAATAATTCTCAATTGTGGCCAGGATGGACATCTCTTCATTTTGCTGCCTGTTCCAGTGTTGAAATGTTTAAGCTACTGCTGGAGTCTGGAGCTGATATCAGTATTAAAAATGCTAAAGGAGAAACTCCATTAGATTTATTTACAATGAGATATGATCCAAAGACTATACACTCTATTTTGTCTGAAATGAAAAATATCAAAAATTTATTAATGTCTGATGGAGTTACTAAAATACTAGATGTTTTGTTAGCTATGAATGATTGTAACAAATTTAGTGATTTCTTGCAAGATTTAAAGGATGTGAATATAAGTGTACCAGTGGAATCTCCAATATGGTCAGGTTTCAATGTACTGCACTTGGCAATAGCATTAAATGAGAAAACGAAATCTCAGGGAGAATTTTTCGATAAGTTATATTTTGATGATGATGTCACTGTGTTTCCAACCGGTTACAATTGCACAGAGGAAGATGAGAAGAAATATTGGAAAAGAATTATTGTATGTTTAGCAAAATCATGTAGCCTCAAGACTAAAAATGCAGATGGTGTCTCTCCAATTCATTTTGCTTTTAATCGAAATAAAGGAAAAGTTGTTGACTTGTTATTGAACAACTGTCAAGATAATATAGTTGACTCAAACAATCTTTCAGTTCTACACATAGCTTCTGCTGTTGGAAGAAAAGATGTGGTTGATCGTTTACAGAAAAAAGGAACAGACTTGAATATTCGTACAAAGAAGAGCTTCCAATGGTTTGGAAAACCTTACCAGGCGGACGAAGATGCGAAACCTTACTTAATGTACCTACGAGCAAATTCTACGCCACTGCATGTAGCTGTAGTTTTTGCACACAAGAATGTAATAACATACTTGCTAAAAAAAGGCGCGGACGCTTACGCTAAAGACGAACTCGGACTGACACCTATCCATCTAACGTTGATGTCATTTAGAAAGCGTGATGTTCGTTGTAGAATCAAAGATATCGTTCTTCGATATATTTCAAACATAAAGGAATCTGTAAGCAATCACGGTTTGACTCATCTTCACGTTGCCGCGTATGCCAACGACGATCGTTCCATCAATGAACTTGTTCAGCATGGTGCTAACGTCGATGCAATTTTTGATGCTGAAATTCCGGAAAAGCAGAATGATGAGATTATGACTCGTGATTTGTCGTTTCTTGTTGAACATATTGGAATGACGCCACTGTGCCTCGCGATTCAAGGAGGACTTGGTAATAATGCCGTTGAAGCGTTAATACGAAATGGTGCAAATATCTATGCTCAGAATTCGAAGGGCGATACAGCATTAAACAGCATGATGGATTGTTTCCATTGTTCTTTTGTCCAACATTTCCTTAAAATATTAAAACAAGATCAACGTGTTCGCGAACCGATTGATCCAAGCGGGATGACTCTTCTGCATGTTGCTTGCGCTGTTTTAGACATCGATTGGGCGAAAAAACTTCTACAGAAAGGAGCCAATCCGAATGCTCAGATAAAATCAAATAATCTTGAGTGGAGCGATGATACACCTTTGTGCACACTTATCTTCGAAGCAACTGTGACTGATCGAGTGTTCGTAAATTTGGAGAATTTTGTAAAACTGTTGCTTAAGTATGGAGCAGATGTCACGATTATGTGCAGGGATAGTTCGCCATTGCACGTTGCTTGTCACGCTGCTAATCCTGATCCATCTTGGGATGACGTTGATCAAGAAATGTATCAAGAGCGCGGTAAGATAAATTAAAAAAAAATTAGAATAAAAGGAACTTCCGTATTTAATGGAAAGTTACAATTGATGAATTGTTACTTTTAGTTAAAGCCATGCTTGTTATCAGCGACTTACTTTTGATAAGTCAAAAATCCTACAAATTCAACCCAATAGATAACCATGGATTTTCACACTTTCACTACGCTTGTTTGAGAAATAAAGCGGATATCGTTAAGAAATTTTTGGATAACGGTGTCGACGTTAACATGCGAACTGATCCTTTCTCTCCAGAAAGCAGTGGATGGATCCCTCTCCATTTTGCTTTCAGCTATAAATCCGAGGCCGTTATTCGTGTGCTTCTTGAATATGGAGCTGACTTGGATGCTGAAGATTCATATGGGACCACACCGTTGCACATCGCTTTACAAAACGGCACTGTAAATATTAAGACGATTGAAACAACGTTGAGGTATTGTTTTTAAAGCAACATTTTATCGAAGAAAAATTTCCTTCATCAGATTTTGAAAAGAACTTCGGTACCGATAGAGATACCTGTTTTATTCACTACGAGTTTTTCCAAGTTTTCTCCAACACGAACCATTTTATGAATTTACTCGAGTTGTTTATTCGTTCATTTCTTCTATTAAAAGTATTTATCAAAGATTTTATCTATTGCTAAATAAACTTGGGAAAAAATAGACAGATATTTCTATTGCTCTTGCATCAGTTTTTCCAACTTTGCTTAATAAAGCGATACTTATGAAACGTAGGTAAATGCTTTTATTTGGAAAGAATGAGGAGCGGATAACTCCGGTAAGTACGGGAAATGGGTTCGTTTTGAAGAAATCTAAGGAAACATCGTGGTAGATAAAATAAGAATCTTTATTGGTATCAATATCCTTTTTTTTTGATTTATTGAACTTAAGATTTATTTCTTACTTTTTCTGTCATTTCGGTTTGCAGTAAAGAAGCAGATATAAAATCCAAAACTATATTTAAAAATCAACGTTCCATAGATTACCTTTTAGAATTAGGCAGTATTACTTACAAACAGCTAGAATACATTTTGTTGCATAAATCTTCACTAAATATTACCAACATTGAATCGACTCATATAACTATTGGATTGATAATGCAAAATACTGACCCACGAAATAGCGAGGAGATGTTTACAAAGCTCGTGATAATTTGCGACTTGAAAAAAGCAGTAAATAATGGATTCAATGCTATTGAAAACATAGTATCCGTTTACCATGATGGCCAACTGACACGTAGTTATTATGTAGAAAGCATTCAAATGTTCATAGAAATGGGCTGTGAGCTTGACCAAAAAAATGAAAATGGTAATTTTAATATAAACTTTTTTGAGCAGAAATATTCTTGCTTAAAAATTTTCTTTTTGATTAATCATATTTTACCAACGTGGATTTTACTCCTCATTTTGTTTTCATTTTAATTAGGAAAAACAGCTCTTCATGAAGCTATAAACCATTATAATTTAGAGGCTATTGAAGCCATGCTACTACTTGGTGCCAACATGAATATTGTTGATAATAATAATGAAACGCCCTTCGTGATAGACTTTCTCTACATATGCAATATGGATGATGAACGTGAAGTTCGTTCATTGAAACTCGTATCTGCATACATATGGAAAATGAAGTTTGTGGGACTGGAGGTACTTCAATCCAACGAAGAGGCCATGGACGCCGCACATAAAATATTTCCAATGGACTTGGATTTACAAAAACGTTGTGAAAATGAACTAAATAGCCTGCAACAAAAGAGTATTACTAAATCTTTAACTATGAAAAGCTTTTTATGCGAGTCAACAACTTTAAGAACGTATCCGACAATGCCTTTTGCTCAGCGTAAAATCATCAATAACTTTTTTGATCGCAAATCACAAGATCTGTTGCAGTTCCCGGAGCTAGCGGGGTTACTAACACTGCAATATAGAATGACTTTACAAAGAGATAAATTATATGGTCCAGCAAAAATAGCTCTTTCTACGATTGCTTGTTTACAATTGACTGATTATTGCTTGGAAAATATTTTATTTCATTTGGAAAACAAAGAATTAAAAAAGTTGATTGAAGCTGTGAGAAAATTTAGGTTTATTTAAAAGTTTATATGCTTTTAATTTTGAATCACTTATTTTTTGAGATTATATGTTAAATGCACAAAAGATAATTAAATTATTGATATATTATGATAATATGAAATGATCGCATAATTTTATTCTACATTAGTATTATATAGTAAGATGATATTTTATAGAAAGTACAAACAAAGAGAACAATTGCTATTATACAGCATATTCCAAAATATGAATGAACTGAAATTTAGTCGAAACTTAGCAAATTTATATTTAGCATTATTTTATTTATGCAATAATAATAAATGAATTGTTTTTATGTAGTAACGACTTTTTATTTTTTGTAGTTCACAAATGCAGCTAATGAAAGTTTTTTAACATGTTAGTAGCTTTTGAAACTGTTTAACCCCTTAGCCTACACGATATCTACCAATTGCGCGAGCTATAATACGCAAGAAATTCGTTCGCGCGCCGTGCCATTCAACTGTCTGACTCGTGGCTTTTGTTTATGACACAAATTCTTTACCACGAGTCAGACTCGTGGTTTTCACTTATGGCACAAAGTCTTTACCACGAGTCAGACTCGTTGTTTTCGCTTATGGCACAAATTCTTTACCACGAGTCAGACTCGTGGCTATAGGCTAAAGGGTTAATAATCAAATAAAAGGTCAAAATTGATAATTTTAAAGTTTATCAAATGTATTACATTGAAAAAAAATGAAAAGTTTTAAACTATACAATACAAAATTAATATATTAATTTTAATTTCAATTGTAATACCTTTATTGGGTTTTTAAGATAGTATCAACAAGTAAATCCTTTTAAAACTTGCTTTTCCACTAATTTTCGGAATTTTCCATTAATGTTCGGAAGCGAACATTTAGCCACAAAACACTTCACCAATATCGCATTCTTTTTTTTTGTTTGTTAACTTGATTTGCGTATTCGATTACGTAAGTCTTGATGAATTCAAGAGCTAGGTCTTATAAGAGTCTTGTATTCTATTATTTTCTCTATTACAACTTCATTCTTGATCAGCTGAAAATCGATAAATATAATTTATTTATAATATTTAATAAATCACTAACATTCCTGTGATTTTTTGTATGAAAAAGTATTTACTTTTATTTTATTTTTTTTCAGCATACAGTACCAAAATATTTTACTTTGGGATCGTCATAATTGAGCGATCCTTTGAATGAATCTGCAGAAGAGTAAAGAATCTAACTCCTTTTGTACATTCTCCAAGTAAATTTTTCATTTCCTGAAAAGATTTGTTTTTCACCAGTATTTATTTAATAATTTCACACCGTTTCGTCGAATTTTCAATCCGTGTAGAGCTTTAAAAACTATATACATGCTATAGGTCGGATACACGGCATCCTTATAAGAGATTTTATTGATCTTTCCGTCTTATTCTCTTTTACTTTAAATTGCCAGCTTGATGATACTTTTAGTTCCGAAATCCAGGAAATCGTCATCACGTAGAGTATGCATCTAACTTCTCATAGCGTTGAGTTTTTTCGCCGTAACAAGACGTCAAAAAAGTCTAAGATTTTTCAATAGGCGTAAATAATCATTTTACTATTATAATTGTTATTATTTCAAATTAAAATGGATCAACGACAACAGAACCGAGAAATTAGGACGAATTTAGACAGCCAGAGGTTTCAGATCGTAAATTGACCCTTGAATCTTCAGACCATTACTCGGATTACGAGTACGGATATTGACGACTTACCTCCAAAGCGGAAGAATGCAGAAGGATGAATTTCAGCAAATGAGGTCGCAGATAAACTTGCTCTTTCGCATTGTTTATTCAAATATTTCTATTACTGTTGCTGTGGCTTCTGGTCCACATATCAACAATGTACTTGGTCCATCGAATTTCTTAAACAGACCTACTTAAGTTAAAATCTTGTTGTTTGGAGAGTTAAAGACCTTCGTTGACGAAAAGTGCGTTATTCTGTCAGCACCAAGAGATTGTTTAGATGCAATTGTTACTTTCAGCAGAGTATGGATTTTCAAAACGGCATGGTCTTCCTTCCAACTCATTTCTGAGAGTCCTTACACATCTGAACGGTTATCAAGGTAATTAGGTGATAATTGCATCCAAATGGAATCAGATATTTTGGATGTCAGTTCTAGTGGACAGGAGACAATGATTCCCGATCGAAATCACAGAATTGAACAAATGCTTGATCGACCTGTCGACTGAACTTCCACCCAGTCAAGTGGAGCAACTTACTCTTTATAAGTATAGATGGTTGGGTATGGTCTGACCTAACAAATAATTGGTCTACTAAAGAAATCAATTTATTAAAACAAAGTTGGCGTTAATCGACTTGAAAAACTTATAAAGCTCCTTTGAAAAGATGGATATGGTGTAGATTGAATATCTATGTACCGATTTCACATATAATACATGTTTTGTTATAGTGCAAAACACTAAGATTAAAGACCCCTCTACTCTTCCACAGATATATAATAGCTAATATAAATTAATGGGTGGATTTTGCTCCAAGATTTAACCGCGAGTAGTACTCGCAACCCAAAAATAAAAATAGGATTTCTAGTGATGTATAAAAAGTTAGGTGTCAACGTGAATATTGGAGAGATTTTTAACGACGAAAGTGATCATATTGTCGATTTGCTAAAGTAAGATGTCTAACACATAAGTTCGACAGACGTCGCGGTGTTAAACAAAGCCTAATTTTACATTTACTCGTCACTTACGCAAAACAAATCCTATACTATCTTTCAGTTCACATGGACTGTTGATAAAAGCAATAAAACTCGAGATTGGCATACACTTTGTTACAGCAACTTATATAAATGTTCAGATTATATAAGTTGTTACGAGGAGTTTCATAAGTAAAATCGACCGTGATACGTGAGACCTCAACAATCAAATGCCTAATATGCAAAAAATATCGTGGCACGTTTAATAAAAAAAAAGGAGAAAATTGTTATATGTTTTACTGTTCTGTCAATTTTATTTTGTAAAGTAGTTTAAAATAAGATAGACGATACTCTATACTATATTAGCTCACACTTTACAGTATCTTGGAATCGGTATAATATATGGAAATGAATAGATAAAACCTTTTTAATACTAATGTCCGTTGAATTTTATACAAAATCTTAAAAAAGAATAGCATAATGTGTTCTGGATGTTTTTTAATAACTGCATAAAAATTACCTTGGATAAGCTTTATTCATTTTAGTATAAGGTTTATATTATATTCTCTGCCTACGAAACAAGTGTTATTAAACTACTATTGTTATCTCTGAGTGTGCGTAATTTTTCTCTCAAGGCTGTTAGCAACGTTAAACTAAAAATATTTTGTAGCGACTTCCCTTTAATAAGTTATTCGATCTATTCTACAACATAGATAAAATTCTGTACTTAGTTTACGACTAATTAATTTCAGAAGGGTTATCTGCAGTTGTCTTCATAAAAAATTTTATTACAGCTAAGCTCATTTTCTTCATGCCCTATGTATGAATGAAACATAGTAATAATGTTATTATATATTAACAAAAATCTTTGCTGAATGAAAACAATTTATCGATAGTATTTTTTTTACTGTAAATTTATTCTTTGTCATAATTAAAAAAACACTATTATTTATTCGATAGTATTTTTAAATTCAAATTATACAACTAGATGTAAGTGCTGTATTCTTTTATATTTCGTAATCGTGAATCACGTAGTTGAAAGATTTAAATCAAGATGATTTGCACAGCGAGAATTTGATGGACGATTATTTTAATGTTTTTTTCATCATTACGTTTGTCCGCCAACAAAATTACGGTTATTAAGAACGCAGTTTCCTGTTAGTTCACACTTTATTCTCTATAAATTGTTCTCCGACTTCTATACTCTTTTCAGTCGCTAGAATATTTTTTTCACAGAAGTTACTATTGAAAACAAGCAGAATGCAAAGTTTTATGCGCATTTTTTTTGTTCTTATCATAGCCGTAAGTACATTTTCAAAAAAATGTCTAAATTGTTTTTTGTAACATTTTGCATAATTACTTGTAAATGTTATTAAACTTTAAAAAGATACAATATTTATGTATTTGAAACTAAATATTATGACATCAATTAAAGTGTTGACATTGATAAATTTTATCATGTAAGGTTTGTATTTATGGCGACTCTTCGGAAGAAAAAAGAGAAACGCAAAGACAAATATCTGAGAAATGTAAAAAGGAAGTCGGAATCACTGAAGGTTCGTTCTTAATACTGTAGAAGAAAATATGCTCAACATCTTGTGACAATAAAATAATTAATGTTTTTTTCAAACGATTGATTAATGAAGATCGACCACATGGACCTCCTAATCTAGACGATCCTAAAGAAAAATGTCTACATGCTTGCTTCATGAAAGAATCTGGGATAGTAAGTATTAAAATCTCAGTATGAAATATTGAATTTCGTTTATTAATTGCTTTTTTCAGCTGGTAGACGGAAAAGTGGCGGTTGAAAATGTTACCAATTTCCATAAAAAACATTGGCCTAATTTTAATGATGAAACTGAGAAAAAAATAACATCCTGCGTAGAAACGGGTAAAAGTCACTTCAATTTTTATAATTATTGGCATAATTTGGTATAACTTTTAATTGAAATATTTCAAATTATAGCAAATGAAAAATCTGACGAATGTGATATTGCCGCTGCAATGATGAAATGTATACATGAAAAGCTTGGTCCTCCTCCACCTTTTCCACGACATAAGGAATAATTATGCGATTTCTATTTGTTAATAATTATTTATTTTTACTGTCGATTACCCGCGTACGTAATGTAAATAATTATATATTTAATAAGAAATATTTTACATACATGCTGCATTAAAAAGCAAGAAATTTCTAGTAACCCCTCTAAAACGTTTCTTCAATCGCTCTTTTCAAGTGCTACCATATATGAAAACTATATTCGTATAGTGAGATGATTGTATTATCAAGGAGTATTGAACAAAGAAATATCGGTCAGCATTGAATTTTCAATTTATCTTCTAATGCACTCAAGCGTTTCACATCATTTTTTATTCTCAACTACAATGACAAGGAATTACTTGGATGCATTGATTATTTAAAAAATTCTTTAAAATTTCAATATCAATTAGGCGCAAACACATCTACATATTATTGTATTCATTAATAATAAATACAAATGTCATTATACAAATATAAATTATATATGTATACGTTACTATCAGTACACGTTGATTTGAAAGTGTAGTGCCAACATAGAAGAGAGGATATGGGCGATAACTGATGCAAATGTAAAATAAAAGTCAATTATCTTCAGCTGTTAGTACAGTCGAAACGTGGTCGGATTTGAATTATTGAACAGAGTGATATATATGTATATAAGGAAAAAGTTGCAAAAAACACACAAAGACAAGCGGACAGAACTTGTGACGTTGGGTGACGAAACTTAACTGAAAAATTGATTATTTCAAATTAGAGAAAACAGAACATCAGTGTATCGTATAAGAATTCCAGCAGTCAACATGAAGCTCATCCTTGAGTTTTTCCTGGTCGGCTTGGTATTAGTTTACGCTAAAGATCCAACATGTGCGAATATACGTTGTCCTGTGGCCTGCCTTGATAACCCAGCGCGATGCATAACGAGGTACTATGGAATCGGCACTTGTGCTTATGGTGTACCTTGCATCAATGGCTATTGCGATCCTCTTTGTGGAAATATCGTTTGTCCCGATTCTTTTGTTTGCCGTCGTGACATCAATATTTGTGAAAAATAAAGGACAAATAACGTTATGAATGTTCGATGGTTCATGTAGTTTTGGAAATCTTTAAAATAAAATTCATATTGCCTAATTAATCCGATATGTGCGTTGCTCTTTATTAACTATATGTGGTTATACCTTTTGAATTATTTCACTAATGGCGAGACGAGTTTTTTCTTTCATTCATCTCGAAATATGCGAAGAATCTATGTGCTTGATTTTTCGATATTATATTTGCTGAATAATTTAGATTTATATGTAAATAAAAAAATGGTTTAATGGCATTCTATCTGTTTCTGTTGAATTTTTTTTTTGCCATAGATGACAAAATTGCTTTACTTTTACGATTATTTATATATAAAATGCCAAAGCTAAATCAAAGTAATGATAATTTCATAGTTAATCCTAAAAATATTGTCATATGAGAAAAAAAGAACAGATACATCTTTATGCTTTATAAAAGTGGCGTCAAAATAGTCTCCATTTCTTTAAATAAAGAATCTATTTATTTTAGATGTTACTTTAGATTGCAAAGGTAGTTAAAAATGTTGAACAATATTTTTACTATACACATTTAATTTTTTCATTTGAATACTAGGTTGGATATAAAAGTCAAAATAATAAGTTCTTTATTTTTTAAGAGTACAATAACATGAAAAACAGGTAAAAAAGAAAAGTCAACAGAGATAAAAGCTATTGATAATAACTCTTACATTTGTTAAAGTGAATCGCTCCGTAATAAAGATTATTTATACTTGTAGATAAACACGGTATGTCCTGCAATAAAATTGAAAGTTTAAAGAAAGTTAATATATTTTGGAGGGATCGTAAAATAAGGATTAGCATCATTCTCATTTTAGAAATATACTATAGAAATAGGATTAAGCTCGTTGCGTATGCAGTTTTTACGTGCATCTTCATCGTCTGTACCTTCGAATTCTAACGTTAGTTTTACTAAATTATTATCTACGGCAGCAAAACTGCTATCTATAAGGCTAGCGAACACGAAGTCGAATATACACATGAAACACGCCCGACGAGAAGCACTCCAAAGGCGCTCCAGAGACCGATAGCGAGACACGACGTATACACGCGAGAGCGGCGGCGGCCATTTTGAGTCGCCGATATAAACTGAACGGGAGCGAGCGAGACTGATTATAAGATAAGACGGAATTGCGAATTCGAAATGAAATTGAAATTGGCACTGAGAATTGACCATGCGCAATAGACGATACACTATACTACATATATGACTCACATATTGGACTGAGGCATGAAACAGAAATATATTTAAAATAAAGCAAAATAGGATTAGCGAATTATATATATATATATATATGTATGTATGTATGTATGTATGTATGTATGTATGTATGTATGTATGTATGTATGTATGTATGTATGTATGTATGTATGTATGTATGTATGTATGTATGTATGTATGTATGTATGTATGTATGTATGTATGTATGTATGTATGTATGTATGTATGTATGTATGTATGTATGTATATATATACACATATATGACGCATTGACAAGTAACGGATCATGTATATCGGAAAATTAATATAAATTGTACTAAAGCATACGAATAACTAGACCTAACATACCGACATTCATTTCGAAAAATTTGAACGAATTAGGAAAGCGCCACTGACACCACGTATTAGCTAAGCCAATAAAAGTGTGGCGTCTCGGAACCGATTTCCGTTCTCATCATCGATGCGCTAAAAGGTGAGTGTAAATATTATACATGTATGCGATGAGACGTACGAATGAGCGTCGAAGAGATAGCCGCGCCATTTTGTGAAGGACAACCCGGCCGTAAAACGCCGCAACCTCCAGGCCCTGTCGCAATCGAAAGGCGTTGTGAGAGGTTATACGGCATTTTTCCGACTCCGATTTCTAACGACTACTGCACCCAAGGAGAGCAGTCTGGCGCCCGATAAATAAGTCGGGATGAGGAGTTGCCAACGGCTATTCGATGGCGAGATTTCGGCTCTGGTTTATCCCCTCAAATCCCCCGTCACAGACAATAACAGGTGAGTCGGGGGAATATGCCACTTTGCGATATCTCCTATAATTATAATTTCATAACGGCACAGGTTTTAAGAAATAACAAGCAAGATTTTTTTTTTACTTTAAGATTTTTTAGCGCATTCGGGGCAAAATGTCACAAAATGAGTTGAAGTAATATGCCAGTGGCATTTTGCCCCGAAATCGAAAAAATAATTTTATAATAAATTTATCACTATATAAGTACGTGTTTCATTTATGATGTGTGTGTGTGTGTGTGTGTGTGTGTGTGTGTGTGTGTGTGTGTGTGTGTGTGTGTGTGTGTGTGTGTGTGTGTGTGTGTGTGTGTGTGTGTGTGTGTGTGTGTGTGTGTGTGTGTGTGTGTGTGTGTGTGTGTGTGTGTGTGTGTGTGTGTGTGTGTGTGTGTGTTTACGCGTAGGATTGAATTTAATGCAACTTATGACTCACGTGTTTACATACAATCAAACGATACCTCGTTTTTTTGTTATTTTTTTGAAATTATTATAGCATTTATTTGTAGTTAATTAAAATTATATTGTAATAGTATTCAATTACGAGTTATTTTTTGTATTTATATAAAATTAAGTTCTTTTTATAGTAAGTGGCATATTATCCCTACATGCGGGGAATATGCCACTTTCAACTCGTACTAATTTATTGTTATTAATAAATAAATAAATATTTAGCCATATGTTATTGTGCATACAATACATAAAAGCAATGTTTATTAAATCCACATATTAAAGTTTCATTAAATTTATTGATGTACATTTTAGATTGATTTTTTCCTTAATTGTGGCGTATTCCCCCGACTCACCTTATGAAAACTAGATAAACTGCACTCCATGCACGTGAAGATCAGATAAAGGATTATTTGAATAATACAAGGAAATCCATTATTACTAATTTAATTGTTTATATTTTGTGCGGGAGGATAGAAAGTTATGAAAATACACATAAATAAAGATTACTGTTTTGTATAATTTAAAAAGCGATAAGAAGGTACAGATAAAGTTTATCAAAAACACAGAAAAATAATGCCGAAAGAGAGAATTTATTCAATAAAAATATATTATTAATAAACTCAAATTTATTTTTCGTTCAACAAATATTTTGTAGTACTCTTGTTGTATGTACTGTGAAAATAAAATATTTTTTTTATTAATAATAAAATTAATATATACATATATCTTTATACTTGATTGAAATTAATTGAATATCAGTCATATTATCAGTGTTCCGGACGAGTGATCGCGAAACGGCGGGAGAGAATGTTGCCGTCGGGCTTACGATCTCCCGGCATCTGTAAATCATATGCGACCTTTGTGCGCGGTCTCAAATAAAAAGAAAGGAAAAAGCAGACCCTTGAAATACGAGCGGTCATCGAGCGTGATGTCGTGTCGAGGAAAGGTAGCCATACCTGATCAAAAGATAAGGCGCGCATGTGGAATACATCTGTGCGTCGGCTGTCTTCCCTGGCTTTCAACTGTCTCCTCGAAAATATAAAAATGTACAGAACAGTATAAATGTATCCAGCGTACGACTCGGGTGCTGCTGTTGATGCAACGTAAAGCGAGTTAGAGAGCGCGTCCGGCAGCGAATCATCTCGGGCGTGTGTCGACTGGACAGGCACTTGATTAGCGATGCTCCATTCGGCAGGTTCAGCTTGAGTAATTCGTCTTACAACAACCCACAAGAAGAGATCCTTTATCGATCCTTGCAGCACTTCTGCGCAGAAATCAATATTATCCTGCCATCTTTAGTTATTACCGCTAGTTTTTTCTGATGCTTCTTCCGTAGAATGCTCGTTAAGGTGGTTCTTAATTTTTTTTTTTCTTAGTAGACCTTAGGTCCGGGTTAAAATGGCTTCTAGGTACTCTAAAAACTCTGCGCAAATAGTTTTTAATTTTTTTTTATTGTATTAACACGTGCCTCAAAGCACCTTAAGTTTCCTATTGATTTTATATGGGAAAAACGAGTTAAACGGTTTACCCTTCCAAAACCTAGTCTAATTTTCGGATTTTTAATTTTGAAACCACATAATCTTGTGTATTTTAAGTCGCCAAATCGAATGGCACTATTAGTTTTTGTCTAAAATGCGATTAAAAAATTTTATAAGCGAAAATTGTCAAAAAAATGGAAAAATCAGTGAAAAAAAGACAATTAACTGGCTTGTAATGTTTGTAATCAGTCAGTTATGTTTTTAGAAATACATATTTCCATGTATTTTGAGCTGCCAAATCGAATGGTATCATTAATTTCCTAATAGCTAAGCGGAATATTAAAGTTATAGGCCAATATCGGTGAAAAACTTGGAAAATCACCAGAAAACGGCAAATAACTTGCATACAATGTTTATATCCGGCAATATATCAGAAATTTCTTCGCGCTCACGTCAATTTCTATATATTTAAAGCCGCTAAAATGAAGAGTACGAGTATGTTTTTGTCAGTATAGCCACACTATTTAGTTGTAAACCAAAATCCTTAAAAAACCCGCGCAAAGAAAAGGAAAAAGAATCGTATACTTTTGATGAACATAGTTATCCAATTTTTCCAGAGTAGTTCATATATTTTTTGACACAAGAAGAAAAAACAACGACTTATTTCTGACATTTTTTAACTATAAAATTCAAATTGTAGTAAGTACACGTATAAATTTTCATTGTCGTAAAAAATAAAACACATGAGGTGAAACCCTAAAAAGTTACTATTTCAAAATTGAAGCTGCTTTGTAATTCATGGTTTCGACCGACGGGGGCGCTATAGCTCGAACTGGAATATTGGCCTATAATTTTAATATTCCGCTTAGCTATCAGGAAATTAATGATACCATTCGATTTGGCAGCTCAAAATACATGGAAATATGTATTTCTAAAAACATAACTGACTGATTACAAACATTACAAGCCAGTTAATTGTCTTTTTTTCACTGATTTTTCCATTTTTTTGACAATTTTCGCTTATAAAATTTTTTAATCGCATTTTAGACAAAAACTAATAGTGCCATTCGATTTGGCGACTCAAAATACACAAGATTATGTGGTTTCAAAATT